AAGTAAATTTTTATTCAGAATTTGTATAAAGAAAAGAAAAAAGAACTAACAAATACAAAAATAAACATTTTAACATAAATTATTCATCCTATTTTCATACTATACAAAAGAAAGCATATGTTCATACAAAAAATAATAATATAACCATTAGGCTCTCCTTAGCCTTTGACTTCCCTTCACCCTTTTGGTAAGTATCAAATAAGTCCCGGGTTGCGTAATTAGTTTATTAAAGTTTATAGTTATTAGCTGATAAAGTTTTTCTAATACCGCCAGTTCCTCCTATATATCCGTTCCAATATATTTCCAAATTTTTTGAAATTTCTGGTCGTCTTGGTCTCGTATTCTGCCTGTTAATCTATCTAGCTCGGCATAGTTGATCATTTTGACCTGCCAGTCACTTATGTTAGGAATAGTTTCTATTTTCCAGTTTTGTGCCAGCATAATTCTTGCGGCTGTGGTGGCATAGAGAAATATTTTTATCTTCATTTTTATTTCCTTACCCATTATTCCCAGCAAAAAGGCCTCAGGTCTCTTGGGAAAAGTGTATTTAAAAACTTTTTAAGTTCATTATAAATTGCTTCCCAAAAACCTTCACCTTGCTGCATTGCCACCACATATGGTAGAGGTCTCCCTCCCCTTCACCACATTTCCAGCATGTCTTATTTTCTGATCTATAGATTTTAGCCAATTTTGCCGGCGTAAGATACCATCTATAGAGCATTTTCCAAACATTTTCTCTCAAACTCGTACAGGCCGTAAATTTAATGTCTCTATTCCACAATTTCAACCACTTTTCAAACTCGATGTTATAACCGAAGTCAATTGCCCATTTAATCATTGCCTCTTTGACTTCCTCGTCTTTTGTATGCCATTCCAGTAATATGTCATATAATTTAGACAATGTTTTGTTTTTGCCTTCTATTATTTCTATATTGAATTTTGATTTCTTGTCCTCAAAGCCCATTTTTCTTTTATCTTGTTTTAACATATCATTCACCTGATGATATTGTAACCAGCCGGTGAATTGATCCTTTATTTCCTCATACGGTTTAAGTTTAAGCCCTTGTTCTGATTTTCTTAGCAAATCTTCGTAGGTGGCTGTCTTCCCTTCCATGTTGGTTTTTTTATTTGTTAAGACCTCTACTGGTGAAATCCACCATGGTGTTTTTCTTTCGAGAAGGTTCTTATTTCTTTCCCAGACCTGATATATTGGTCCCCTGAAAATATGGTTTAAGAAAGCCCTGTGGACTTTCACCTTCTCGTACCAGAGATATGCGTGCCACCCATACCGGTTATTGAAACCTTCTAAATCCAGTAGGTCTCTGTTCTCCAATTTTATCCAATCTTTTAACCAAAGTAGGCACGCTGCTTCATAATATAGGCTCAAATCTGGGAGGGCAAAACCTCCTCTTTCCTTTTTATCAATTAGTATTTTCATTTTAATCCTTGGTCTTTTCCCCTGCCAGATGAATTTCATCAGGGTTCTCTGCCATTCTTTACATTGTTTTAGACCTTTAATAACTGGAAGAGTTTGAAATAAAAACAACATCCTCGGCAAAACGTTCATTTTAACCACTGCTATCTTCCCTAAAAGGAAAATTTCATCCTCCCCATATTTCCAGATCTTTCTTTATTTTTTTCCATGTAACTTCATAATTATCTTTATATAGGTTTATGTTTTTGCCGTAATCCACACTCCCAAATATTTCACTTTTTCACCACCATGATTTCCACTTTTTGATCTAGCACTTTCGTTTCTTCCTTACTTAGATTTTTAACCAGCCTGTTCAATTTATACTTGTTTACCATAAAACCTGCCACCACTCCACATTCCTCAAATTTTTGTAATGCTTCTTTTACACTATCTTGTGGATCTTCCAAAGTCAAAACAATATCGTCGGCAAAGGCTTTAATTTTGAATTCCTTCTTTCCTACTCTAATTCCTTTCACTTCTGTTGCCTCCCTCAGTCTCTTATTAAGTACTTCCAAAATTACAATAAATAATAAGGGGGACAGGGGGCAACCTTGTCTGGTCCCTTTATAAATGTTAAAATATTCTGTTGTATTGTTATTTATCACCAGCTTTGCTTTCTGTTCTTTGTATATTGCTTCTATGCCTCTTCTAAATTTTTCGCCAATTCCCATCCTTTCCAAAGCCTTCTTTAGGAAGTTCCAGGAAACATTATCAAATGCCTTTTCGGCGTCTATGAAAACCAGTGCGGCTTTTCTGTCTATTTTCATGTCCAGGTATTCAATAATGTCAATCAAATTCCTTACATTATCCCGTGATTGTCTCCCTGGGAGAAATCCTGTTTGATCACCATGAATTTTATTAATCAAGACCTTCTTTAATCTTTCCGCCATTATGTCTGCAAATAGCTTATAATCATTATTTAATAATGAGATTGGCCTATAGTTCTTTACTTCCATAGTGTCCACCTCTTTTTTAGGGATCAATATAACATAGGCTTCCTTCCAGGTATTAGGTATCTTTCCTTCTCTCAATATATTGTTCATAACCTCTCCCAGCACTGGTGATATTTGGTTAATTAATGTTTTATAATATTTGGCCGGAAGGCCGTCCGGTCCAGCGCCTTCTCAGCTTTCATCTTTTTAATAGCCTTTTTATCTCTTCCTGTGTTATTATCTCATCTAGTGCTGCTCTTTCATCTTCTACAATTTGTTCCAGATGGTGTTTTTGCAGAAATTGATCTATTTCTTGTTCTGTTTCCTCTCCTCTTTTGTACAAATCCTTATAATATCTTTGGAATATTCTTTTTATTTCTTTTGGTTCTTCCATAATCATATCTCCTTCTTTTATTTTACTGATCGTATTCAACTTCTTCCTTTCTCTCAACTGCCACGCTAGATATTTCCCTATCTTATTTGCGGACTCAAAGTTCTTTTGATTCATCCTTTTAATTTTCCACTCTATCTCTTGGTTAATTATTGTAGCAAATTTAGCTTGTAGTATTTTTAAGTTCTGTTTTAAACTCTCTTCACTAGGGTTAACAGTTAATTTTCTTTCATTTTCCATAATCTGTATTAAAATCTGCTCTTTCTTTTTTTCTTTTTCTTTTCTTAATTGGGTATTTTTCTGAATCAAAAAACCCCTCATGACCGCTTTTCCTGCGTCCCACACCATCTCTATGGAAGTTTCTCCATTTAAATTCCACCTAAAGTATTCTTCAATTGTTTCTATAGCCTTATTTACTATCCTTTGATCATTGAATAAATATTCATTCATTCTCCATCTGGCTGTTTTAACCTCTCTACCTTTTAACTCCATGGAAACCGCACTATGATCAGATAAAGTTCGAGGCCAAATTTCAGACTTAATTAAATTCTGTACCAATTCCCTCGAGACCCAAATACTGTCTATCCTCCCCCAGCTCTGATTCGGATTTGAAAAAAAGGTGAATTGTTTTGCAGTAGGGTTTTTAAACCTCCAAACATCCGTCAATCCCAAATTATTTACCATGTCGAAGAAAGATCGTGGTAGTTTACCTTCTTTCCCATCTTGTCTTTTTGTTAATCTATCCATATTCGGCGTCACCACCCCATTAAAATCTCCCATCAATATCATTTTCTGGTCCATCCATTCCATTAGTATATTATCTAATTCCAAAAAGAAAGCTGATTTTTTCTCATTCGGGCGTATATTCCAACCACAACTATTTTTCTCCATGAAACACCATCTGTACCACCACTACTCTCCCATGTTCATCTTTATACAGTAGTTGCGGGTCATATTTTTCCTTTATATAAATTACTACCCCTCTTTTCTTAACCTTGTCGGAGGTCACAAAGTCCAATCCCAATCTCTTATTACTTAATACTCTCTTGTGTTTTCCTATAACATGCGTTTCTTGAAGACAAATTAAATCCCAATTCTTTTTCAACAATACATGTGCAATCTGATTCCTCTTATTTTTATTGTTCAAACCATTGACATTCCAGCTTATTGTTTTTAAAGCCATCTATTAAACTATTCTAGCTAATTTAACTAGATTAAATAGAGACTACTGTTCCTTGCTTTCCTCCTCTTGTTCTTCTCCTTCTCCTGTTAAGCTCTCCTCTTTTTCTTCTTCTTCACTCCCTTCACCCTCCTCGTCTCTCTGTCGTTCCTCCCTTTCCACCTCCCCTTCAACTTTTCCCAGGTCCTTCTCGTATCTCCTCGCAAATTTTTGGAGTTCAAAACTGGTGCTTAATTTAAACCTTTTTTCCTTAAAGTAGAATGAAATGCCTTCGGGAAACTCCCATCTATACAATATCCCATTCTTCTTCAATTGGTTTGTTAATTTTTTGTATGGCTCTCTCCTTCGAAGAAATCTCGAAGGAATTTCTCTAAAGATAATAATTGGGCTTCCTCCAATATATAACCTTTTTATGTGGTTCTGTTGCAGTATTTCATTTCTTATTTCCAAAGTGTTGAACATGACAATTACATCACCTGGCAGCTTTTTCTTTCTGGCTCTGTCTGATTTTGGTCTTATTCGAAAAATATTTACTAAATGGCAGTTTACCTCCTCCTCGCTCTTATTTAACCAAGTTGCCAGCTCTTTTATCATTTTAGATCTAATATTCTCATTTGGGGTCTCTGGTACACCCCTCAGTTTTAGGTTGGTTTGATTTTGCCTCATTTGCGTCATAGCCATATTGTCCAACAACTCCTCCTGCACTCTTTCTATCTCTTTAACTTCTACTCTAATTCTATCCACCTCCTTCTTACTAATTTTCGTATCTTTTTGCACCTTTTTCATTGAATCTTCCAAAACCTTAGTTCTTACTGATAAATCTTTAACCTTTCCTGTCAATTCCCCACCACTCCCTCCAATTTCTTATCCAAAGTGTCCTGTACCTCAAGTAATTTTCTCTCAATATATTGTTCATTATTTTTGAATTCTTTCCTTATTTCGGCCATCAGACTGCTATAGTCTTTAATTTCTTTACTTTCCTTAGCATCTTCTTGCCTCGACGACCTCCTTTCCGCTGGTGTTGCCACGCCTTTTTTTGCACCGTTTGTCATTTTGTAGGCTTGAAAGGTCTTGGGGTCCACCACACTAATGTTATTCAAAAAGGGATGAGGCACAGGATCACCGATAATCTCTGATGGGTTAATAAGTTACCGGGTCTGGTGTTGGGGTATAATAGCAGATATTAGGCATCACACATCAGGCTATACACAAAGTTTTACAATCTTTACCTTTTACAGTCTTTGTCCTCTTAGAGGGTGGTATTATAGAGGTCTGGCGTCACCAAAAATTTTTCTTTACTGGAGACTTGGCAGTTCTTCAGGAAGTGTTCTTTATGCTGGTTTAAATTCTCCTATTTGGCTTTTGGCGCATGTCCCTTTAAATCTCAAATACATGCAGAGGCGTAGTAGATCAAGGACAAGATGGAATGGCGGATAGCAAAGCCAAGTTAGGTCTCGAAATGGCTTCCTCCTCCCTTTTTATACCCATGGGAAGTCACTAACATAAAACCAACATTAAGGTCTGGGAAGACCCATGCTTTCTTCCACCCACTTCAAACAAAAAGTTGATGTTAACAATAACGTCCTCAAAAAACCTGTCAGTTAAAGCATCAACCAAATGCCCCAGAAACCTCCTTTCCTCCTCTCAAACCCGGTAAAGAGTCTCTCTATCAAAAGAAGAAAACTCAGTATTACCTTGCTTCCAACTCTTTGTACTTTGTACTTTGTAAAATGTACTTTATTATCGAGGATATTCCTTCCCCTCGCTAGCGGTTACTTTCTTGCTCTTTCATTCACGTCTGCCAGCTTTTCGCTTTACTCCTTTATCATTCTTACCGCCAGTAGTGAATTCCTCCTTCCTTTGTCTTTAATTACTTCTCCGCTGGGTACTTCATTCAACTTCATTCAACGTTCCTTTTGTTTTTACTTTGATTGTTTTCCAGTGTTCTCCCTCCTCTGCTTTCATCAAAGCTTTAGAACTATTTCCCAGCTTTTCCTCTGTTGTTGGAGGTCCGCCGCTTTCACTCGGAGCCTGAGGCTTCACAGCATGGAGTCTGATTTTTCCCCTTCTCGCTGCGGCTCCAGCCTTGTTAAACGCCGGCAACACAGGCGAGCACACGCAGCCTTGCTGGGTGTTTTGACCAACAGGATATTCCACCTGTGGTTTAGGGGTTCACGGAGCCTTCGTGACCCCTCTAAGACCCCCACGCTGTTCGAGGCTCCTCAGACGAGTTGCCTCGCGCTCCTTCCCGTGGCCGCGGCGTCCCGGAAGTTTTGGCCCAATCGCCTTCTCAATCCGGCCCTCGGATGGTCTGGGAATCAGCATCAGGGAGCTCTTATAACAATCCGGAACTGTTGAGCGTGTTTGAGTTTAGGATGTATATGATTAACATACCTCAGAAATGGGTATCATCTTTCATAGAATATTCCAGGTTTCACATAACGTTTTGCAACCAGGAGTGCCAGCTTGGCCCTGCAACCGTAGGTGCCCAGGGCCATGGGTGCCATGCAGTGTGGATGACCCCGTCACCTAAATTTGTGGGTGCCCAGCCCCTTAATGGGAAATTTTGTGTGGGCTTGGGCACCCAGGGCACCGGGGAGCTGGCACCTATGTTTGCAACCGTCATGTTACAAAACCTTGTCCGTGAATAAATGGCCTCCCCAACTAACCCTTGATAGAAAAGTCTGCTAAGCTTTTCCAATGAGTTGTAACAGGTGGCACCAGAGTTTAAACTGCCCCTAGGCAGACTGCGGACTTACCACTGGCCCTTCTTTTCATGCCTATCCCCTTTGTGTTGCTCCTCTCCCTCTAACCGCCCCCACCTACTTGCCATCATTTCATACAGGTGACTCCCTCAGGTACACACAATTTGAGAGACACTCCACTACTTTGGAGTGCAGGTGTTCGGTGGTGCAGCCAGCAAGGACATCCAAGGAAATCCCACTGCACGCCCCTGTTCTTTACACTTCTGGGGGCACGCACCAGCTGAGTTCATTGTTAGAAGAAATACTCAAGAAGGGTGTCAAAAGTAGAGTAAATACGAAGATTCATCAATTACCTGTAGAAATTTAAAAGTAGGCAATAAATGCAAATACATTATATGAAACTGGGATTCAGATAATCCATGCATCAGCAGGGTTCCCCACCCCCATCCTGCACCCTGATCAGAACATTCTACAAAAAGAAGAAGCCAATTTCAAGGTGAAGGATGGATCAACCGAGTTCAGTCATTCCAAACAACCTATATACAATCTACTGTAAGTGCCATTTTTATAAGCATCTGCCCTATTGTGAGTGTTTCAAGGCTCCCTCCCTCCATTCCTTGGCTTAGAATTTGCCTAGCAGTTGAATCACAAGCGCGTCCCGGGTAAAATGCTTCTGCTCACTCCAAATGCCAATCGCTTCGATCGCTGCGGATTTCAAATAGGAATGTTTCATCCATTTCCAATGAGTACTTTACACGTTGGCTAAGAAACCGCTTTGTAGCAAACATGGGACTGAACACAGTTGCTTCGGATTACTCAGTCCCAAACTCCAGTGCCAGATAAAATGCAGCATAATGATACAGCACTCCACTGGACTGATACATTACTCCAGGCCAGGTTGGCAGCAACTCAGATGAAGACTATAATCTGGCCACTGTAGTTTATTTCGGCCTCATTTACTTCTCCCGCTGAGTGGAAGTCCCACAAAATGCTGCAAAGCAGGGAAACCTATCAAATCAATGGCAGTATTCTGTGTACCCTGTACTTCATGGCTGGAAGAGAAGGGAGAGAAAAGGACAGTGAATATTAACAGAGAGTGCTGGATTCCAATTTCATGATGCGTTTGCAACCGTGGCCACAGAGATTCTGTGATCTGCGGCAATCTTGCCTTTATGGTGCAGTCCTATGCATGCTAACTCAGAAGTACATCTCACTGTCTTCACTGGGGCCGACTCCTTAGTAACTTTGTTAGGGACATCAGCCTTGGCGTCTAGCATTTGGTAGGCAGTTCTAATGTTAAAACTATAACATGTTCCGCTATTCTACGTGGCTAGCCAAAATGCACCTAAAACATACAAAGGAAGCTTCGGGCCTAAAAAAACATAAAATTAATTAATATGGTCATTTATGTTTATAAGAGATTATAAATGTATATCCAGTGCTTTTTAAAAAAAAAAGTTTAGGAGTATTACTAATTTTCCTACTAATATTGAAATACTGCCCCTCAATGAGGCCAAACTTAGATTCACAAAATGTTTAGGGGTATGCGCACCCCTGCGTACCCCCCAGAAAAAAGCACTGAGTATATCTATTAATGAATATGATAATTCTACACCCCATTGCCCATTTCACAAAGAGCTTTTGGCAATCTTCACCAGTGGGGGTGAAGCTATTAACAGGCAAAGGAGTTGAGTGTCTTTGATGAGGAATTAAAGCTTCGTTCCTATCGACAGGTGAATATTGTCAGCTAGTTCATTCTTCATGCTAAGAAAAATTGAAAGCGAGCTTCACAGGCAGTGGTGCGCCTAGTACATTTCAGCCTCTAGACTTGACGGTCTCACCTGCTCACACCTTTAGATAGCAATGGGTGTTGTACTTCGCTTACTTCAAAATGATGCAATCCATCCCTGGTGCCTTTGGGAGGCTTGTGCTCATTCTTCTGAGTGGAGCCCCAAAGACCTGCCAGCATCATTTTGTGCGCGCAGGGCTGGAGAAACCTACGACTTCAGACACCCTTGATATTAGTAGTAGTAATAGTCACAATCGCCTTTAGCTTTATTAGGGCGTGTGATTCCGCACTGCGACACTAGGGGGCATGCGAACGTCACCCTTCCTCTTCTACAGTATTTTTGCAGCCGTGGATTTCGCTACAGAAAAGGGGTTGCCAGATACTGTACCTGCCTTGAGTGATCCTCTGGGTTCTGGTGAAATGGAATGGACCGTCCCTTATGGACCTAATCTTATTTGTCCAGGGTTCGCGGTCCGTAATTGAAGCCGAGGAACGCGAACTGAAACAACCTATATTCAGAGGCAGGTGAAGCGCCCGAAGAAGGTGCCATCTGATCTGCATACTTCTGAACGGACGGCGAGAGATTCGCCATCGACTTCACTGGGTACCAAGTGCATCCCAAGCGGGGCTCACGGCAGGCTGTCCGACCACTTGGGTGCAAATCGGCTGTGCCGTTCCCCTCGGGGAATCGGACAGCGCTACCGGGGGAGGTGCGAAAGAAGCTGTGCTCTGACACGTGTGAAAGGCTCAGAACAGTGTGCATCACTTGGGGGGGGAGCGCTACCCTGTGGCCTTCCAGGGTGCTGTCGAGGGCCAGCTCTCACCAGCCCCGGTGCGCGTGGCAAAAGGGGAGGGGAGGCGTGGCCCCGCAAAAGCCACGAGGACCCCGCTCCTGAATGAGATCGTCAGTATTGAACCCAAAAGTTAGTTTGTCTCTGGAAACACGTGGTAGAAAAGAGACGGTTGTTGTGCTAAGAACATGCAGGAGTTGTTGCACTGCAGCATCCCTGACCTGGCTGGCTAGGACTGAGTCCAACAGATGTTGCTCCCTGCTTTAAATGGTGACCCTCCATTTATGTATTTATTTTGGAGGTCAACCGACAGCCCCGTCTTCAGCGTCTTCTCATCCAACATCAGTCCCACGGAGTTCTATGGGACTCAGAAGTCTATAGCTATGCATTGGCTTGCCGCATTGATCCGGAGTACGAAAGGGAGCGGAGCGTTGGCGCGAGCAAATTCTCCGGAAGGCGCGCGCGGCTCCTTCTCCATGTGGCTCCTGCGTTCTGGACAGGGGTCCCAACTTGAATAAAATATGGGAGGGCAGGTAAGCCCCGCCCCACCTAATTGATCACATGACTTGGCACACGCACACTATTTGAATGGCAATGCCCATCATTTGGGGGGACGTCAAATATTTTAGGCGGGGGCAAGAGACCTAGGTCCTCCGGAGCTGGCTCCTGTGCCAGTTGATGGGAAATCCACGATTTCTTTTATACATATGTAACAACAATCCACACTACTGCTCCCGTAGTAAAACGCTGTGGGGTTTTCCTCTGCACCAGATGACTCAGGGATCTCCTTGGGGAGCGCAGCTTCCCTTCGGCTCTTCCATCCAGGGTCTTCATTCTCCGTCGGCGCGACGACCCGGACACGCCCCAAACGCTCCTGGCAAGGTCGCCGTCTGCTGCAGGGATGGCCGTGGTGCTGGACAGTGACTCCGGGGAAATGGGCAGCCTCTCGGAGGCAGGTGAGTGGAAGATCTCTTGGAGTAGACCCAGATCCACTCCTTTGCAGGAGCCCATAAAGCTGATGAGAGCGATGAAACCGATGGCCTGGTCACCATAAGGAAACCACACGAACCCATGGAGTTAGATCCAGACAAAGGCTTCCTACACACCATGTGTTTACAAAACGTTTAGAGCACACACCACACCCTAATAATAATAATAATGAGAACTGTAGTTTGTAAAGGGTGCTGGGAACTGTAGCACTGTAAGTATACTCCTTTCCCAGGATTCTTATTGGGGAGGTGTGTGAATGTATGATGGGTACCTTAATTTGCATTTAGTTCCCACTGAAATCTGTGGGAATTGACCAGATGCCAGCCATGGGATATAAGATGGGGCACCACCACTGCACCGCCTACCAGCTGTGATGGTGCCCACTGAAACTAGGATTGGGCAGCGTGGCAGCAGGGACAAGGGATGCACCGGGTTGGAAGCAGCTGCCACACACCAGTGCCTGGCACCAACAGCTACCCAGTTGGGAAGACGCATAACCTCCTTGAGTATGAATCAGAATGAATGCTCAATAAAGAGTGCGCCTTGTATAACCTCCACATTTTAACCTACTATTTAAAGCATAAAGAACATTTTTTTATATATAGCTCCAGTCCTTCAAGCACATACCTTGGGTTACATACGCTTCAGGTTACATACGCTTCAGGTTACATACTCCGCTAACCCAGAAATAGTGCTTCAGGTTAAGAACTTTGCTTCAGGATAAGAACAGAAATCGTGCTCCGGCGGCACGGTGGCAGTAGGAGGCCCTATTAGCTAAAGTGGTGCTTCAGGTTAAGAACAGTTAAGTACAGACCTCCGGAACGAATTAAGTACTTAACCCGAGGTACCACTGTATGTCTGAAATGTTTCAAGCTGCACTGTTTCCCAGCCCATTCAACTTTGCTGGAGCAGTCATCATGAGCTGGGTAAGTCAGAAAGGTCACAGTTCCCATATTGCTCTGATGTCTCTCTCTCTCTCTCTCTCTCTCTCAGCTCCATCATCCAATGGAGGAAGTTTCCCTGATATCATTTCCATCAGTTCTGAGGAAGAAATGTCTCCTTCAAGAACCCTAAGGCCAAGCACAAGTAATGAAATTACAGTTCAATAAGAATTTAAAAGTTATGACCACAGAAACAGGTTACAGATCTGTAACAAAACTTGGTGCTGTGAAGAACAACTCCAGAAAGAAGATTTGCCTTGTGTCCCTCTGTTTTGGTACCTTAGTGCTGTACTTCCAGAGTCCAAACTTGGCTGTGATGACTCCTTTTCTTGTGGCATTCCTTGAACTTTATTTTTTTTAAAAAGATTCTTTTAAAGCATTTTAGCTTCTTGTAGATTGTTATTTTCAAATGATAGCACCATACTAGATCCTTTCAACAGTACGGAAGTGTTTCACTAGCAAAGTTGCCCCTTACCCTTGCAGCTAGTATTGCATAGACCTTATAATGTCTTTTTATGTATAATTTCCCCACCCATCTACTGCCACCACTTCTTCATTGCAAGGAAGTCTTGCCAATATTCACTGCCCTAATTTTGACAGCTAAATTCGGTAGTCAGAGATCTCCAGCAAGACATTCCCCATTTATACCCTGGGTACACTCTTATTTATTCTGATGCATACACTGCTAAGAGCAGCCATGTCCAAAGTCCGGTCCAGAAAAGTTGTTTCCCTTCATTTGCAAGGAATCGTACAAAACAAAGTGGCACTAATAAAGAAAAGTTCCAGGGTGACAACAGAAAGCAAACTAAAAGTGTTTTTTCAGTTCATCAAAACTATCCAGCAATATCAGGTTATAGGAAAACTGGTGCTATTAACAGTAATCCTTCTAGTTGGTTAATTGGTTCGGCAACTTGACATGTGATGCTAATTATTTTCCCCAATGCACATGACATGTAATGCTAATTAATTCCCCCAAGAGTTAAATGATAACTAATCAGAGGCAGCTACAGTTGCAAATGGCAACAAAATATCTGTGAAAGGAAGAGGAGCAGGTTTGCTCAAGTGTGTTGCAGGTAGAAATACTGTTTGTAAAGAAGTGAGAGCAGTAGTTTACTTGCTCGAATTAACAAATAAGAAAGTTTTGAGAATTTAAATTCTAGATTAAAATTGATTACTTAATTGAGAAGAGGATTGTAACAAAAACACGGGGGCCTAATTTGAATAGTAGAGTGCCTAGTATCTGGTGGGCAGACCAAAGCACTCATCAGGAGAACTATGAGATTCAGACGAGGGTCAGATGCCTTGTCAATCCCAGCAGGTATATAACAGGAAGACCCGGCCTGCCCAGGCAGCTAACCATTAGCCATGCTGGCTGGGGGTGGTGGAAGTTGGAGTCCAACAACATCCAGAGGGCCTCAGGGTATCAGTCTCTAAATACAGTGTTTGTGTTTATATGCAAACATACACGTGCAGGTATTTATCATCATCATCATCATTATGTATTAAATTTATTAGTCACTGTTTTGCTAATGCAACCCAAAGCAATTTACAATAAATGCTTTTGCTGAGACATATTGTTGCAGTTTTGCCACATTCAAAAATAGCCATCATGTACCTCACTCTGTCTCTCTGTCTCTCCCCACACATCTAGCTGTATCACTGGAGAAGTATAGTTCTGCTGTAATTTCTATAAGTTCCGTGGAGGAATCAAACACTCCCAAACCAAGAAGAGGTAATCTTGTTTTCAAGAGGCACTAAAAGCAATGCTAGCTGAAGATTTGTGTGCCCCAGTATAGATTGTGTCTGCTGCGGGAATGAACTCTTTACCTACCTGTTTGTTTCCAATTTGCGGTACAAAAACAAGTGAAACCATCTAATGTTGAAGAAGGGGTTGTAGGGCGGGTTTATCTCATCTAGCTCTGTTCTTCCTTTGAATGAAACTAAAAGCCTTTTTAATTAGCAAAAGATACGTAGAAGGAGAGTTTCAAAATACTTCAGAATAATAAAGAGAAAGGGGCAATGTATATAAAGAATTGTGTAGAAAAATAAGATACATCAGCTAATTTTTATTAAGTAGAATTGTTCTCTGAGTCTCAGTGGTACCTTGTGCCCATTGATAATAACAGGACAGGAGGTAGGGAGACCAACAGTGGATGGAGCCATAGCCAATTACAGGCAGAGTTTTGTCCCATCCTTCTTCCTGCTGAGGAGTTCAAGGTGGAGCAATACTAAGAAGGAGGAAGCTGGCAGCCAGTACCACCTCCTGGACAGGCAGGGCAGAGCCAGCTGGTGGCAGACAGAGGTTGGTGGGCCAGTGCTGCACCTGCCATAATGGAACAGCCTCCACTGGTGATCCTGAAACTTATACCCATTTACATGGGAGCAATGACATTGAATTTGCTGCTTACATCTTAATAAACTGTATAGGATCACACTGTTTTAAAGCAAGTATAATTCACATCCCTCTCTGGTGCTGAGCTTATTTTTATTGTAATCTTAGAGACGACTTTCATGCCTGATACAAAAACAAAGTTTTGGCTCTTTCTGATGCTGTCTGTGCCACACGTGATGAATGTTGGCATGGAAGAGCAATCCAGTGCACATTCTAGTCAGATTAGATTGTACATTTAGCAATGCAAGCAAGCCTGGCTTCCGAAAAGTGCCCTGATTTTTTCCCTCCGTAGAAAACATTGCATATGAAGTCAACTTCAAGGAGAGGAATATTGAAGGTACTTGTTGCAATTGTTACTGCTATAACTGTCTTTACTACAGATAGCTATTAGGAGGATTTCAGTGTTTAGTCAGCCAGTGAGATTAATTGGTATAAACCCCTTTGGTTGAGTGACAAAGTACTACCCAATTAATCAGGCTTACATGATAAAAACGTAGTATGTATGGATTACTTAAATCCACATTTATTGGGATAGAAACTGTGTCTCTTTCATATACTGCTTCACAAGTCATCCCAATCCCAGATTGTAGAACTGAGAAGAAATTCAGATTGCATAAACGATACTAGGCCTTTTTAGCCCTGTATCAATTGGGCGTATGGACACCCTGTATATATAAATGCTTGATTATCCTTAAAAAAAACAACCTAGACAACTGAATGAGAAAATGAGAAGAGAACAGGCATGGTCCTCCTAAGAAACATATTCTTTTATAGGCAAGGAAAAGCAGCTTTCTTTGTGTGTAGGGATGCCATTCTTGAAATGTTTACTTATTGTTTGTTTGTTTGTTTGTTTGTTTATGTCTTTTTTTCCAAGGTCAGCTTTTTTCCTCTTGCATTATCAGTGCAAATCAGCAATTATATTTCTAATTTTAGTGGAAAATATAATTTTAATCATTCCTTATGTGTTTTATGTATTCTTAACCATGTATTGTGTATTATTTGAGCAATGTATTTTATTTTAAGAAATACAGTAAGCTCTGGGAATTGATGCCAAAAACAGTGTAAGATGTGTATCTTTTGTGTTTGGTAGAAATCTGCATATGCTGTGGAAGCCTTGAGATTCGCACTCAGCACCCTTTGTTTCAAGGAGGAATGTGTGCTCCATGCACAGTGAGTAGCTGATTTGGGTCAGACATGCTACACTTCCTTTATCTAACAGGCTGGGCAACTTTTCTTTAAAAAATAAAGGGGAAAAGAGGAATCAAGGAATTGCTGGAAAAGCCAGTGTTAGATTGTCCACCAAATTCTAAAGCAAAAAAATTGCATCTGTCCAAAAGATGCTGGCAGTCTCCAGTTCAACTCTCACTTTAGCCACAAACTCCCTTGGTGGCCTTAATTAAGATGTTTTTCCCCGCCTCAGTTCCATCATCTGTTCTAGGGGAATAATGATGGTCGCCATCTTTAAAGAGTTGTTTTAAGAAGTACTGAGCTTGGAACAGCTGAAATGCTAAATCTCATTATTAACTAACTACAGTTTTCTGCTGCTGCTGTTTTAAAAGGAACATCTTTTGGAGAGATTTTTCCTGTGTGACAATGATGGGTACAAGACTGATTGTGCCATATGCTGCTGGAGCAAATCTCTCATAATGTGTGATGATCCAACCTGTAACAGGTAACTGACCTCCCAAACCACATTCAAGTTTATAGCAGTGCCTTTGGATATGGGATTCAAATGCTGTTGCCGTAAAACCTGGCTTCCATATTCAGATAGAATGTGCATATTTACCTCTCTAACAGACTACTCCCCTTACACTTGGTGGAGCATATCTGCAATATCTTCTGCCTCAGAAGTTCTAGCCATGCCTACTCAAAAGTATGTCCTTTTGAATTTGATCACACATACTTCCAGGGAAGTGGGGTTGGGGGCACAGCCTTACAAGCCAAAGTCTGTAGTTCAGTTGTGCCTCTCGCTTTCATAGTTGTGGAGCCCCCTGCAACACCCCCAGGCTCTGTGTCCAGTGTGATCGAACCAGTTAAAGGTAAAGGTAAAGGGACCCCTGACCATTAGGTCCAGTCGTGGCCGACTCTGGGGTTGCAGCGCTCATCTCGCTTTATTGGCCGAGGAAGCCGGTGTACAGCTTCCGGGTCATGTGGCCAGCATGACTAAGCCGCTTCTGGTGAACCAGAGCAGCGCACGGAAACGCCGTTTACCTTCCTGCCAGAGCAGTACCTATTTATCTACTTGCACTTTGACGTGCTTTCGAACTGCTAGGTTGGCAGGAGCTGGGACCGAGCAACGGGAGCTCACCCCATTGCAGGGATTCAAACCGCCGACCTTCTGATCGGCAAGTCCTAGGCTCTGTGGTTTAACCCACAGCGCCACCCGCATCCCAGTGTGATCGAACCAGTTACACTCCCCTAAATCCACCTCTGGTGCTTGGATTGGGTCCCTGTGGTGCTGCAAAGGAATGAGGTGTTCTGTGGGGCACAACTGCTCTATTCTAGGATGTGAATCATTGTGATGCAGGGATACAGAGTGGAGATAAGAGTATCATAGAGCAACTCATTTGAGTGTCCAGTTGCCCAGTTACCTGTGCACCAACCCTCAGCTTCAAACTTCCATATCTTTTTAATCTAAGTCAGTTTTGTGTAAATCAGGTCCTTAGCCAGGGCTCACTCAGAAATTATGAATAAGTGGGAGGAAAGGAAGTGCAAGTCACCCATACTTCTGCTTTTGCATTGCTGGTATAAAATCTAACATAGATGCTCACATGTTTTTCCTTGTAGTGAAATGTGTGAGCTCTCCCCACATCAAAAAACATGCAGCACTCCTATTTAGATGCCTCTCCCCCATTTGGATAATTTTCGAAACTCCAGCAAGAACAAGTCCCTGTACGAAACAGCAGCGAATTTTTTGGATGTATGACACATATTTGAAATGTAAAAATGCCTTCAAATCATCTTTTGCTGTCTGTTTCAACAATGCAGGTGTTTTTGTGAAGAATGCATGGACAGCCTCGTGTGTTCAGGATTCTCAGACGAGATAAAAAAGAAGTCTCCCTGGATATGTTTCCTGTGTGCACCACAGCGAGCATATGGTCTACTCAAGAGGAAGAGAAGATGGCGTGCAGAACTGAAGCGCTTCTACGATCAAGAGTCTGTAAGGGAAAGTTCCGTTGCCTTTTACAGATGTATACAGGAACAAGTCAAAGGGCTGCAGATCCTTGTATTAACTGGGTCACTTTTCAGCAGCAGAAGTGGGCAACCTATGGACCACCAGATGCTGTTGCACTACCAGTCTTAGGGTCACTGACCATTGCCCATGCTGGCTGGGGGTCAGGGGAAGCCATCTGAGGTGAAATGGGAAATGCTGCCTCCTGCCCCCCCCCCCGTGCCCCACCTGCCACCACTACACCTTGGCAAAATTGGCTGAAAAAGAACTACCATATTTTTCGCTCTATAAGACACATTTTTCCCCTTCTAAAAAGTAAGGGGAAATGTGTGTGCGTCTTATGGAGCGAATGCAGGTGGGAGGCTCCGCTCAGCACTCCCTTTAAAGAGCCACGTGGAGCATGTGGGGCCCCCAAGAGCCGCACACACACTCCACGCACTCTTTAAAGGGAGTGCGGCTCTTGGGGGAGCCTTAGCCTCTCCTGCGCAGCCTCTCCCGGGCAGGGGAGAATTCATGCCGCTGCCTGGGAGAGGCTGTGCGCGGCTATCCCATAAGCCAGGACAGCAAGCAGGATCGCTGAGCTGCGATCCCGCTTGCTGTCCTGGCTTCTGGAATTCAGAATATATTTTTTCTTGTTTTCCTCCTCCAAAAACTAGGTGTGTCTTATGGTTTGGTGTGTCTTATAGAGCGAAAAATACGGTAACTTAAACTAGATGCTCCGTTTCCAGCAGGTGGCAGCAAAACTATTTCAGCTGACCTGAAACACTGCATGGTCATTTACTAAAATGACATTTTTAAAGGGGGCAGGGAGAGAGGACCCTGTTAATTGGAGGTTTATGCCAAGCAGCCCCAATCTCTGCTTTCCTTTTCACTAGTAGTAGTGCATATGGAGAGGCAGAGCCACCCTCCCAACACCAGCATCACTGCAGCTTACCTGGAGAGGCCTGGGCTGGGGTGCCAGTGAGGCTGGAGCTGTGCAGTCGAACTAGAAGGAGTACCAGATTGACTGGTGGGGTTCCTGCAAGTCCAACCACAAGTCCCACCCCACCCCCCTTGAGGCTTCAGCCTGTCCAAGTAAGAAGCAGCAGGGCAGCTCAGCTCTTCTGACTTGGTATTGCCAACACGGACTGGCAGCCATCAGGAGCCCTTCCCAGACCTATCTGATGACGACGAGGTTTGAACATCAAACATTGGCCATATGATGCATGTGCTTTGGGGCCCTGACCTGTGGCCCTTCTCATAAGCCTTTAACACCATCCTAGAGAAAAGAAAGTCAGAGGAAGGAAGAAGAATCAGGAAAGCCACTGCCAGTGTGAGTAGCCAGTAGTGAATTGAACAGAGAGGCCGTTTGGCCTGCTGTAAGGCAGCTTTCTAAGGAAGTGTGTGGCAGAGGTTGGGGGGAGAGTCCTTGCTTAAGAAGAGAGCATTTATCCTTTGCCTGAAGGGCAAAGCAGTTGATACATGTTGTCCACTCATCAGCAATGTGGTCTCTTCCCAATGATAAATTTCTAATACCCTCCAAAGAGCTTCTCCCAAGGGATCTAGCAATGGGTAGTGGTGCCACATTTGCCTTTAGTTAGACACATTCTTGGAGAATATGGCTAAGTTCTTTCTCCACCGTATGCCTCCGAAGGCCAGTTGCTGGGAACTGCAAGTTGGGAGAGTGCGTTCTACTCAGGTCTTGCTCAAGCTTCCCATAGGCACCTGCTTGGTCTCTCTGAGAATAGGAAGCTGGACTAGACGGGTCTTTGGCCTGATCCAAAAGGGCTCTTCTCATGTTCTTCTGTATCACCAAGGAAGGCACGGTGGGCATTTGCCATTAGGATGGATCCATGAATCTCAAGGTCATATATGTTAGGAGAACCTCAATAGCTTATTATTTTGCATGGATTTAACTGCTACTGGCCCCAAATGCAGGTACTGAGTAGTCAACATTATTTAAGCTGTGGAAATCTTATGGTGATTGTTTCTGCATTGCATTGTTAATGTTGTTTTGCATTTCTTAGCCCTGGTGCTGCAGCTACCTGTGACTTAAATAGCACCTGCATCCCTGTTGCAACTTGATATCGATGTAGTAGAACCCTTGTATTTGTGAATGTGCTAACAACAGAGCATCATTCCATTATCGAAAGGCTCCGATATGATCAGAGTAGCATTTATATATTTCCCAGGAAGGTGGGATATAAATAATTTAATACAGTTTAAATAAAATTAATAAATGCATTGATCTATAGAGTGCTGTCAGAGCCTGTTGATAACCAGTTAATAAAAAGTATTCATGTTAATACATGTAATAACTAAAATCACATACTACTTGTTCGACAAGTTTTGACAACAACAACAACAACAAAAGCACCTCATGCAAACATGTATCTTTTTATCAATTGTGTTAGAACCATCTGTGGATATATCAGCCTTTGCAGACATGGGATAAAAAACCAGTCCGTGTGCTCTCCCTTTTTGACAATATTACACAAGGTACGTAACTGAGAAATTAGGTTTGCAACATGTTTACCCTTCCCCTTTATCAGAGGTGGGAAACCTTTCTAGCCCAGAGGGCCAGATTATTATCTCCCCGAATTTCACAGGTAGGTGAAACTTCCTACCTGTCAGTCATCTGATGTCACAGTGACCAGTTTCCCCCCCACACAAGGGACTGCAGAAGTCCCATTCAAAACACTGCTAGCAGCACCTTGTTGGATCTCCAGAAGCTAAATTTAAGGAGCTGGTTAAACGAAACTTCTGTAGATTTAACAAAGCATAGGTCAAGGCAGAGCTTTGTCAGGGGCTGGTGAATATTTATTCAGAAGCATCTCTCAAAATGCTGTTTTGCCCAACCCTTTTAATGAGGCTACTGAAGATCATCAGCTGATTGAGCAAGGGTTCTTTGAAAGGGGCTTCTGATATCTGTGGCTTGGCATAGTTGTTAGGATGATTGGGAGCTTATCTAAAGAGGGGGTGCTAAAAAAAAAGTCATTGCTTTCTGAATGTTGCTTTTTAAAGTGGTCTTTGCTTATATTAAAAATATAACATGGCAATTTCTGTCCAAAAACAGCCTCAATCCAACTATACTTGGATAGCTTAAAAGTCTCTCTGTTTCAGTGGGAGATAATGAAACATGTGCTTTAGCTCCTCCATTGAAACCAGTCCCATTTATTATAGAAGACTGTGAAAAACTTTTTAACATGTTTACCAACCTTCACTTATAAGTAAGGTTTACAAAACAAAAACCATGAAATTAAAGCACTGCTTACAAATTGGAGAAAAATGGGTGCCCCTTGCCAAGTGGAAGAGAAACAGCCAGTTTGGGTGATCTTTATCTTAATCCTTCCTGACTAGCTCCTTGGGTGCATTCCATACTAAGCAATTAATCAAGAATTGTCATCCTTCACTTACTCACTAGCTGCTGCTGCGAAATCACTGCATTCCACTGTTTCCTGTCTTCCCACACCCACTCTTTTTGAGACCTAATTTGTGGCTGCTCTTTTTCCACTGAAAAGGCAATTGCATCACAAACCTTCTAGTATGGACTGGCAAAGCACTATTGAGAAACCTAATGGGGTCTAATCGTAATGTGGATTAAAAAGTTGTACCTGGTTTGAAAACCATCAGAAATCCCGCAACTTCCCTTGCCCCACTACTTTTCAATAATGGTTTGCCAGTTCACATTTATTCCATTTATTTTAGCTTATTTTTATATTTGGAGCCAAAATAGAGATTCCTGCAATGTTGTCCTAGGAAGGGGAACAAATTGAGGAAGGGTGTTAGAGCCTCAGTGGTGGTAGAGCACGTGATGTACCTGCAGAAGATGCCAGGTTCAATCCCTGGGAAAGGCTCCTGTCTGAAACCTTGGAGAGCTACTGTTACTCAGAGTTAATATTGCGTTAGATGGCCTAGTGGTCTACTTTGGTATAGGGCAGCTCCTTATGTTTCTAGCCACTATTGATTGCACAATTCACACAATTAGCTGAGTAGCGAGCAAGTGCAACTGAGTTGAGTGAGGTTCTATTTTGAGTAGACACCTGTCAGTCTGCACTATGTTGTTGTTTTTAGTCTCCCATCTTTTCTGTGCAAAATAAAATATAATGCACCGAAGAAAGAAATGGTGGGATAGTGAGAGCACATTTGCAAGTGATCTCCCCCATTCCTATAAATTCTTGGGAATGTTGTGGCACTAAAGAAACATGCACATTTTAAAAAGAGTAGTGGGAACTGCAGTAATTTTAACCCCTTACCAGAACAAGCCTGCTAGCAATCTGCTCTCTCTTAAAAATAGGAGAGGAATTTCTTTAATTCAGAACATCTCCCACTCTTCTCTAAATCCAGGGAAATGGCAGAGGGAATCTCCATAGTCTAGTCTAGGAGACATTGGGAAGAGAAGAGTGTGAAGAGAAGAGAAGGCAGCCACAGCAGGAAAGATACAGAGAAGAAGGAAAGATGAGAAGGAAGCTCAAGTCAGCACCCAGGAAAACCTATTCTCCCCGCCCCCACCCAAGGAGATTGAATGAAAAGCCTACATTAGGAGTGAGAAGCCTGTAGCTCTCCAGATGTTGGGGCATAGCCAATGATCAAAGGTGATGGGAATTCTAGCCCAGCAAAAGGCATGCCGGGGTCTACATTTAGGTTCCAAAGTCCAACATTGAGGGGCCACTGCAAAAGTGCCACTGCCATTTTGAATAACTTCCATCCAGCACACAGTAAAGCACTTATGAAGCATTGTCTGCAAAACTCCTGTGTCTCCTTTAGGGCACCTCATCAGTAAAACACACATGTGTCGCGTTAATATTGGTATTCATTTAGGTCCTCATTTCTATTCTCCAGAGCTGAAAAGTTTGGGGTTTCTGGGGGAAAGCAAGGGCAATGGGACACTGAAGTATTTGGATGATGTCACTGACGTGACACGAATACATGTAAGTAAATGTCACTGAACTTTGTACTACTCATATTTCTAATTTTGTTAGATGGGTATATTCTTTCTGCTCCTAATATATTAACTGTATCTTACTGGGATAAAATCAGATTCGCTTCCAGTCAAAGAATTACAAATTCTTTCATTGTTTATTATGTTGAAGTCAAGGAAAGGACAGTCTTGCCCCTTTAACACTGGACAATCTGAAAACTAGTCATAACTGTTTGATGCTGGTAATAACTGAAGAAAGAATAAGACAGGGCCAGCACAGGGAGGCAGTTACCCCAGGCAGCAGATCCAGGTCCATGGAGTTCGCTATTCACTACTGCACCCCTTTGCCATGGCCATAGACCCCTCCATGTCTTCAGCCACACCCACAACCCTGTGGTTTTGTCCTCCCGTCCACACCACACACCGCACATGCTGCCACGCCACTGCACTGCTGCTGCCTGCTCCTCTCTGGCCTCCTTTTTTGTGATAACAACATGTTATTACATAAAAATGAAGTTGAAATTGGTAGTAAAAAAGATGAAAATAAGCAAAAATCTGGAAAACTCTCTAATACAATAACTAAGATGCACAAATCTATAAACAGAACATATGCCACAGTAATATTTCTGCAATGGATAAAGAACTATGCAATAATCTGGATACAAAGAAACCCTCTTTACAGTGCATGAGTTATACTTATGTTTATTTAGAGCAGCGCTTTAGATAGCTAAAATACCAGTATATTATGTTCATCATTCAGATTTTCTGGATAACTGCAATGCCAAACACACTTCAGCTTGTTAGGCTTCTTCAGTGCAGTGGCATAGCGTGGGTTGTCAGCACCCGGGGCAAGGCAAGTAATTTGCGCCCCCTAACCCGGTAGGGGCAGAGAGCTGCGAGTGCGAGCGCCCCCCCGATGTTGCACCCGGTGCGGCCGGCCCCCCCTGCACCCCCCACGCTACGCCACTGCTTCAGTGGTCTATTTTTTTTAAAAATATATACAGCATCCTTGATGCATGAATTAAGCTTATCCCACATTGTGTAGGTTAAATAAAATTAAACAGTCTGAGGAGCTGCCAAAGGGTTAAGCATCAAATAGCACTGTAAGGAATTTCTTCAAGAATAAATTTATTTAAGTTTATTACCATCAACTTCTTTGTTCAAACACTGCTGTTTAATCAGTGTGTAAAACTGGTTCTTTTGTTTGTTTTGGATAAAAAACAGCCTACCAGAAATTCTGGAGAAGGAACAAGAAGCCATGGGTTTTGATTACATTGGGATGGTTAACCTGTGGCCCTCCATATGTTGTTATATTTCTGCTGTCACCATCCCTGACAATTGAGTATGCAGTTGGGGCTGATGGGAGTTGGACAGCAACATCTGGAGGGCTGTAGATTCTCAACATCTGTTATAGATGGATGGAAAACTGTCTATTTTTTATTTATTTTTTCTACTTAACATTCTGTGGGTATTCTGCATGATAGGATCATTTATCTTTTGAACTGCCCCGAGAGCTTTTATTGAAGGGCAGTATATAAACATAAATAGGTTCAGAAATTAAATTTAGTATTTCTAATACTTAGTGGAGCACGTCATAGTCACCCTGCGTAACACCACTGGCAATTTAATAGTTTTGTCATTTGTCAGAAGAGGCCAAGCTTGGACTAATCCAAATAGTTAGTAGCAATGTGGTCAAAGGTAAACTAGTTGGTAAGGTTAGGTTGGTTCTGTGGCTAGGAAGTGGTAGTAATCCAGATCCAGAACAGGCCCATCAGAATGTCTATCAAGCAAACTGGTGCGTTTCTGAAAGGAGGAGGAGGAGAACGAGAACCCATGTGAAATTAACAGATGAAAGATGGGATCCTGCATCCAAACTACTGTGATTGTTTTGTTTTGTTTATTAGATAGAAGAATGGGGTCCATTTGATTTTATATTTGGGTCTACGCCACCCATTGGAAACTCTTATCAACAGCCCTCTGGTAAGAAAAGCAAACATGCATGAAACTGTAGCTCTTATTGTGTCTCTCTGATTCTGGTCAGTTCCAAGAGACGGACCATTTCCTCTCCACTCTTCTCCAAAACAGGTTAAATACTGCAGCTCCAACATACAGTATTTACTTGGGAATACGTTTCACTGATCTTGCTTCCTTATAAATATTTGTAGCTAAGCTGCACAATCTTAAGCATGATTCCTCCAAAGTAGGCCACACTGTGATAATGGGACTCAGTCCCTGGTGATTGTGCACAGGATAGCGGTTGGGCAGCGTGAGCCTAGGGTTCTGCAGTGTCAGCTAACAACATCCCAATGCGCTTCCAGTAACTCGTGGAAAGCAAAATGATGCAATATATATTGTACGAGCACTGATACAGGAAACGGGAGACACCAAGAGCCACGGCTAGAGCATGCTGTGACAGTGCTGCATCATACATCAGTCACGATCGCGGTCGCTGACTACATTCCATATTAACAGCATATCAGATAGGCATGGAAAGTACCTGCCATTTGGCGTGTGATGTAACCTCATCTTCTACTACCATCTTGCTCTTATCCACAGAGCACCACAAGGAAAAGCTGACAGTGCCTTTTCCCTGGCCTTCCCCTCCAACTGCAATCTTGCCTCATGATTTTGTTCCACAGCTAGAGGCTATATAGCCACTAACCGCAGAACTTCCTATAGACAGATATTCAGATTCCCTAGCAGCCCAAATACAGACAGGCACAGGTTATACAACAAAACTCTTTTGCTGGGGTTTCCTCAAGCCAGTGGTTCAGAGGAAGTCTGTACTGACCTGCAGTAAGCGTAGGTTTCCCACTGATCTCTGCCCTATTGGTATATACTGGTATATCAAAAAGGAAGTGTGAGGGCTCAGACAGGGTCCTAGAGTCTTCCTGTCTGCTTCCCAAAGCTGGGCAAGCACTTACCAAGCTTTGGGAAGGAGATAGGAGGGCTTTAGGGCCCTGCCAAAGCCTCTTGCCTCCTTCTGAAAGCCGGCTTAAGCTGGTCTTGTGAAAACTAGACGGAGGGTGTCAAATGTTGGTCTGGTACCATATTACCTAGATACGCCCCTGGCTGGAGACCTTCTTTATACCTAAAGTGTATAACTAAAGTGTCCATTCCCTGTCAGCGGATGGATGGAGGGTGGATGCCTAAGAGAAAGGAAAGCACACCCCTCAGGCCTTTATATCCTGCTACCTACCCCACCTTGCAATCTATCTCTAAACATGAGACCTGTGCAGCCTCAGACTCCTGCTGTTATATTTGCATGTCTTTATAACATCTAATCTCTTCAGGAGTGGCCAGTTTGGCACCCATAAGCACCCATTTGCCTCCAGAGGCTTTGCCTGGTGCCCAGAGGTGGCTCTCTTCCCCCTTTCAGTCATTCTTTTCTTTAAAAAGGAAGCGGGTGGGCTGGAGCACCTTAGAAAGGCATTTTCAGAGACCATCTTTTTATAGCCTGTTTTCTCTTCTCCCTTCCCTTTAAAGCCTGGTATTTTTACCAATATTTTCGTATTCTTCAGTATGTGACACCCCCGGAAAGGATGTTTTTCTGGATGTTTGTGGATAACCTTGTGCTGGAGGAAGAAGACCGAGATACAGCTTCTCGATTCTTTCAGGTGAGTAGCAAAACAAAATGCCTTCAAGAGGTGAATGAAGAGATAGTTTGCTTCACCACTCACTTGCAGACATTACAGTCATACCTCAGGTTGAATACGCTTCGAGTTGAGTGCGTCCGAGTTGCGCTCCGTGGCAACCCGAAAGTAACGGAGTGCATTACTTCCGGGTTTCGCTGCTTGCGCATGCGCAGATGCTCAAAATGACGTCACACGCATGCACAGAAGCGGTGAAAAGCGACGCGTGCATGCACAGACGTGCCATCGCTAGTTAGGTTTACCTCTAGATGCGAACAGGGCTCCGGAACGGATCCTGTTAGTATCTAGATGTACCACTGTAATTTAATACAGATTTTCAGTGGCTCAATTCACAGTTTGAAACAACAGTTTTATTTTATTTATGTAATTATTTGTTGCATTTCTATATCTCTTGGAGCATCTTACTTCAGTATTGTTCAATCTGTATTGGCTCCCAGATTTTGAATTCTGTATTATATTCTATTGGCATCAAATGAGAGATTTAGTTCTAGCTCTTGAGACATATGTATGGTTTTGGTCCTTTTAAAGATGGAAGCTGTGCTCAGATATAAGCAGCATGATGACACCATCCAGAATGCAGTACACATATGGAGTAATATCCCATCTGTTAACAGGTAACTGCTTTCTCAGATATCCCAGAAGTTTCTGTGTGTGTGCTTGTGTTAAAGCCAAACCAGCTGCAGAGCATTTAAGATTTTGTTTTCTACATCTGGAAATCCTTAGGCTTTTCAATGTTCCTATGGCTTCCAACTCACTTTTACAATAGAATCAGAGGACTGCAAAATTGGAAGAGGCCCTGAGGGTCATCTAGTCCAAACACTGAAGTACAGGAATCACAACTAAAGCATCTATGACAGATGGCCATCCAAATTCTGCTTGAAAACCTCCAATGAAAGACATTCTACTGCCTTCTGAGGGAATCCATTCCACTGCCAAAAACTCTAACCATCAAGAGAGTTATTCCTAATGTTTAATTGAAATCTCCTTTTTTCTAACTTGAATCCATTGGTTTGGGTCCTACCCACTGGAGCAGCAGAAATCAACTTTGATCCATCTTCAATGTGCCAGCTCTTTAGATAACTTGTTAATATCATCAAGGGATGTGGGTGGCGCTGTGGGTTAAACCACAGAGCCTAGGACTTGCCGATCAGAAGGTCAGCGGTTCGAATCCCCACGACGGGGTGAGCTCCCGTTGTTCGGTCCCAGCTCCTGCCAACCTAGCAATTTGAAAGCACGTCAAAGTGCAAGTGGATAAATAGGTACCACTCCGGCGGGAAGGTAAACGGCATTTCCGTGCGCTGCTCTGGTTTGCCAGAAGCGGCTTAGTCATGCTGGCCACATGACCCGGAAGCTGTACGCCGGCTCCCTCGGCCAATAAAGCGAGATGAGCGCTGCAAGCCCAGAGTCAGCCATGACTGGACTTAATGGTCAGGGGTCCCTTTACCTTTACTAATATCATCAAGTTGTTATTGTTGATACAGTAATCAGAAACGCAATATTCAAAAGCTGTAAATAAGCTTGGATGAAAGGAGACTGCAATGTGAAACCACTGAATTAAAATACATCAGGATTTCACTTGTGGATTGAACCCAAACCCAAATGAAGACAATTAATTTTTAGCACATGATATGTGTTAATTGGCTTACATAATTACATTTGCCACTTTTCTGCATTTCCCTCTGACCTCACTTTTTACAGCTTCTTCCCTCACACCAACCAAAAAACAACAACAACCCCATGTGATACTCAGGATAACACTTCATGCATCTGATGAACCGGTGGACTGTAGTTCACAAAAAGTTATGGCATAAAAAGTTGCTAGCCTTTTAAGATGCCACAAGACTCAAAAGACTAATGCTGCTCCTCTGGAAATCGTTGTAACTTGTTCACTGTCCTGTCTCAGTTTGTGTGGGTCTCAAGGCCTGTTGAAACTAGAAGGCAGCGAAAAAAGAGGAAGAAACTCAAGTTGCTTGAAGGAAAATACGTTTGAGGCCTGACGTGTTTTAGAACAATACTTCCTTTGCGTCACTATAAATATATAAATAATACAAGCATTTATCTAGTAAAACCAAATAAAAATAGAACACCTAAAACAAGGCAAGTCTTACATCTTCCTCATTACAGTATTGGTTTTCTAATTGTTTTCCATACTTAAGAGGTTATCTCATTTTTACCCCAAATCTGTACTGGTAGAATGGCTTAGGATGACACAGAAGTGTTCATCTGCTTGGTGCTATTTTTTCACTTCTCTCAGTTTAATATAGTTACACGCTCCCAAGCTAAGAGGAGTTGTCTCTCTTTTGGAGACTTCTTTCTTTTAACGCCCTCTTTCTTTTGGAGACTTCACAGACAGATGTACAACAGAACACAAACGGAGGCAAACATGCACTCTGACAACACAGCAGCAGATCTGATACCCCCTATCAGATTGGGAATGTGCTCCCAAACCCAACCGGGGCTTCATGCTGGTTTCCTGCCAAAAATGCCTCCCTCCCTCCGCTGCTATTTTCTCCCAAAGGGACTGTATGCAGTAAATAACACCTTCGGTGGCAAAGGACTGGTGGGGCATCATTATTTGCAAGAAGCTGGTGCAGGGCTGCTCTCTACTTTGGATCTAGGCCCCAGAGCTACCTTTACTTCGACAATAAAAGGTGCTAGTTTAAGGAAGCTTTTTTAAAACAAAACAAAACAACAACCAATATTATCATATTGCGTAACTTGGGCCATGTGATATAAAAAAGTGACATTTTTATTCCTTACAGGCCAGAAAGAGACCCAAATTGTACAGTGGGATGAACTAAATAAAATGCAATGGAGAAAAGGGGTAATACTGGAATGGGGGAAAGGATGGGAAGTAATAATGGCACAGATTGAGTAAGGTGCTATTGAATAAAGGGGTACAAATTAATAAAATAGGTGGTTTTTTTGTTTTTGCCTTCCCCTTTGGTCCTTTCTCCTTTGCCTCTGGCCCTACCTCTTTGGCCCTCAGAATATTGGCCAGGTTACTATTTATGCCAGGTAAAGATTTGGCTGCTAAATTTCTCTATGCTGGGCTAATATTAAAGGTATCACAGTGACAGTAGCATTGGGTCCAGAGAGCTCATCAATTTGAATTGCACAGCTCTCTTTCGAAGGAACCACATAGTGACATACATTTCAGGGGTATTGCAGAGATGAATCAGTTTGTGTTAATGACACTTCTAGAACATTTGAGCTACAAAAATGCTAACAAAGCATGAATAAGATTATTAAGCTGTTTGCAGGCTGTGGTCAATGCTGGCATCTGAGAACAGGCTCTTGTGAAAGGAATCATTCACTGTTCCTCATTTCACAAGCTACTTATCTCTGCAATATTCTCCCCCATGGCTAGTTCAACAAGTCCATGGTTCATACATGCATGTACATCACTTGATATCTGAATACTCTTGATGAACTGATTCCATGGAAAAGTTGTGTTTTTAGATAGTGTGAAATATGCAGTGGCGTAGCATGGGTTGTCAGCACCCGGGGCAAGGCAAGTAATTTGCGCCCCCTAACCTGTGGATTTTAGCAGGGGGCAGAGAGCTCCGAGTGCGAGCACGCCCCCCCAGATGTTGCGCCCAGTGCGGCCGGCCCCCCCTGCACCCCCCACGCTACGCCACTGGAAATATGCCATTTCACAGCTAACTTGTTTATACATGCAGCTGTCAAGTGGTGTGTATTCATGCATGAACTAGACCTAAACTAAATCATGTCAAATCAAATGAACTGCATACTCTTTTATCTAGGTATCTAGGGATGGAAAGTTGTGCCAGTTTCGGTTCTCTCAATTTCCATGTTTCCCCCCACCTTAAATTCAGTTCTCTACTTTTCTGCAGCTTACTCATTTTTAAAATCCTCATGAAAATTCTTCCACATTTTAGTGTAAATTTCTCCAAATAAGCACATTTGTAGTGCAGTTTTGGCTCATATACGTATTTTTGCAAGCAGTTTCTTCAAATATAGTGCATTTTACATGTTATTTTCACTAATATAATCATTTTTATACACACTTTTACCAATGCATTTTTGTAACCATTGGTTAAAGAACTGCATCACAAAATCTGAATATGTGCAAATGACAAAGGATGACTCTTTTTTGGTTCTCAACATTGTTTCAGAAAGTTCAACATTTGTTAGCTTCACCTTTAAATGTGAACTAAATCAAATTCTTCCCCCATCCCTAATTTGAAACTGAAGAATCATGTATTAGCTTTGGCTTCTGGCATGTGGGTTTAATTAGCTACTCATACAACTATTCTGGGGACGCAGGTGGTGCTGTGGTCTAAACCACTGAGCCTAGGGCTTGCCTATCGGAAGGTCGGCGGTTTGAATCCCAGTGACAGGGAGAGCTCTCGTTGCTCGGTCCCTGCTCCTGCCAACCTAGCAGTTCGAAAGCACATCAAAGTGCAAGTAGATAAATAGGTACCACTCCGGTGGGAAGGTAAATGGCGTTTCCATGCGCTGCTCTGGTTCGCCAGAAGTGGCTTATTCATGCTGGCCACATGACCCGGAAGCTGTACGCCGGCTCCCTTGGCCAGTAAAGCGAAATGAGTGCCACAACCCCAGAGTTGGTCACGACTGGACCTAACAGTCAGGCGTACCTTTACCTTTACAACTATTCTATTCTGGTGAACATTATAATATATGAGAGAACAATTAATACAATCCTGTAGATTAACTTCAGTGAGACCTGAAGATATTATCTGATGCAGCTGAAGGGATCCCCAAATGGGGATGGGTTTTTTCTAATTTAATCTCAGAAGTATGATCCCTGGTCTGCTGCAGCAAAAATAACAGAGTCGTAGGACACGTTAAAAGCAAAGAAACACATTGTGTTACGTTACATTCTGTGTTATTTATGTACTGCTTTGGAGCCCAAAGTGGTGAGCAGACCATCACGGCAAAAGAAAAATGCAACATTAAATAAATCAAAACAATAACAAAATCTACATTCATGAGCTGCATTCCTGTTCTTACCACAGATGGAGCTACCTACAATGCCACCTTTCATATAAAAGCTGGGTAAACTCACACTCAACATACCCTACCCACTCCAGTCTCTCATGTAGGAGCAAGCCCACCCACAAACAATTGCCTGATGGAAGTGGCCTTGCCCTCATCACAACCCATAGGAGAAAACCAAATGAGAACTTTCCCTTTTGGTCTCCTGCCTTTAGGAGCCACCCCACTGAGTGACCCACTGCCCCCTAACAGCCTCCAAATAAATATGGTTCTCCCTGGAAACAGCTACAGCTCTGACTCTTGTTCTTCAAGGGTGGAGTAGCTGGCAAAAAAACAACAACCATCTGGCTCCTCAATAGATTGCTGTTCTCCAGGTGCAGCAATAAGTAACCAAACCAACCCCTGTGTTGCAAAGAGAACATCAGCAATGTCTAGGCAACACGATGACTATGTACATACGCAATAGACAATCTTTATAGAATTCCTTCAAACCATAACAAGCACAAAATGAAATCTTCCGGATATTGACTACTGTTTCGTAAAATTCTTTGTCAGCGTGGTGGGAGGATATAGAATTGCTTTTACATTATTACATGAGCACTGTTCCACAGCATTTGATACTTTAATTTACATACATTCATTCGATATAAGATGGGTTTATGAAGCAATTCTATATCTTCCCACCATGCTGACAAAGAATTCTACGAAACAGTAGTCAATATCCAGAATCACTGTTCAGTGTTGGACATCATATTTGCTGAATATACAAAGCTTTACAGCTTGTCTTTCATCGTACAAAGTCTGGTACCTCAATTCATTTAAAGATTTTTAGATACTTTGAGACTAAAGATTTCATCTTGCACTTGTTATGGTTTGAAGGATTTCTATAAAGATGGTCTATTGCGTATGTACATGGTCATCGTGCTGCCTAGACATTGCTGACGTTCTCCAGGTGCAGCAGAAAAGAGCCAAGGAAGCTAAAGTTGATATCCACATCCCAGAGAGCAATAGTCCTGTTGTTGCTATTGTATTGTCTCTGAATGCATGGCAGTCCCCAAATAAAAGCAGACACAGTCACAGATTAGTCTCTGACTCACAAATCAGACTTTAATCTGTGAGAACGTTTCCCATAACTTTGAAAACCAAAGTTGTGCAAGAGGAAAGCAGCTCATGCAATTGAACTTTCGTGTCCCTTCCTTCCCCCTAAACCTCTCCTCAACAGCAGAGGCTCTGGTGCAGCTGCGGCTGTATTTGAGAAGTCACCTAAAATTAGATGGAGCATTGTCAGGAAACAATGTGGCAACCCTAATCAGTGCATAGCTAATAAGGGCACAATGAGATGTTAGACCCTTTTATATAGGGAAAGGGAAAGGGACCAGGGTGTGGAAGCAGCATAATTTCCTGTATGGCCTGAAATGTAAATATAATGACAAGTTGTTTATTTCCTGTTAAGGGACAAAAGAAGTCACGTCTTTTAACATTTTTACATGAATATTGTGGGGTGTTGTTTTTTATTCTCCAGCAAATATTCTGCATCTGCCTTGTACGTGGATTTGTCTCTGTTGGCAAAGAACATCCTTGAAACCAGAATCTTCTCTCAGCGTCCAGCCACTCTGATTAAGGACTTTTTTGTGCCCTTGAAGGAATATTTTAGGACATTTCCATAAGACATTCTTTGTACTGTAGGTCAGCCTATAAGCAGGGTTGCCATAATCAGCTGTCCCTTTAATACTGCTTTGATATTAACAAGAAAGATTTTTATCTCAATGCAGAGAAATTTCATCTACTGATTTATTCATACCAAGCTGTTTTCGATGCAGAGGAGCCAGCCAAGCTGTTTTTCTTCTAATCAGTTGGCCATCATCCTGAAAAAATATTTTTGGATTGTTGATACAATTCCTATTCCAACTGCCTTCTGCAGGATTCTTTATTTTATTTTACCTGGGTTTGCATCATACATGTACACAAGCTCTAATTGTTATGCTATTTATTCATAATTTAAAAACTTTATAAACTGCCTTTCTGCCCTAACAAGGGCTCACAAGGCAGGATACAAAAACAAAAACAAAAACCAAATGTAATACAATAATATAGTGTACATATTTAAATAATATTTAAATGCTAGAAATTCATGAATGGTGAGGAATTATCACAATTAATGGCTGCAAAATGTTCCATCAGGAGAATGAAAAAATAAAATTTGCAGTGTTAAGAGAATCTTAAAAATTATTTGCTTTTGAGTATATTGTACTTGCTTATGCTTTCCGAAGGGTACTTTTAAAACAAATAAATGTTATTTTGTCATAAGAGAAATGCAAGGTTAAATTTGATTTGTTCACCCCCATTTAAGGAAACAATTTATAAAGTTCTTTATCTGAAATTCATATCACATGACAGTCTTGATCTTTTTTATGTCTGAACCCCAATGAACCCCTAGTGGCTTAAAATGCAGCAAAGCTAATAGGTTTTAAAAATAAAATTGGTCGGCTTACAAAGTAAAAATAGCTTGGAAGCTGCAGCTAACCCACCACCCATTGTCTATCTTGTTCACACATCACTAGCATTGCTTGAAAGAGTAAAATAAATTATACAGGAATCTCATTGGTACTGAAAAAACGGTTACTTCATATTCGCAAGGAGAGAGGAGGTTTCATGGCTGTCTCATGCAGGAGGAGGAGAAAGGGAGGATGATGGAGGAAGGGGTGGAGGTTAGGTGTTAAGTGGAAAACCACAACAGTGTATTTTCCCTGATGATCTGCTCCTCTCAAACCTGCCCTCTACTGACTGGAGTCCTGCAAAGTTGTTTATACCCAACATTTCTGTCCACTGAGTTTTATGTTCCTGTACACAGCAGAGAGAAGGCAGGGATGTCTTCACCCAATGTGTATTGCCTGATTTGTTTCCCTGCGCATTCAGCTCCCCCCTTGCACTCCTATTCAATGCAGCTGTCATCTGCACATGTGCAACAGTTGTCCCAAATGTACACACCTCAACTTACCGGTAACCACAGCTTATCTTTCCAAATCAGATGGAAGCTGATTTGAGGAGAAACACAGGAAATGGGGAAATTTCTCAAGGAGCTACAAGAGACCTATGGATTGTGGTTAATGTAGTGTGTGTTCAGCTCAAACACCTGTGCTAGGGGCACACTGGAGCCACCATAAATGTTAATGTATACTACAGCTGTAGTGTCAGTTATTTGAATTAATAATTATATTCCAAAGCACAGTGCTGGGTTGAAAATGTGTATATCAAAACAGAGAGGTAATTTAAAAATGTATGTTTCTATAAAGGTTTCTGTTTACCAGAATTTTAATTTCCTGAAGGACCAAGCTGATCAACAACATCTTCATACCAGAATAATGTGTTCAGGGTTTTAATGTGCCACCACAGTAAGACACTGTGCAGATTTTTGTAGCATGGGGCATGGGGCAGAAATCTGACCAGCACTGTCTGTCTATGTTTGGAGCAATTTCAAAACTTTTCAAAAAGTTATTTAAACTCTTTAATGTGTAAAATGATGGATACACATGCACTCATGCAGGTTGTTGGGTTTTTAAATTGTGAAATTTCCTTTGTAGGATAAAATTCAACTCAATTCTCCTACTGAAATCTGCCTAGATTCTAGATTATAAATCTATTCTGTACATTCCAGGGCTCTGAACAAAGGTTTCAGGGTTGGTGAGTCATTTTCACAGGTTTTTAAGTATTTTATTGAATGCTATCTCAGACAAAGGGAAGGCCTAGGGCAACTTTATCAGGAAACTGAGATATTAACAAGTTCAAGACTCTGACCAAGTATGTCTCAGGAGATCTACACTGTTCAAAAACTCATTCACAGATACCTTAGTCAAGTTAAAAGGAACTCAAGAGACATCATCCCACTCAAATCCAAATGCCAAAAATCTCTTCATTTAGTCATTCATATTGATATGTATAGAATTAGGGAATGCAACTGGAATGAAGACAATTATGGAATCTTGTTTTTCCCCTGCCTCAGTGATACCCCTCCCATCCTTTTGTACAATTATCCAGCTGTAAACCTTTAAATACCAGAACAAGAGCGCAGCTATGGAAGCAGTAAGGGGGAAGAGTCTCCACAATAACTATTATATTACTCTTTTTGTTGCTGTTCCACCATAAATATAGTTGTGGTGAGATCAGAACTGAAGCCCCATTTGCTATCAGTGCATCATAAGAAAATGTCTAAAAACTAAAATAACATTCTTCACCCTGACATGGCCTGTTGGGAACAAATAAACATTGACACAAGCACTCTCTCTACTTCTGCCAATGTGGGAACAACTTACAAGAGCTAGATAATTTGTTAACTCTGTATCTGTGTTTAGTGATGGATATGGGTCAATAAATTGAAGCTGAATCCTTTTTTTATATAAGATGTTTTAAAGCTTTTTCATAATAAGATAAAATAAACTAATCTAAATAAAAGCAAAAAGAGAGAGATAAAACAGTGTCCTTTCTCAAAGGTAGTTCTTAACCCTTGTATAACTAACACAGATTAAGCTTCAATCAATAAATTGAAGCTGAATCCTGATGAGACACAGGTATTGTTTTTCTCAAGTTCTCCAATCTGGGGGTAGCTTGTTGTGGTATCATGATTAAAATGAATTGTGTTTCTCTTGTAAGCATAATAATAATAATAATAATAATAATAATTATTATTATTATTATTTTGACAATATGTAGCAAAAACCATTAAATAAACTGGCTTACTTTGAGTACCTTCTTATCTGCAGTAATGGGGTACTTCTTAAAACAACTGAATATGATGAAACTTCTTTTGTTTATTTTAAGGGATCTAAGGTTCCTTATATATTTTTAGCAGGCCTTCTCACTCCAATGTTAATGGTTCTAATGCATTTAAAATTCAGGACTTCTTTACTTAAGATTCAATTTGGTTTCCCTCAAGGCTAGCCACTTGTTTATTAGGAAAGTCCCCATTTGATGTCTTTAGGGGTTAATTTTTTGGGGAAATCAAATCTAAGCATCAGCTGCATAATCTGTGAACATGCCAAAAAGCCTGGCAGGGGTTGTTTTTGTTGCTTAGCCTGTTTATAAGTTAAAATGTGAAATTTAAACAACTGGTGAAAGCTGAGAACACTAAAGTAGGAATCTGCATTTCTTAAGGATCGCTCAGTTGGTTAGACTGTGGTGCTGATAATGCCAAGGTTACAGGTTTGATCCCTGTACGGGACAGCTGCATATTCAAGTTGGACTAGATGATCCTCAAGGTCCCTTCTAGGGACAACAGAATGCCTAAACCTATTTTGTCATATGCTGGGCCAATAGCAAAATAGCCACACACATCCTCTGAATTCCATAGCTATGTTTCTGTTTTAACAAGGGCAACAGAAAGAAGAATAAGGACTTTTACTTATGTGTATTCTATATATTATGCTCAGGGTGTTTTAGAATGGAGGTTTTGAGATTTAGCAAACACAGCACAGCTGTGATATTAAGGGTACCAAACACAGACACTTCCTTTCCAGTTTCCTGTGTTTGTGCTATGACTGAAGTTTGAAGAAGTTGCTTTCGGGAAGTACCCTGTATATTGTAATAATGCCATTAAAAATAGACAATTATATAAAATATAATAGTACAAGTGACATGTCTAATGGTGTGGGTGGTTAGTCCATATCTTATCTTCTAGAACCTAAATTCTCTTATAGCCTTTTGTGGAGAAATCCTGCTTATTTGAACTGTATTTTAATGAGTACTGCGAATGTATCCTGTCAGTTTGATAGGGGAAGTCTTCTGTCTTGTCAGGTGAAAATTTGTTTAACTGTCACAGGGGAATCTTAGCTGACAGCTGAGAAGCGGTAGGAGACAGAACTCTCAGTTTACAAAAGAAAGACTGTCTAGCTGGTGGTTGCAGGTGTAGAATTCCTAAGTTGATGAAATAGCTGAGTCTGGGATAGAGAGGCCTGAAGAAGTGAATATACAGTACAGTGGTACCTCAGGTTACATACGCTTCAGGTTACAGACTCTGCTAACCCAGAAATAGTACCTTGGGCTAATAACTTTGCTTCAGGATGAGAACAGAAATCATGCTCCGGTGGCGCAGCAGCAGGAGGAGGCCCCATTAGCTAAAGTGGTGCTTCAGGTTAAGAACAGTTTTAGGTTAAGAACGGACCTCCGGAACGAATTAAGTACTTAACCTGAGGTACCACTGTATATGGCTAGTCTGTTGTGAGACAGTAACTATTGGTTGGAGAGAGTCTGTGCTGGTTGGTGCTTTGTTTTCATGGTGGACAGTGGGAAAAGGTTCAAAGAAGGAGGAAGAAGATCTGAGAGGAAGGCAGAGTGGCTTGTGGACCAAAGACTTTCAGGGGTTGCCAAATTACTTGGCTCAGGCTTAAGAGAGCCTAGAGAAGCAGTGGGAAGCAGTTTGGAACGCTAGGCAGGAAAGCCAGAGGAAGATTCCAGGACCAGCAGGACAGCAAAAACTGGCCTAACCTTCAGTAGGGATTGAAAAGGCTTCAACAAGAGTCCTCAGTGAAACGTTGGCGAGGCTTAACTGGGGCAGAGTAAATACAACAGCAATCTAGAAAAATGCTTTTAATAAGGTTCCTCAAAGCTGCCTTGATTTTGTAAGAAGTGTAGTGTAACATAAGCTGTATTTCAGGAACAAGTTATAGTGTATATCCGTTTAAGGAGACAGTACTAAGCTATATTGCAGTGGCTTTATACCACACCTACATCCCACAGTTTGCAGGGTTATTGTTAAGTTTAGGGTGCGAAGCATGTCAGTGATATTAAATGGTGGCAGTGGTAAGGACTGAGGAAAGCTGAAGTTGGGGTTTGTTAATAAAACAAGTAAGGAAATAACATCACCCCTTTCCCTTCACACTTTTAAGGTCATATTCTTTTAAATACTACAAAGTACATGTTTTAAAAAGAAGAAGAAAGGAACATACAGAATTACTGACTGAATTATCCGAGAGTGGGGGGAGATTCTGTTAAAACAATAGACACCTCAACACCAAGTTTATTAGCTCTCTAATGTGAATTCCCCTTGTGACTGCACCATTCATGAAGGAATAGCTGTTGGTTTGAAAGCTTATTTGGGAGCATGATTTTCACCTACAGAAAGTAACTCACAATGTTCTTACTTTATTATGAGCTTTCTTTGTACAAAATGATCATGTACACACCCAGAGACACACTCCCAAAAGACCAATAAAGTTTTCTGTATTTGTTTATATGTTAGGGGTGAGTTGACTGAATCATTACAATGAGAAATCCAGGGATCAGTAGGTTCTATGGCTTATACTTTAAAAATGATTTACTGGACTGATTTGAAACTTGATAGTGTAAGAGAGGCACATTTGTAGATGGCCTATGCTGAATTTGGGGCAGGGGGAAAAAATAACTTATATGAATAAAACATTCTGCGAGTGACAGGTAGTATATATTTTTCTTTCATAGACCATGTCTGGATGATTTTTCTGGAAAGATTTATCTGATAGTACCGTTTCTTTTGGGAAACAGGTTGTTGACATAGATTGAGGGAAATGTCTGGTGTGTGCTTGTGAAAAATGTTTGCAGTTTTGATTAAAAAGGCATTGTTGTGGCCAGTGTTAACCAATGGGAATTCATAAGGGTGTTGTGTACACATGCTCTATATGAACCTGCTGCAAGGGAAGGTTCAGTAGAGGTTTAACTGAACCCAGTGGCTGAGTTATAGTCTTTCAGTTGGATGGAATGCCAACATCAGCAACTCCCTGCTCAGTGAGCAAAGGTGGCCGAGAGTTGAGGGAAGGCCAGAGAATGAAAATTAGAATCGGTATCTTTGGCAACCACCATCTTCCCCTCTGAAGGCATTTTTGCTAGTTTTTCAATATATCTATGATGTGTACTCAGCATGGTGTTGAGTGTTGGACTATGTCCTGAGTGGTCAGGGTTCAAATCTCCACAGGACCAGCCACTGCCTGCTAGTCTCAACCTTTACCTCACAGCGTTGCATACCCTTCAACATTTCTCCGATGAAAATAGGGACGTCCTAAGGAAAAGCAGGACATTCCAGGATCAAATCTGAAACCAGGGCAGCTTCTATAAATCTGGGACTGTCCCTGGAAAACAGGGACACTTAGAGGGTCTGGCTTTGTTGTGATGATGGGGAAAGGGTCATATACAGTGGAACCTTGGTTCTCGAACAGCTTAGTTGACGAACAAATTGGTTCCCGAACACCGAAAACCTGCAAGTGTTCTGTTTTTGGAACGTTTTTGGAAGCTCCTGCAGCCAATCGGAAGCCACGCCTTGGTTTTTGAACAGTTTCAGGAGTCGAACGGATTAAGTTCGAGAACTAAGGTTCCACTGTACACCACCTTGAGCTCCTGGGAGGAAACGTGGGGTACAAATGTCATAATAAATAAAACAGTAATATGTTACTACTCTCTCCCTTTTGAACGCATTTTGTTTTCACCCAATGATGATTATTCGCATTTATTGAAAGTCTGGATAAAAATCCCTCACAATGCAACCCTGCATGTAAAGTAAAAGATAAGTCTACTGATAGCTGGGTCTGTAGAGAATGAGACTCTTTAATATCAGCTTAGCTGGGTTCAAGCCCCACATTGGGCAAGAAGATTCCTCGTGCTCCCTTCCCACTCTTCAATTCTATGGTCTGGGTGTCCCACTGAATATACGGAACTGACTCCTATCATGAAGGTGGAAGCGAAGGCACCGAGGCCTCGAGGCCAATGGCGCGCCCACAGTATGCGGCGTCACGGCGCGTCACGCGCCGCCCGAGCGCCTATTTCAAGCGGGCGAGAGGGACGGAGGCGCCTCCGCCTGGGCGCCAGGCCTCGGGAATCCCCGCTTTCTTCCCTTCCTTTCCCTCCGCGGGAGGGAGAAGCCTCGGCGAGCTGCGGCGCGAGCTTTGCGGCCGGGAGTTTCCTCAAGGAAGCGGCTGCTCCGGAGAAGCAGCGTGCCGCGCCCCTCGGGAGGCGTAGGCGGCCAACCGCAGCGCACCACCCCCGGCTCTCCATTTGCGGCTGCAAGGCGTCTCCGCGGGGGAATTTCGGGGTCCGGAGATGGCGGCGCGAGGGGCGCCCCGCCGGCGGGTCTAGTTGCCCTCGCGCTGAGGCCGCTGCCGCTGCTGCCACGATGGTGCCGAAAAGGTGAGTGGAGCTCTCGGGGCCGAATCTCCAAGCAAAGTCTCGCACTTTGCACGCTCCTTCCTGGAGCTTCTCTCTCAGCTAGTTGTTGCTTTGCTTGCAGGCCAGGTGGAATAAATTTGCTTGCATACGATATTTAAAGAGAGGATAACGCCGAGGAGATTTCCTACACTTGGATGTTGCGCTATGCTGTATGCGGATGGCTGCTGCTGCTATTATTATTATTATTATTATTATTATTATTAAAATGTTGCTTGCATTGCTATGCGTTTAACAGCAATCAGGCACCGTTCCTGAAACTAAGTATTACTAAATTGAATGGAAACAACCCTAGTGCACGTTGGGGTGATCAAGGTTTTGTTGATTAAATTGTTTTCGTCTCGAAGGAGCCTAGGGTAGCAAACGCATCAAGAGTAATGCAACCAAAAGTAAAGGCATTTTAACATTACTTTCTGGATATATGTATTGAATGCCTGCTAGTCAGGACAGGGAAATGAAGCTGATATACTAGTAGACAGAACTCCTGATTTTTGACTACTTTGTAAGCCAGGCTTTTTTGGTGTGAGACGGGTCCCGCTCAATTATCAGCTAAGCAACTGAAAGCCATAACAAAAATGGCTCATCTTTATTGATACTATGGCATTTTTGTAATATAGTTACAGTTAGCTTGTGGGATTCTTCTTTGTAAGTTTTGAAAGGTGACAAATAGAAACGGCACAATTGAATTTGTGACTCAAAACACTCTGGCGGTGTTAGCCCAGTGTTGTGGAAGTGGTTAGTGAAACTAACCACAACAGTCAAACCTGAATACCAAGAGAATGAGACAGGAATAAATAGATCATGAACTGAGTAAACAAACACTTTGAAACAAATTCTGATGGCTTTTATTTCTCAGTGGTTGGAAACCAGCTGTTCCTGACCATTGTTTGTGAAAGAGCAGGTATACTTCCTGATTCAGAACCAGTGCTTCAAATAAATATAATGCAATCGTGTTAGAAACAGTTGAATAATCTTGATTATTTTGGCAAAATAAGTGCTTAGGGTGGTGCTTTCTTGGCTTAACAGCACAACGTATGCTTCTGGACACATTAATTTTGCAACAGCATTGTCCCAGCATCACAATGCTGAAACAAATGCTTAGGATCACACACTAACAATAATCTATACTGCATTGTAGCTATGGCAGGGATGTTTCTGATACTGATTGACTGATTAACTTGAGTTGGTGTGAACTGGTTGACTGCAGCTCCCAACATGACTAATTGTCTGTCAGGGATTGAGGTGTGTAACCACCAGGGAAAGGCACCCTGGATATTTAGTTATTTTACTTATAAAAATATTTCTGTACAACTATTTCATAAAATATATCAAAGTGGTAATTTTTTAAAAGAAAGATGAACATGAGACATCAATTAACCATTGTGGAAAGGTGTATTCTTAATTGCCTGCATAGAAAAGTTTCCATCAGGCATTTAAAAGTTGAAACAGAAGGCAATTACTGAATCTCTATTGGCAGAGTCTTCCACAATACAGGGATATAAGGACTATTGCCTCATTTCTAATGAAAAAGATGGAGCTATTTTGATAGCATGCTTATTTTGAATGAAGTTTAGCAGTCACATCTATTAATACTGAAGAATCTGTGCATGCACACAAAGCTCATACCAATAACAAACTCAGTTGGTTTCTAAGGTGCTCCTGGAAGGGATTTTTTTTTATTTTGTTTCAATTACGGCAGACCAACACGGCTACCTACCTGTAACTAGATCTATTAATACTGCTATGTATATAGGTCTGTGTCACATGTAAAAAAATGAGGTTCCAACATTCATACCGGTATATTAAAAGTACCATGGATAGCAAAGAATAGAGGTGATGCTGCTCCATACCAGTGAGTAAAATCACACAAAAGGCATTGTTTCTAAAATGGCTTAGTTTCTTTCCCCCGAACCTTCAAGAGGCAGAGGTGGAGCATGCTGTGCACCTAGGATGGGGCGAGCAGCCCATGGCGGGCTGCTTCCTGGGGGGGGGGGGGGAGGGAGCTGCACCGCTTTGCCAGCAGCCTTCCTCCCTTCCCTCTTCCTTTTGACAGCTCGGGGAGGCTTCCCTCCCCCCAGGAAGCAGCCCAGCAGCAGGGGGGGGGCAACGGCGCACCATCTGCCCATGACTCCCAGCCCTCCCGCAAGCTGTCAAAAACAAAGAGGGAAAAGGGGAAGGCCGCCGGCAAGGTGGTGCAGCTCCGCCCCTTCCCCCGACGGCTTGGGGTAGGCTTGGGGGTTGCGGGAGGGCAGCATGCCAAATGTCACACCCCCACCCCCCAGTAATTACACCCGGGGCGGACCACCCCCTTCCTCCGCCCCTGCTTCAAGGACAGCAAATTAATAAATATAAATACAGTCACAAAAGCACAAGCACACATGAGAGTTGGTGTAATGATTCAAAACATAGTCTGGACTGAAGTGAAACCATAGTCTGAACTGAAGAGAGCCACAATCTCCTGGCTTCAGGCCTTTCCTATAAGCAACACAGAGATAAAAATATTGACCTGCCTTCTTAGATTCATACAGTTGGAAGGGAAGTCAAAATGCTGTCTAGTTCATCCCCCAGGCACTAGCAAATGTGCCAAGAGAAAAAAAACTTACAAAGGAGTCTTTCACCATCTAAGCAGCCTGTTCCACTGTCCCAACAGCTCATACCAACAGAGAATCCTTGTTGATGTTCAGTTAGCATTCCCTTTCTTGTAACTTGAACCTTTTGGTTCTGGTCCTATCCTTTAGAGTAACATAAAACAAATTTCCATCGCAGTTATTGGGTTGTTGTGTACAGAAAGAAGAAATTCTGAAATAATATGGGAATACCTGTGAGGACTGCAGAGAAAAATTCTAAAGTTGCTATTATACAGTCTTTGTATCAATATTTGTTGTTTAGTTGTGTCTTACAAATTCTGAATATGTATTTAGTACAGTCATACCTCGGGTTGAATATGCTTTGAGTTGAGCGCATTCGAGTTGCGCTCCGCGGCAACCCAGAAGTAACAGAGCACATTGCTTCTGGGGTTCGCCACTTGCACATGCGCAGATGCTCAAAATGACGTCATGCGCAGAAGCGATGAAAAGCAACGCGCGCAGACGTGCCATCACTAGTTACGTTTGCTTCCAGATGCGAACGGGGCTCCGGAACAGATCCCTAGAGGTACCACTGTAGTTTATAAAATTCTTGCCTCATAATCTGTTTTTATTTTGTTTCAGGTTTGGATTTATGATGTTCCTTTGGGTTCAGACAGCTGGTAAGTTATGAATGCATTGTTTGCTATGCTCAAATATAAAGCAAACCTTTAAGTATGCTGATAATGCGGATGATCAGTCCTGTCTTTTCCCTAAAGTTCAGGGTGGACTGCAGAAATGCAAAGCCACTTTAAAATATACAGATAACTAAATTAACATTTCAGGTAATAATCATAGTCTTAATACAATTCTCATAATGCTTTCTCTTACCCAGGAGAGCTGCCATGCTAGAATCTCCTGTTGATGTTTCCCCCTCAGATAGGTTCTGTGTCTTTAGTATGTGCACTGCTGGAAGATAATCAACATACACATTGCCACATTTGCATGTTAGGAAGAGCTGTATCTGTTCAATGCCTTGTGGCATGGAAGATGTGGCCATGGACTCTTGGAGAAGAGCCTGAGACTCAGTTAAGTTTTTCTTGGACTCAGTTGCTGTGACATAAGTAGAAGGTAACCAACAAGAAATTAGTAATCATAAAGAGGAGTAGATGCCACGAGGGCTTTCCCCATTAGGCCAAGGTCACCTTTCCATTAGAGTGTATAACATTAAGTGAACTCAAACTACTGAATTAAGTTATTCTCTCCAGTGGGAATGAAAAGAAATGTGGCCCCAGTGAAACTGGATTTTATGGAGACATTCGTAAAAAGCATATGTTTAATTTCCCATTTTGTCTTTATAGCTAACATATCAGTCACTGGCATAATAGGAAGTACTGTTGAACTGAGATGCGATGAGTTAAATGGCACGTTCATCTTAAATAACTTTCGAGTAACATGGCGAAAAGAAGGGGAAATAAAGTGCTTTGTAGAAACCTATGATTCTGATGAAGATCTGACTTCATACCGCAAGAAAAACCAGTGTGCAGATTTCAGAGACAGGACTCGGTTTACTGAGGAACTGAAGGAGGGCAAGTTTACTCTGCAACTGTTAAGGATCAGTCCTAAAGATGAGTTCACATATACCTGTGTGGTACTGAGGAAGAATGAAGAAAGAAAATTTGAAGTACATAGAGAAGTGAAAACAAATCTCAAAGTGGCAGGTAAAGCAAATGTTTATAAACCATCAGTGATAAATTCCTGTTCTTTTGCCAAACTTTGTGTATGTCAGAGAATGGCATAGAAGAAAGGCGTGTTCAAGTGTGTTTCTGAGTTAACACGGGACACGGAGGAGCAATGGTGTTTTATTTTTTTAAAAAAATAATATTTATTAGTAGTTTCAAAGTTATAAAGAAAAAAGAAAAATTAAAAAACAACACTATAATCTATAATACATAAAAAAAGAGAAAAAACACAAAAACCAATACAACAATACAACAAAAAAGTAAGAAGAAAAAAAGGAAAACAAAAGAAAAAAGGAAACAACATAGATCCCAAATTACATATCTATAACTTCCATTTGCTTGCTTCATTGACCTCCTCACACCTCCCTTTTTGTATTCTAGTTTAATTAGTTATTTGAGCAAATTCTTTCCATCTTTCTCAATTTTTGTTAAAAAATTTATCTTGACAGTTTAACTTAATAATTAGCTCAGCAAATCCTTACCATCTTTCCCCATATTCTGTTATTCAAATTACCTTAATTTATTTAACCTTATCTTACCCTAAAATACCTTAAAGCTTAAATCTTAGTTTTCAAATATACATGTCAGGGAACTGCCATCGGAAGGAAGGGAGGTGAAAGGACTCAGACAGGTTGGAAGAGACTCAGCAGCTGAAGAGGGAACCAGCAAGGGGAGAGAAGCTGAACTGAGGGGGTGAAAGGGCTCAGACAGGTTGGAAGAGACTCAGCAGCTGAAGAGGAAACCAGCAGGGGGATGGCTCAGAGATACTTCCAGCGAAAACAGTGGTGAGGTTTCCGGACCTCCTGTAGGGACACCCACTCCTCGCCGGAAACTGTCACGCAGAGAGTCCAGAAGACGTGTTTCCGTTAAGGAGCTTTTATGTTGGAAGCGATTACGAAGCAACCACTGTCGGAATCTTCTAGTGACTAGAGGAGCCATGTCAGAGGGGCTCCGTCACAGACAGAGGTTTGTGGACTTGAACAAACTCTGAGGGAATACGATTTTACGCACAAGCAGCTCATCTTCCCATCACAATACATAACTCCTGATATCATTTCTGCTAGAGTCATATAGTTTCATTCCAACATTTTCCCTAATATTCATTAATTTTAAGCTAATTCCCTAAATAGAAAGTTTCCTTTATAAATTTTCTTCCAATCTTCATCCAACGTCTCATCTTCCTGGTCTCAGATCGTGTCAGTCCTTACTGTCCATTCCATCTAGTCCATCAACCTGGAAGCCTTATGTCCGAGGCCCTTAAGTCTCTTCCATGTCCCTTCTGCATTTCTTCTTCTTCTTGTTTATACTTGCCCTTTTCCTTGTCTTTTGTTGGTCTCTTTCTTAATTCCTTTCCTTTCTCATTGAGGCGTAGTTCTCTGGGGGATTCCAACCCAGAATTGTCTCCATCTCCCTTCATCAAACCCACCCATTCCCCAAAGTCCCACTCCCCACAGTCCTCGGTAAAATCCAGAAAGTATTTAAAAACATATTTCAAGGTCTCTCCAAAGTTAGGAACCTCCTCAACACCAGACTCCCCCTGGCCCATTCCAACTTCAATCTTCAATGACAGCGGCTTATGCTCCTGTGGGGCCTCGGGTCTCTCCATTTGTATTATTTGAGGTGCAACCGCATCCTCCTCCATTATCTTCTGTTCTTGCCCAGTCAGTACAGATTCATGAGTTGGTCCCTGAATAATTTCTGTATCAATGTTCCCTGTTTGTCCACAGTTATTAACCACAACAGTCAAATCCATTTTTTCATTCATCAAGTCCATCTTCTCATGCATCTGTTCCAACAGGGCACTTGTCTTGCATAAGGCAAGCACCCAATCTTCCTCCCAGCTCATCTTTAGGCAAGGTCAGAAAAGACTGTTCCCACGGTCTTAATCTCACAGCTGTTGAGTCCTCAAGTATACTGCTGCAAAAATTTAACAAGCTCCCTCTAGAGGAGACAATTTCTATTTGTATCCATTTTTTTTTTTTTAAGGCAAGTCCAACAAAGGAAAATTACTTTCATTTTTCAGATATTTTCCGGATATTTTGTTTCTTTAAGATGCAAAAGGCAACATTGGAATCAGCTTGTTTCTCTTCTTTAACTATCTGTCAAAATATTCCATTCACAGTCAATGAACCTACAATTTTTGTCTCTGACACCCCGTTCCCAGGTTAGAGACGGTGGAAACTTATCCTTCTCACTCCCTCTCCTGCAGGGGTTAAACAACCCCCCTCCCCCCCGAGCAATGGTGTTTTAAACAAGAAAATGTACTTGGCACACCTGGCCAATGCAGTCCATTGTCACGTCCTTCTTTATCTCCCACTCTGCATGGCTCCCTCAGCAAGGGTCATAGGAAACTGCCTTGGTCCATCCAGCTCAGTGTTGCCTACACTGGCTGACAGCAGCTCTCCAGGGTTTCAAAGAGGAATCTCTCACAACCCTACTTTGGAGATGCCTAGGACCTTCTGCATGCAGCAAAGCAGATGCCCTACCATGGAAGTAGGGCCTTTCCCCTAGCACTGCCGTGTCAGCACTCCTGTTCACAGAGAGCTTTTTGCAGAGGAGAGCTGAAGGTGTGTAGACCGAAACCCCATTCACCCCAACAGCCCATGAGGTCACAGTCTATACTACAACGCTACTTCCAATATTTCTGGTTCAACAGTAAGGCATCAACCTGGCAGTACAGTGGTACCTCGGGTTAAGTACTTAATTCATTCCGGAGGTCCGTTCTTAACCTGAAACTGTTCTTAACCTGAAGCACCACTTTAGCTAATGGGGGTCTCCTGCTGCCGCTGTTCTCATCCTGAAGCAAAGATCTTAACCTGAAGCACTATTTCTGGGTTAGCAGAGTCTGTAACCTGAAGCGTATGTAGTAACCTGAGGTACCACTGTACAAGTTACTTGTGTGTGCAAACAGGACCCTACTCCCATTGCATGTGTTAGTGTAATCTGAGGACTGAAAATCCTTCTCTCAACCTTTTATACTGACAACAGCTCCAGACTGTGTTAAAATATGTCGCCCTTACTTTCCCCTCCAGCAAATTACAGTGCGCCAGTTCTAACTCACATGCTATCTGGAGAAGAAATGACGTTTAATTGCACTTCTAGCCACGGGTACCCACAACCAAAAGTTTATTGGGTAAATCATACTGACATCAGCCTCTTGAACTCAACTCAACAGTATACTAGAGCACCTGACGGGACGATCAGTGTTTTCAGTATGTTAACAGTTAAAGCAGCTACTGCTATCAAGTTAGAGTGTACAATTGAGAATGAGCAGCTGCACCAAAATCTAACTGCCAGCAGTAAGTTGATGTTCTTCATTTTATCTCCTCTCAAATATTTTTCATGCGCGGTGAAATATTTATAGCGAAGAACAAATTTGCCAAGTAAGCTAAAAAACAACAACTACAGTGTAATTCATGTCCAGAACCCCAAAAAAAACTTGACTTTCTGATCATTTGTCAGCTAGAACAAAAGCCTTTGACCTCTTAAATAGAGAGGAAAGCTTCAAATTTAAATTCAGATGCAGTAAGAAATCATATGGGTTCCAGGACATGCTACTTAAAGCCTTAGAACAAATTATTGCCAGGATAGCTCGTATCAGAATGTGACATTTGGCCCACCTACTCCTGCTGCATCTTGGCTGTTAAACAGGCCTACCTTAAATCACAACAACTTTTGTTTCAATTCTGCTAGCTGGAATGCCGTTTTTAAAACTCAGCAGTTGTGAAGTCTGTTATCTGACTGACCTTGAGGGAAATGGGAGCTGGATGAAAGGCTATAACTCAGCTGGGAGTGTATGTAACTTATTGATTTAGAAATGCTTAAGGAAAGTCTCTGGGTTATGACCAAATTTTTCCATCCTTCTACATGCAGTGTGCAAATTATTAGGATAAAAGTTCCTTTTGCTAAAAGGTGATTCTTAAGTTTCATTGTATTTTAGTAAAATCCAGTTTTTGTGCATGTGTTGTAAAGCATAAAAACAGTTAAGATGTGCAGTTTATGTTGTTTGCAGACCTGTTCTGTCTGAGCCTTTTAAAAAAACCTCTCCTCCTTCTCCCCTTGGCGTTGTTTCTATTTAGTTGACACGAGCAGTCCTGAAAATAGCCCCTCGGTTGATAACAGCCCAAGTAAGACAAAAGGTGTAGTTCTGGCTTCTGTTGCAGCTGTCTCAATAGTCATTCTACTTATTTTGTACATCGGGTGGAAGAAAAGGAGGACTTCTGTTCTATGACTTACACTGGTAAGTGAACAGTACACCCAGTTTAACAAGCCCTAAGGAGTAGGAGTAGAGAAGCAGTGGTTCATCCACCTCAAGACTTCCAGAATGGTTAAACTAGCATTTCTGAGGCAGCATTAGAGCTGATACTTTGTGTAGACAACCAGAGTAGCTTGTCACGTAGAGTATACATCTTCACCCAAGGGTGCTGCTTGGGGAATGTCTTCCCATGATTACCAGTAAGGTTTGCCACAGTCCACATTTCAAGCACACACAAGGTTTAGCAAGGCTGAAGTGGACCTGCTGTTGAGATCACTGGAAGGGTATGTACCATTATCTCCTTGAGTGGAGGAAGACAGCTAGTTTCTAATGAAGCGGGACCTATTTTAAGATCTGTTAGCATGCGCCCTAGGCCTCAAACCACTTTCCACTTTCACTCCCACCTACTCTCCATTTGCATGCCTGCTTGTGAAAACTGAAATGATAGTGGCCCATCCTACAGCCACAAACTTAGGAAAACAGGCATGTGGAAGGGGAAACTGAGGAGATTAAAAGAAAGATGTGTTGTGCTGCACTTATTGTAGTCCATTCTCAAAATATGGGGATACTTCAGAGTCAGCCTTCTCAAAGGAAGCCTGCCACATCTTATTTGTTGTCTCCGTTCATCCTGGCTTGCCCTGGTTGCTGGAACATGTAGGTTTCCCTTTCACAAATAGCCCTTGTTACAATAGGAGCTGAAGAACAAAGTACTAACTTTGGACAACCTGTGGACAACGTATGGTAAATCTCCCAAGAAGAGGGCCAGTTCTGTAATATGCACTTATCATGAAAAGCTACTGGCTAGAAATGCCTTTAGGCTTCCTTCTGTAAACTTCATTGCTGGTGTAGAGCAGAGGTTGGGGAAACTAATGTCTCCCAGATGGTGATGAACTCCCATCAGCTCAAGCCAACGTGACCAGTGGTTAAGGATGTTGTAGTCCAACAGCCACTGGAGGGGCTCATGGCCCTCATCCCTGATGTAGTCACTCTGGTTCTAACTCAGGATTCTACTAATGCATAATTCAGGGTTCCCATTGTGTCAAAGACAATATTCTCCCCTCCCAAAAAGACTCTAGTCACACTTGTACTAAAGAGAACTAATAATGTCAATAAAGAGAGCCAGTAATGTCACCATGGCCAAGTATTCTTGGCTCCCATGCCATTCTTATTGATGTTTATGGCTCAGCTGTATTTATTTGTTTCACTGGAAGAATGGCTTCTGCCTCCAAAACATCATCTGGGTCTACCATATGATAATTGTTACTTAAAACAATGTTGTCATATCAAAGCAATCAGAACAACATTGGCCATAGCAACTTACTCAAATAAGAAAACCACAAAATAAACGAAGCATAGAATCAGTCCCACATCTGCAGAGCATCTGATTAATCATAGATGCCTTCCAGGTCATATCCATCTGTAAATTCCTAAACTTGCTTGCCAACAAATGTTGGCAAGGGTAATGAGACGCTCAGTGTTTGTAGACAGTAAACCTTCCATTCATCATGTTGGGGTTTTTCATCTTTTCACTTTCATGTAATAATCCTGGCTCAACAGACAGTTCCTTCCCTTGGTGTCAACTCAAATTAGACCAGCTGTCTCTCTAATTCCTATTTAAAATACGCCATTGAACTTCCTTCCCTTTGTGATGTCTTGAGTCCTTGTGTGCCATCTTGAAAGCAGTTTCAGTGGTCCTCATTCTATTTAGAATACACAACCACGTGTAATACACCTCAGTCCAAAAGTTCTACAAATCTTTTTTCCCCTATCAATTGGTGTTCATAAAAATGAAGAATCAAACAACACAGTAGTCAGTAGAAAATGGTTCACTTAGCCCAGTAGTGTTTTCCTGAAGAATGCATACGTATTTCGGACCCCTAAACTGAAATTTTGTACTAAGAACATACATTTTAGCTTGATGCAGAGCTCTGAGCATCTTGTAGCTCCCTTTACAATATTTTTGACATAAGAACTTGCATACTTTTCTGAGCTTGCTCATTTCTTTCTCTTGCAAATAAATGTTGGTCAGTGCTGCAACTGGGCTATATCTAGCCAATGATTCCTCTTATAAGGATATTGTCCCTTGGCTTCCCACATTTTGGGAGCTCCATTGCTCTGAGCATTCAGAGTGCTTGGATGCTGTCATGTCCCAAAGGAAAGAAATTTAGGGTGGGTCCTAACCAGGGCTATTTTCAGGCAGAACTCAGTTCCAGCACCTCTCAGGTGGACACCGTTGCCATTGTAAGAGAACAAGGGTGTTCATGGTGCGTTCCAGCACTGGTGCTAACAAACCAGACACCATTACCTTGATTTGTTAGCCCTTGTTGCTGTGACAGCTGTAGATGGGCAAGACAAGAGGCCTTGAGGGGGGACGGAAATGGAAATTCTCTGGCAGCACCAGGGTTTGATGTTTTAATCCTGTCCTACTACATAACATTTCTGTAATCTGACCCATATAACATTTGTATATTCTGTTGTGTGTGTTTTTTTAAAGCTCCTGCTGAAATAGGAAACAGAAATTTTGGACTGCCAGAGTAATGTTGCCTGGAAACATTCCCACAGAGACTGATGGTTGTGTGTTTTCTACCTGCAGCAGAGCATGGACTGGAGCAGAACACTTACGTACTGCCAGCAGCTTGCCATGTTTACCCTTCTACTGATTAAAGGCAGAATTCTACCTGGCCCACGTCTGATAGATAAAGGCTATGCTATAAAGTTAGCCCACCAGTTGAAACCCAGAAGGGGCACACGTCTTGTGCACAGCTCAGAACTGATTCTGTGGGGGGAATCAACATACACCTTTGAGCTTTCCAAGGACTGCTTCACTTGTTAATGACATTTTGGTACTGAAGAAATTCACGGAGGAGCATTTTGTCAATGGCTTAATGGAGCTTCTTTGTTCCACAGCAGCATACGCCAGTGACTAGAACTTTCATGCCTTGTTTTTCGGCTTCCTCGAAGCAAATGATTGGCCTCTTTTGGAAGTAGGCTGCTGGACTAGATGGACCTGATGCAGCAAGGGTGGTCACCTTCTGAAGTGTGGCGGCACTTCTGAGCCCAGTCTTCCAGTGGTGGTATAGAACGGGATATTGACATGGAATCAGTCCCCCAACATTAGACCCAGAGGTCTGGTTGTATAGGACAGACACATGAGGACAGCTGTCTTTTTGGGGGGTATATGCCATGGACACCACCTCCAGGTAGGTGGGCAGGTCTGTTAAATCTGTTGGGAATATGATCCTCTACACCAGACATCACTTTGGGACCAAGTTAGGCCAGAGTTCTTATCTCAGTTTAATGGCTTCATCACAATCTGAACATATACGTCTTACGTATGTGGGAACCATATTAATTGCAAACTCTGCCACCGTTGAAGGCAAAGCAATCTTGGGCAAAAAATGAAAAGGCCTTGGGCTAATTATGATTGCTTTTCCCTGTTAGATACTTCAGCCAGTTAACAGTCAGCCCAGTTGCATAACAATAGCAAATGGAATGTTTCAAATGCTGGCATGTGAATGCATTACCATTTGCCAGAGCTTCTTCAAGATCAGCTTTAGTGGACAGACATCTCATTTCAGTACAGCTGCAAAATCTAAACAAACCAAAAGCTGGGCTTCAGACACAAGATTGCAAAGACAGGAACTTGTAAATCCTAGTTGTAATATTTCATCCAAAGTATTCTATGCATTTGCAGGGGAAGTGTCATGTGCATTTACAGGTTGAACATTGAAGGAGTACAGACAACTCTGCTCTGTTCATGCTTTCTCGTGAACAGTGTATGCATCAGAAGGAATGCAGGGCTCTGGATTTGTGCAAGTGTTCGTATGATTTACTAAGTTGTTGGCTTCATGTTGCCAGTGTGCTAAGTCCGAACTGGAAGATATGATGGCAAGGTAGGCATGTGGAGATAGCAGCACACAGCGAATGGTGATACATGCATTAATATGGGGTTTTGGCGTGCTAAATCAAAATCTGTTTAGCTCCGTGACATCTGTGTTGATTGGCATGATAAAGTAGACAAATCTTGGGGCGCATACTTTAAACAACATACTTTATCAATTCAATCATCATAGACACCAGAAAAGCAATGTAAATTACAGCCTTGATCAAACCAGAAGACTTGAATTGTTTATTAGAGAGCCAGTGGAATTCTATTGATGGTCTTGTTACAACTCAGTCCTAAATACTTGGGAAAGTATTCAATTATTTCCTAAGTAAGCATTGTTGAAAACCCTGCCTTAAAAGCACCATTCTGCATTTTTACTCTGCAAATATTGTACAATAGATGAGCTGAAAATTCTTATGAAGCTAATACTTCACTTAGTTAATCTCACAGGGATATCATCTATTTGACTTTACAAAAATATTTTTTTTTCTTTGTTTATAAATTCTGCAATGTGAATGTGAAACTTTGGTCTGTTTCTTCCCAAACAAATCATGTCCTGGTTGTTTTGCTCTAGTGCACTGTGATAAAATGGGTTTTCACACTGTTCAACACATCGGTGGAAACTTATCTCAATGCAGATAACTCATTTTCTCTCATCCCACCCTTCACCTCCTATTCCCTCACTGACAAAAGTCGGATACTTCCACTGCTACCAGCAAAGGAAAAACAAATTGGAATTTTCCAGTTATAAACACTTGTGCCCTGCATGAAGCATTATCTTTCATTTCTTTAGAAGTTTACTGAAGACTGATCTTTTAGTGCAGGATCTACCTGATGTATATGATTGGACCTTGTACAGAGTATTTTTGCATGGCATTTTAATTGTGTTTTTATCACATTGTTTCAGTGTTTGTATGTTTTTTACTGTTGTACACTGCTTGGAGATCAAGCATGCACCTTCAATGTACTCTTTTTGGCGCCTACTAAAAACATTCTTGTTTAGACAACCCTACTCAGTTCCTTAGAAAGTTGAGGTAACTTTAATCTGTTTTAGTATTTAAACTTTTGTATGTTTTGAAGTATGGCTGTGAATTTTTCTTGAACTTAATTGCTTTATCTTTTTGCAAGCTGCTTTGAGGCTTTTTACAATCGTGGTGTGTAAATTTTATTCAATAAACGAATGCATATTTTTTGAAGATGTTTTTAAACCAATGTAAGCTCAGTTTTCCTTTGAACAAAGAGCCAGTTCCTAGATGATGATTAAATTTTATTATCCATCCTCCTACAGATGGTCTCAGGGTGGATTGCAACATTATACAGTGGTACCTCGGGTTAAGTACTTAAATTCGTTCCGGAGGTCCGTTCTTAACCTGAAACTGTTCTTAACCTGAAGCACCACTTTAGCTAATGGGGCCTCCTGCTGCTGCTGCGCCACCAGAGCACGATTTCTGTTCTCATCCTGAAGCAAAGTTCTTAACCCGAGGTACTATTTCTGGGTTAGCGGAGTCTGTAACCTGAAGCGTATGTAGCCCAAGGTACCACTGTATAGCAATATAAAATGCAGCATTAAAAGCAGACTTAAAACACTACAATCACAACTAGCACAAGTTATGCAGGGTTTTGTATTTGCAGTTCCTCTGTGTTCAATGCCCCTACCCCCAGTTCATTAAAAACCCATCAAATGTTTAAATGAATTACGCCTGGCAACCACCGCCATCCAGCCTGTGCCATGGGTTACAACAGTGAAAACACAATCTTTAAAAAGCAGTTTAGAACAACTTAAAATTGCAGAAATAGGGTGGGTCCTAAAAACAATATACCAACACGGACAAAATGTCAAACTATAGAAGTCCTACTTTTGCCCCCCCAGGCAAACCAAGTGGCTATATCAGGAGTGGGGAATTATTTTCCGCCTGAGGGCTTGTGGGAGTTGCATGCCTGTGGTGGGCTGTGCTAGAGGCCAGAGTAGATGGAGCAAATGGGTGTGTCTTACTGCTCCATACAGCCAGCAGGCAGGCAGGTTTCTACACACATATACCCTGACTCTCTCCATATTTTTTCATTCAGCAAATGAAGGTGCCTGACCACAGTTCAAAGACACATTCCAAGAGAGCATGAGCAAGCCAGATAGAGGTTGCGGCCATGGAAGAGAGTCCCCAGAGCTTGTCAGAGAGAACTAGAGGGTTCACGGACAGAAAGTTTGATATTCCTGAGTTACTTGCATACCATGGTAAGTTGCATTTTAACCAACGATCATCTGTATTCCCTTGATTTTATATTCTAATTCAGTCAACCACTTCTTTTACTGTGTTCCACCCTCGGTGGTCAGAGATTCACTGGACTTCAGGTATAGGAGGAGATTTTATAGCCACTTGCTCAGTTTATTTCCTAGTTTAATGACAAAGAACTATTCACATTTTGGATCAGAATATCCTCCCCCACCCCCAATATCGCCTCAAATTCTAGGTTTATGGGCTTCCCATAGACATTTGGATGTCCCCTTTGGGAACAGAATGAACCTTGGGCCTGATGTTGTGATCTTACCAGTACAGTTAAGGAAAGGAAAGGTTTCTCAAAAGTGTTTATTTTAATATTCTGTATCTCAAACGCTTTAAACACATTTCAGCTCCATTACTCTTAGGTGTCTGATGAATACTAAACCTGGTACCAAGCCATTAGGTTTATAAACATTGGGGAACAAAGCAATATTAAGAAAGAGGAGGCTCTGTCCATATTTCCTTAACACATATATGGTACATTTGCATATGCTGTTGACTGGGCTGAAAAATTGTACTTAAAACTTTTTAGGCAGATCAGAAAGGGGCTGGTTTAATTTTCAAACAGTAGTCTCTTTTACAATCACCACTTGTCCTGTTTTCTTCATAGTTCATGTAAAGTTTAATGTTGAATTCAACTAAATTTGAAGGCAAGTTCACGCAATCCACTGAAGTTGCCATACTTGAGGTTTTCTAAATGTCAATTCTTTCATCATGTGCTAATGGGTTTGCTCTCATTATTGCACATTTGTTTCACTCATGTCCAAGCCCACTTCTTCTTTTGTAGGTGACATGCTGACACAAGCAAAATAAGTACATTACATGATGGTTTCACACACAAATGCCAAGCTGTTGGTCCATTGCTTATCAGGTTTGCCCATTGATTCAGGCTATCACTTGCCTGAAACTTAATCTAGCATACGCAGCAGATTCTTGAATCTAAAGTACACATCAATAACATGAGCAATGTGGATGTTGATTATAACAGAGTGCAATTATGAGAGTCATTGTAGTCTTTGATAAACACCCTTGGAATGTTTTGTGAATAGTTGCCTCCCATTTTTCTCTCTTGATACTTCATCAAGACTTAGCCAGTGTGACTTTGCATATTATGCTTCACTTTGGAAATGTTTAGAGAAGAGAAACTATGGTGAGGAATGAATACTAGTAGTACTAGGTGGATTTTGCACTGGCAGTGGATAAGGGACATACGTAAGCTTGCTGCAAGAAGGACAGGCTGTTAATGTTCTACCCCCTCTCTTTTAAAAACCGATCAGGATTCCACCTATGTACAAGAGGCAGGGATCACATAGCTCTGTTCCACTAGTCCTAGTTCTCATTTTAATAATATATTTTTTAAGGTAGTGTGTTCTTGAATACATGCCTGTAACCACTGATAGCCTGGATGAGGATGAATCAACTTGACTCAGTTCAGATAGGACAGAATTTACAAGGGCCTGCTGAAAATTGGCAAACTCTTACAATGTGTTGCGGTGTCAGACGGGCACTCGTAGTTTGGCCTGGCTTGGCTTGCACTGCATGTGAGTTCATAATTTCTTCAGATAGCAGTCTATGAGGAGATGGTTTGCCTCAATCTGGGAACTGTGTGAAACAAAGGTTCATACTTGAGAGCTAAAAATTTATCACATGGAGTGCAGTACTGAAAGATGTTAATCAAGTTTCCATTTACCCTCCTAGGAAAGTCCCACCATGTTTCCCTACTCCTACTCTTTTGGCCCTGGTCTAAGAAGATATGAAACTATATTGTGCTATGACTGATCCTCTTTTTTAAAACTGACAGTATGTTGAGAAAATTTGAAGTAGTTGCAAACTTTGGTTTCTGGAGGGTTAGCCATGTTAGTTTGTTATACTGAAAGCAACAGAGTCTCTTGGCACCTTAAAGACTAACAAATCTACTGTGGCACAACCTTTCATGTGAAACCTAATCAAATACAGTGATACCTCAGGTTACAGACGCTTCAGGTTACAGACTCTGCTAACCCAGAAATAGTACCTTGGGTTAAGAACTTTGCTTCAGGATGAGAACAGAAATCGGGCAGCAGTGGTGCCAGCGGGAGGCCCCATTAGCTAAAGTGGTGCTTCAGGTTAAGAACAGTTTCAGGTTAAGTACAGACCTCTGGAACGAATTAAGTTCTTAACCCGAGGTACCACTATACACAAAAAAAGTTAAATTCAATTCTGTCTTCTGCAGAATAATTTGCTATCAAATTTCTTAAATGCTAAAGTTAATAAATCAATGGGGCATTTCTTCCCTATTCTTTTAAAGAAAGATACCATACCATTTGAGGTAGATGGTATTATTTTTATGCAAAAGGGGAATCTTTGCAATAATGAGAAGGAAACTCCGAGGGGGAAGCAAAGGGAATTTGGAGTGGGGGGCCGAGAGAGGAACTGGTTTTACTCCCACCAGCGTAAATGATACTAAGGAAACGGAATTTGATTTCCCTTTGTAAAAGGGAACTATCATATTTCGTCAGCAGAGAGGATATCTGAGTTAAAAAAATTAGGTCATGAGATTCCAGGAGTAACCTATTATTAGCACATACGTTTAACAAAAATGTTCTGAAAATTCCACTTGCAAGTTGCAACTTGGGGAGTCCTGGTGGCGCACCAGATGATATCCTTCAGAGTTTAGAGTACCAGAAGCGTTTTCAATATAAAGACATTTTACAGCCCTCTCACCATCTTTTTTGCACAGACCCCAAATGGTTGATGGGTTGTAAAGTGTACAATCAAGCGTGCAGCTTCAGTTAAAGATTTGCAGGTACTAGTGGGCATCATTTTACCTGTCATATTTCTTGGGCGCCATAACTTTCCCACAGGTCCTAATGAGGAAACATCTTTAGTATTGGTACTTAACAGTACAACTTGCCCCTACAGCTATGCTCCCATGCACTGATTTTACAATATTTTAGCTGTTATGGGGAGATATTAGTGTTTAGTAGTGTAGTGTTCTGTGCACTTAACCTGAGAAAAAACATAACAGATTCAACATAGTGGGTCAAATCTCCAAATAAGCATACACTGCTATTACCATAATGCAAGGATGGGGAGAACCTACTGTTTTTCAGATATTGTTAGACTCCCATCAGCCCCAGCCCCAAAAGGCCAATGATGGGAGTCCAACTTCATCTGGAAGGTCTTGACTCAGCCAACCCTGCAGTAACAGGGTTACATATTTAGCAATGATCTTTAAAGTTAGATCTAAAGTTGCCCAATTTATTTAATGGTGACTAGCTAGTCTTTTATGTATTGTATGTGTATGGATATTTGGATGACTTTGTATGATTTTATTGTTTAAGCTTATGCCAATAAAGGCTAATAACAATAACAACATAAAACTCTTGATTCATTAAGAAGCTCTATAGTATTTTTGGCCTTTTGCCAATTCTAATCTACAATGTTATTAGGTAGGAGTAGACTATTGTCATATGGTTTGAGCTAATCAGCATGTGCTATCAAAAATGAAGCAATTGTTGTTGAAAATGAATTACAGTAAGAAAAGGACTTTGGCTTAGCCCACCACCACCACATGTAGAACCTCAGTGACATAAGCTACTTACTTGACTATGTCCAGATAATATGGAGTAAGATACATTTGACTACTTACTTGTGGTGATAGGTTGTCAAGACTCTTAAACAACATCTTCAGAGAGAGGCTACTTGACAGTGCATCCCAACAGGGCAGAGTAACCTAATTTCTGAGTAAGTAAGCACCAAGCTTCTGTTTTGACTTTGTAGCTGAAGATACTGTGAGTTTGGGGCAGTGGTGATTGCAGAAGACTTCTGACTACATTTTGCTGCAGATGGTTTGGTTCATGAGAGGTTCAGTCACTGGCTTGCACACAGCCTTTAGACTTCAGACTCTCCAGGTACTTTCCCGATACCAAACTTTAATAATTTCAGGGCACTTATCGCACACCCAATCATGTTACACTGAATGGGACCATGCCTATATCTGATTTCTCAAGGGATATACAGTGGAACCTTGGTTCTTGAACTTAATACATTCCGAGAGTCTGTTCGATTCCCGAAACAGGTCGGGAACCAAGGCGTGGCTTCTGATTGGCTGCAGCAGCTTCCGGCAGGCAATCAGAAGCCGTGGAAGCAGTGCCAGGCGTTCGGCTTCCAAAGAACATTAAAAAACCGGAATTGCTTCTGGTTTTTGTTCATCCAGGAGCTGGAACGTTCAGCTCCCAAGGCGTTTGGTTGCTGAGGTTCCACTGTAACTGGTTTGAGGAAAGAGAAGTTGACCCCAGCAAGTTATGTTTTTTTTAAAAAGCTGTGTAAGCTGCTCAGCATCAGTGAGAATCATATATAACCAGAGAAGATTGCATTCATGTTCTTAAGATTCACAGAACCAGAGGAAGCTATTTATCCATCTAGCCCAGTATTGCCTGTTCCGACTGGCAACAGCTGCTCTAGGGTCTCAGGTTTTCCCCATCACCTGCTACCTGAGCCTTTTAAGTGGAGATGCCATGGGTGGAACTTTTCTGCCTAAGTAGCACATTGTACATGTATGTAATGGTGACTGAAAAGCCCACTCTAACTAGGTCATGATGTAGCTGCTGCAGCCACCAACTATTTTTTAAGATGCATCACGTACGTGTATGTAAAAGGAGTTTAAACATGATATTCTACTTTGGAGATACTGGTCTCCTTGATTTGGACTCTGTCCATGTGTATATACAGTGGCACAATGTGCAATGTCTACCTGTTTACCAGCCAGTATCTGACTTTAAAGCATGGAAATCCCCAGAAAATTCCCTTAAGCCAGTCCGCCAAAAGTTCCTCCATGCAATGCACATGGGCAAGTCCCATTCTGTAAAAAATTCCTTTCCATACAAATTATAATATCCTATATGGGAACAGTGCCAAGTTGTGGCGAAAGCAGCTGAACTAGTGAAGAGTTTATCCACATAAAACCAATAAATTGCTGTGTCTTGAGTGCTTTCACTTGATTGTGGATATTTCAGAAGTATAGGATCAGGTGCCTCAATGCAGGAAATTCCTCTATACCACAGTGGGACTCCAGAAATCCATCCCTAGTCTAATAAGTATCATTTTCTTAGAATGGAGCCATTTGCACCATCTTGTGGATGTAATTATTGAGGGCAACTTCGCATATTATGCGAAACTGTTTGCATACCAGTGTTATCCACAACAAACCTGTCAAGTGTGGACGTTGTTCATGTCTACCATATGCACATGACACACAACCTCGGTGGGCAATGCTCCCTAGATACATGAAGGAACGGACATGTTGCACACACATACGTTTAATACGGGAGTGGGGGAATACAGTATACAAACTTAGAGCACATTTATGCAACAATGCGTGGAACTGCTTTGACGAGTGCTTGAACTGGATATTAACAAGGGAAAGTGAGCTCACTATTTCCTGTGACATGTTTAACTATTACCTAACAGACACAGCAACAAATATTGCTTACTTCTTCTGTAGATGAAAGATGCCAATTTGTTGAAAACACATAAAACTTAGCAGCAGCTCTGCTAGGAAAGGACTCCTATCTTGAAATGACAGCTGGAACCTCTCCCAAATAGGAGGCTGGGACTTAACTTACTCATGAGTAAGGATAATGACCTGCCACAGAAAATAATGGTGGAATGCTTATTTAATTGTGGTCAGGGCATCATGTTTGGAATGGGAATATTAATCGTTAATGGAACTTTATGATCAGCAAACTGATGGCTCCCAGTGGTTGCTGAACTTGTGGGTGGAAATACAAGAAAGCTAAACAAATCAGAGAAATTTAAAACCATGATGTGACTGAAATCAGCTGGAAAAAATGTTTCCTTCAAGGAGAAAAAAAAATTAAGGCAGTAGTACCACACCAGATACAATTGAGCAAGATCTTGGTTATGGCAGGGTAAAAACAAAATGTACAATAGGAGACATCTTCTGTTTCCACAATAATCAGTCCAATTAATCATGAGACAAGATATTCGGCTGTCAAATTACGATTTACAGCTAACGTACTTGTTAACTTCAGCTAGCCCTGATAAAATAAACCATGGATTCATTCCAACAAAATTGTGAGGACATTTATTTCCTTTATTTATTTTATATTATATAACTTAAAACAAATCCTTTTTATTTTGTGGTTTCTTTAGTAGTTTTCTCCCCCAGTTTCAGAAGTCTTGATTACATGCTCTCAATGTTCAGGTATACATTTTCAGAAGGTAGGAATTTATTTGGAAACATATTTTATGCAATTAGAATAGTCTCTGAAAAGGCTTGATAAGCGATTGGAAAGATTTGGAGAGGTTATGATGTAATTGCTTTTATTATTCCATTAGCAATTCAGATTTGTTAAGCAGTGACCATCTCCAGAGCAAGTTGTCAAATATACTGTAAGACGATGTGAAGACTGTGGCTGAAATACGGAGGGGATGCATGATTCAACCGGCCTGAGCTTCTTCAGTGCTGAAAATTACACATGTCATTCCAATACAATCGTAAGCATTCTTAGAGGCAACTCCTGTGCTAGGTCAGCGTTATAAGGACCATACTTCCTAAAGTTATTGTCACTGCTATTATGGGTATCCACTTCATTTGCCTGTAAGCTTCAACACACTTTTTACCATGGCTCCAATGCCATCATAAATGTGATGCAATTGTGTTTCACACATAAAGGCTGGGGTAGTTACAACCTTGTGGTTTGCATCCACATGGACCTCATAGAAGACAGTTAAGGAAAACACAGGGACTAAGCCAAGTGACAGAATAAACAGGAATATGCCTTTCTGCCTCACAAACCTTTATATAATTATACGTAATGCGTGACTTTGCATAACTTTAGGATGAATGACAGAATGATTAAAGGGACAGCAGACTCAGATCTTTACTGTAAACTTGGTGGCTTCATTCAGGAACAAACCTGGGTGAGCCATGTGGCACAGTCAGAAGGAGATCAGAAGCTGATTAGTTTTTAACTAATCACATTATGTCTGACTAGCGTTAATATTAATTAGCCCCGTCCCCAAAGTCACATGGCTCTTCCTGCCTCCTTCACATTAGGTCATAACTTTCCAAGTGGGATGCCTGCTCCATGCATGGATAGCATAGCTATTTAGAACCCCGAGAGCTTCCAAAATGTTCCTTATAGCTGTGCCAGGGAACAGTGTGTGAGCCTGAGGCTCATTTATTTAACACTAAGCCATAATTTAGTATTACATTGGAATGAGGCCAGTAACATTGCTAGAAAGCTTTTCCTGGGTTTACAAATTTGTTTCAGGAAATTAAAAAAAATATATCAAAAGGCTAACACTGTAACTGAGTATGTGATCTAACATATGTTCAAGAACTGTATAGAACAGTGGTGGGCAACTTGTGGATCTCAAGATACTGTTGGGACTCCAAACAGCACCAGCTGGCACAGCCAATAGTCTGGGATGATGGGAATTATAGACCAGGACATCTGGTATTCACATTTAAAACAGTCTCTTTTGTTAGAATTTAGATAAAAAGTTTAATGGTTTTCCTAAAGCAAATGTTATCCTACTTCTGAATTGAACATACTAAGGCTGAAGTCCTAACCCTGCTTTCCTGGGATTAAGCCCCACTAAATTCATTAAGGCTTACTTCTGAGCAGACATGGTTAGTATTGTGCTGTATCATAACTAATTATCAGGGTTTTAGAAAGCCAAGGAAGATGGTCATGCAGTTTATCAGCTAATCCAAATATATCACAGAATGCTTTCCCGAAAGCTCTTCAATTCTGTACAAAAATGTTCATCTCTGATGTCTTATCACACTTAACCTCCTAAACCCATATACACTTAAGGAGAAAGAAAATCCTGTTACTGGTTTCAGTGCAACTTGCTTCCAAGCATGTGGCTCTTTGGGAGTAGTGGGGGATGTAGGGAGGGGAGAGGAAAAGACACTTAAATTCAGCCTTCATCCAGCAAAAAAGGATATTGTTACTTCTTTAATATGGTGTTTTCCACCCAGTGCTTTAATGGCCCCAGCAGTTCCAGCATAAGGCCACTTACCACCTTCTTCTTCTTCATGTCCCACAGTGACTTCAGTACCAGGAAGAACCTTTGCAGCCAAAACGGGTGAAATGCAGCACAGACTGAAAAAAAGGTGGACAGAAAACCTTCACTTAGGTTCCTCCATTGAGGATTTATTGTATTTACACCTCCCTGTTCCTTTGCTTATAAATATTTGGCACACCCTCAAAAATAAAAAAGATACTAAACTGAATAAAATCCTTATTAATCATTACACAGCAATGGTAATTTCAGTCCAACAGAACCAGGAAAAGAAGGCAAGGGTGGAAAATAAGCTCAACAAAATCCTAAAAAGAATAAGGTAACTTTAGACTTTAAAAAAAAAAAAGGAACAGCTCTTGGGAGAGGCAAAATAGTCCAGGGACAGGACTGCTGAACCTTTCACCTCTCAGAATTATGCCTTCTCCAGCTGTTTCCTCACTCACAGGTGATAACAGGGGGAGGACACTCTTGAATGGAAAAACACCCAGAGGAGAAAGTGTTAGGCAGTTCCATCCCATGACGCTTTTCTGTTCCTTGTGGCAGCTGCCCAGAATGCTTCTCCATAAGAAAAGGAAAAGAAAAAAACAACAACACACAGACATCATTAGAAATGCTATGCTGGCTGTTCCTGTTCTGTAAGAGGTGGAAGATAAAATCTGGGTGCTGGGAAAGCTCATAGGGGGCCTTAAACAGCAGGACAGAAAAACAGAAGCAAAAGTGACAAGGAGTGTGAAAGATCAGAAACACAGTTTGAAGAAGGTCTGGAGGCAGAAGGAAGGAGCACAGGGAGGCAGGAAGAAGGTGAGAACAGGGACCTCAAACAAAAGTGTGTTGGTACAATGTCTGAAGGAAAGAAGAGGTAGAAAGAAAGGATTGACACTGGACTGGGGAGCACTGGTGTGCTGTACATGTACAGAAACTAGCACACCTTTTGAGCCATGTCCTGCTTGTGGGATTTCCAAATGCTGCCACTGTGGGAAATGGGATGCCCGGCCCATCAGGGCTCCTCTTTCGGCTGATCAACTGAATAGGCCCTGCCCAACTTGTGATCCATTAGGCCGAAAGCAGCTAACCATCACCTACTGTGTGGACTGCCAATGCTTGACAACCTCGTTGTGCCAGGCAGTCAGCCAGCCAAAACATTTGTGGCTGGTGGGCTGAAGGCAGGTCAGTAGTGTTTCATACAATGTGAACAAATACTCCCATCTTATAACTTACACACCCAATGGGTTTCCCAGCTTTGTTGAAATCCTTTAGCACACGTTCAACTTCTCCATTCACTTTACAGTCTTTTCCATCCACTGCAAACGTAGACCTTAACACAAGAATGAAAGACCCATAAATTGTAATTTTACATTTCCAGAGGTACACCACGCTTAAAATAAGTAAAAGGCCCTTCCCTGTCTCTTGAAATACAATTTAAACTACTCAAAGAAAGAAAGCAATCCCCACTTCCTTTCAACTTCTGCCCTAGCTCACTGGTAGAACATCATATTCGCATGCAGAAAGCCACAGGTGCAATCCCCAGCATCTCTAGATAAGGCTAGGAATATCTCCATTCTTAAATTCTGGAGGTCTGCTACGAGTCAGTGTGGACAATGCTCTGACTCTATATAAGGCAGCCTCCAAGATTCCTCCCTTCAACCCCACCTAAAAAATAGGGCTGTGAGGCAGGAATTATTTATTCATAAAAGCAATTAATATCCTCTGCCTTATTGCAATACAGAAGCCAAGACACTCCTCTGCTTCAGTACTGAGGAAAGAGGGCAATAAATATGGCCACCCCCTCCTCAGGAACACTAAATACAAACTATATTTTTGGTATCTGTTTTAGTGTTGGTGTAAACCACAGGTGGCTAACCTATGGCCCCTGGAATGCTAATCAACTCCAGCTCCTATCAGCCCCAGCCAGCATGGTCAATAGTGAGGTGTGATGGGAGCTGTAGTCCAGCAATATCGGGGGGGGGGGAGAAGACAAAGGTTTGCCACCTTGGTATACATGCACAGCCATCATATGAAAGTTGTTTAAATCACCTGTCCTGCTGATCCATTTGTGTGCAGTGACCCACAGAGCTGACTGGGCAATTAAGTAAACACAAACTTCTTTCTATGGGTGTACATAATGGCCCACCACAGAGCAGTTTGAGATTTGGTTCTCAGATTTGTGCTGCTCAATTTCTTTGGCAGATGAACAGCTGGATAACAGCCAAGAGAAGGAAGCACTCCTTCCTTCAGACTTTATGTAGTTCCCTCCCTGGTTGCTCCTCTGAGTCTTTTATAATCATTTTGCTCCAAGGTTCCAATCATAGTCACAGAGCAAGTGGCAAAGTTTTTGAATACAGCTATCCTTATTGGACCTCTTTAAGATTGCCTGATAGTTTAGTATTTTAAGTCTGCGTTTTTCATCTGTATCAACATGTATTTTTATTAATTTTATCAAGTGTAATTTTCAATTGTTAAAAAATATTTTAATAGTCTATTGACTGCTAGTAAAGAAAGCCACCCACACTCAGTGGGTGAGTTTATATACGTTGGGGGGGGGGGGAGTTGGATCGCTTAAATGCAAAACAGATGCAAAGATGAAGCACTAAAAAAAAATCCCAAGGGAAAAGTTATACAAGGCATCAGTACTGTTTCTGTAATCCATGAGAACCATTCTATTTTTTTTTAAAAAGCGTTTATTAATTTTCTAATAAAAACATCCAAGTAACATATCAAATGAGATCCAATAAAAATAAAAAACTAAAATAAAAAAGGTCCAATTGTCTTCCAAATTGTAATAATTTTGTTTTGACTTCCCACGGTCTGAATTTCGAAGCGCATTCAACATCATAGTCCTGCCTCTCATCATCCTCAATGTTATTCATAATTCCATGTCCGATTTTTCCCTTCCACATTTTGACTCTGGTTCTACAATCCTCATTCATGTCAGAAAACCGATACTTTTTTTCTTTTCTATGGAGTGCAGATTGGTCCTTATACTCCTTCAGCTGTTTTTTCATTGCACCGCTTCATTTAATTGCATCCAATTTCAAAGTTCTGTCCAGCTCTTTAAGAGTTGTTATTTTGGCAGCTCCCAGATCGTTAATCTTTCCCATCCAGGTGTTATCAAAGAAACAGAGAGAAATTTCCTTCTGTACCCTCCTTGTTGATTTATCTTAAACAGACTGTTTGCAATGTAGCCATATATCAGACAGTTAGCAATTGGCCTTTGGAATCTTCCCAGTCCCCCCTCCAGGCCCTAGAGGGGAGCTGCCAGACATCCATTTAGCCCTCTCTCTCGCTCGTAATCAAAAAAACATCTTTTTGCAAACAGTTGTATATGTAATATTGTTTCCAGTCTTTATAACCAACCATTCATTAGCTCCTGTTTCTCTTAATCAGGGAAGTATTTCAGATATTCAATAACGACGTGGTGGGAGACGCCATTTTGTCTTTTGTCCTTTGTTTTTGTCTTTAACAGACATTTCCAGTCTTAGAGGAGAAGTGGCTGCGAGTAGATCCCAAATATATATGAAAGTCCATCTGAACTCACTTTTTGAAGAGCAATTTAAGTTCTTAATGAGACTTGGCATGCATTACGGATTGTTGATGTTAACGATAAAAGAATGTTTTTTTTACATACCAAGCCCCTCCACATTCCAAACGTCATGAGGATCTCTTTGAAGTTCGATCTTTTGCACCAGAGACTGTACGTACTGCAGGTTTTTTCCAGCTTCTTCAATTCAGAGCGTGTCTGTTTGTTTTCCAAATCTTTATATTCTCCCAAACAGATGCGTCCGGCTATGGGGTGGCGTCGCAGGAGTGTCAGCAGTCCCTAGCTCCGTGACCCAGTGCCCCTGCCGTCTGCCACATCGGCAATCTGGGACAGACAGCGGGTCGTTCAGACAGTCCTCCCCTGCCCTGGGGAGGCTGCCAGGGCTAATTACCCCCATATCAGCCCTGAATTATCGGAACGGCTGAAGTCCGATTGTGTGGGATCAGCCATTTTCCACCGCCAGAAACAGGAAGTCCATGAGAACCATTCTAGCACCGATGCTGCCAAGCCAGCTTGAAAACATATTCCTCTCAAGCAGCAATAATGCAATAAAGCTTCCTTGTTTATTTTCTTATTCCATTAGTGATCCACAGACTCAGCCTTAAAAGACCTCTTTAAAATATTTTGACTCCCCCCAAGGGAAAACAGGCATGCAAATAAGTAACAGATTGTTTCAGTCTTCAACCAATGCCTACAGCTGCAATCCATCATGCAGTTCCACTGATTTCAGTGGCCCTTAAACATAAATTGCAGCATGCCAAGAAAACACCACCAGGAAGAATAATTATTACTTCTTAATAATTATTGAAAAGGGACGCGGGTGGCGCTGTGGGTAAAACCTCAGTGCCTAGGACTTGCCGATCGTATGGTTGGTGGTTCGAATCCCCGCAGCGGGGTGAGCTCCCGTCGTTCAGTCCCAGCTCCTGCCCACCTAGCAGTTCGAAAGCACCCCTAAGTGCAAGTAGATAAATTGGTACCGCTTTACAGCAGGAAGGTAAACGGCGTTTCCGTGTGCTGCGCTGGTGCTGGCTCGCCAGAGCAGCTTCGTCACACTGGCCACGTGACCCGGAAGTGTCTCCGGACAGCGCTGGCCCCCGGCCTCTTAAGTGAGATGGGCGCACAACCCTAGAGTTGGACACGACTGGCCCGTACGGGCAGGGGTACCTTTACCTAATAATTATTGTACTTATACCATACTGTATACATCGTACGTTTAACATAGTTATCTGAGTGGCTCACAAATATAAAATGGCACATTAAAATAGTTTATAATTTTATCTTTAATAGTTTCAGCATCAAGATTTCCATACAATGTGGCATAAAACTTAAGGCATTTTTAAAAATAAAACTTTTGATTCTGTTTTTCAACATTAGACTGGGGCTTGATTTGGCTGTAAAAATGGTATGTGTATTTTTCTGGGGCATCAACAAACACACAACAATGAAAATATTTGTCCTTATGAAACAAGAAGCCTGAACGAACACATCTGGAAAATTGTATTTCTTAATGAACTATAACTTTCCTACAGCATCTCTTAAGAGTGGCTAATTATCTGGAATTTAACAATTGCAATAGCGTATAAATTCAGAACTCACAGATTTTTGGCTGCGCCGAAGCCTCCAGGAAATATGACGGCATCATGATCCTTTGCAGTAAGTTTAGCCAAATCTGCAATTTTACCACGAGCGATCCTTGCCGATTCTGCTAAGACATTTCTTTAAAAAAAGTGGTATAAAGTGAAGAGCAGAAGTTGACTACATAGACATATAAGGAGCACTGCTATTAAAGGACCCCAGGAAGTAACAGCCTGAGATTGATAATTTAAAGTTACTGAATTTATTGGTAAAGTATTTAACAAAGTACAGTCATACTCAAATGGTTTGAGGGCAATAAACAGAACAGTGATCCGAATACTGGGAACACTATTTACATATAACTCTGAGTGGGAGAGACAATCTAGAAAACAGGTTTAGATGAGACCAATTCAAATAGTGAGGGTAGCCAGCTTCCCAGAGTATCAATAGATGTATGTATATATGTGTGCACTGGATAAATATAAATCTAGATATATTCATGTAGCTTGTCTTAAAATTTGTTCTTACCTTGATTCACCCTCAGCTGGCTGTCCTTTGCTATGATCGATAACGTGCATCTGAGAGATATCTGGGGCATACATCTGAACACTGGCTCCTTCACGGCTCAAATGCACCAATATCCTACAAAATACATAGATACAGGAGATGAAGTAGCAAAATAAGCACAACATTAAACTGAAATTTACTTCATATCTTGGTAGAAACTATGGGGGGGGATAGGGTATGACGCTCCAAAATACTCAAGGAAAAGCTATCTAACAAAGAAATACTGCCTACGTGATTGGACTGTTTATCAACCAATTCAACTGTTGATCATTTGGAGACCCAATGATTACACAAATACACTTACGCTGAGGCTTCATGGATTTCAGTACCATCATAAACACCACATCCTGATAAGACCTGCAAAAAGAAAATCAGCCTAGTGATTTCAACATCACATTTATTTTCCCAGTTCACATACACAGAGGCAACAGTAGTTTCTTGTCCAACTCAGTTCATTATTTCCAGAGTGACTCTGTTCATATGCTTTCCTTACTGCAGCATAAACTTTCATGGATGAAGTGTTACTCTTGAAGGTCCCACATAAGAACTCGTCGTTTCTATAGACTATATCTAAACGCCCAGGGAACAATAGTAAATTGTATTAAGATTTCCTTCCCCAAACCTCTTTCCCCCCCTCAAAGTCAGTCACTGACTAGGGCACAGAAGTTTTGTTAATGCTCAACTGTCTGCAACCTTCTCCAAATTCCCCCAAATGTTTCACTCGGGACCCTTACATGAACCCATAACAGAAGTCTGAACTGTTACTCTCCACTCCACTTTTCACTGCAGCTGTAGTAAGTCTTTATGAGCCTGGGTATTGTTATATATTTCAGCATGAACACGGAATGTAAGGGGGCGTGCGCTATAAAATATAACTACGGTATAAACAAAGAAAGCCATTACTATACATTACTGATCTGCGGCCGCAATTCTCGACACTACTGAACACAGCGAAACTTGCTTCTGAGCTGTAATAATTTTCGTGTAGGGAATGGAGCAGAATTACGATAAGAGCCAAAGAAAGGCAGCAGAAAGGAAGCGAAACCAAACGAGGTATCTGTTTGGGGCAATGCCAGCATTCCTGAAGTGTGCGAGTGAAGGGCTGCAGTTCTCGGAGCTGCAGCTCAACCCCGACCAACTGCCTCCCTTCCAAGGACGCCAACTTTCCACTCCGCCATCTCCTTTTCCTTGGCCGCGCCCCCGTGCCTTCATTAACAGCAAGGCAGGAGGAGGCAGTGCAGCTTTGCAGCTGCCGCTCAACCTGTTGCATTTCTGCCTGTGTGCCGCACAGCCGCCGAGGGGGTGGCAGGGAAATGTGGCAGTAATTTTCCACGAAGCTCTCTCGCTTGTGGAGGAGCAGAAGCAGCGGCCGCCGCCCCTTAGGGCGCAACGGGAAAGAAGGCGCTCATCCGCTCACGCTCGGCTGGCAGCCGGACTCACCACAGCGACTCTGGCCCCGCGGAGACGCTGCGCCGAGCAATGAAACCCCGCGGCCGGGAGCCCCCTCAGCACCCGGAGCGACGAGAGGGGCGGCCTACAACCCGCTAACCTGGCGGCCAACATCCCCGCACCACTTCGCTTCGAAGGGAACGAGCCGCGGAACGAATGGGGAGGGAGTTATATACACGGCCACACCGGAGCGCTCAGCCCGTTGCACCGGCGGCAGTGCGAGCGCGGCATGGGCCCGGGAGGAGCGCAGCAGCGCCACCCTCCGGCAAGGAGGCCTCTCGCGCCGCTGACGTCAGAGGACTGAGCTCGCCAGGAGGGTCTGACTGAGTAGGTCACTGGCTCGGGCTGGCAGGCGCGGCCGGCGCTCTCAGTCGGCCAACCAAGCGCAGGCAACGGAGAGGGCGGCACTTTTATACAGATTAGTTTCCGTTATCTCTTCTAAATTCCTCATCGTATTTTGCTTTTATATTTTGAACGCATTTCCCCAAAGCTCCAACTTATAAAAAGAACTTGCACACACTCAAACAACGTTGCAAAAGAGTGGGTGGCTTGACAACTCTTATCAACTGGACTTGCCCAAGCATCAACACTTGGCCTGAAGGAATTTGGGCGACAAAATTTGCAAAGGAGCCATGTTTGCGTATTGTTTAGCAAAACTATTTTACAACAATGTAGTAAAATCAACCAGTAAAATGCAGAGTTTTGATTCAAGCATTGAAAAACATTTTCCTTTAAACCAAATTGCCCCCTTCAGTTAAGGGAGAGGAGGAGTGGGGAAAGATCTACTCCCGCCAAAAGGGGAAAAGGTGGGTATCGCATAGTAATCTAAGAAAAATACATTTCAGCAGTGTCTTTCTTGGGAGCCAACAGCCTCAATGGGTACAGGAAACTCAACACCTAATAACTCATTTGTTCTTTCATTCAACTGAAGTCCAATTCATATGACCCTTTTAAATGTTGAGATGTGAACAACCGCTCACTAAATCTACACCCACCCAGTTGGCATCGTTGCTGCATCCTATAGTCAAGGTTAAAAATGTGGTATAAGATATGTCATAGTGGAATGACTGCACCATCACTTCCCCCAGTTCTCATCCAGTTCACCAATGTCACCTGTTTTCAGGCACGATTCCAAGTGCTGGTGCTGACATTTAACGTGCTATGTGGCTTAGGATCCAAGTAGCTAAAGAAGCAACTCTGCCCACAATAACCTGCCCAGGAGAAAGGTCTGAAAAAACTACTTAAGTTAAAATATGCAGCTGTTTCTATCTGCTGTTTGGTATGACTGTTCTTACTGTATTTTTTCTTTGAAAAAAAAATGGAATTGTTTCGTGAATGATGGTATAGAGATCAATAAAAATAAATATTCCACACTCCCTACATCTAGCTAAAATCCTAGCAATCAACTAATAACACCAAATACCATTTGGAAATAACATTGTTTACTTTATCCTGTGAGACACGATTCACATTCAGGCTACAACAGCTGAGCATTTGCTGTTGTTTAACGTAGGAGACCACATTATTACACACAACACTTTCCCACATTGGAGTCAGGGTAATTTTCTAGTACAGTGGTACCTCAGGTTAAGTACTTAATTTGTTCCGGAGGTCCATTCTTAACCTAAAACTGTTCTTAACCTGAAGTACCACTTTAGCTAATGGGGCCTCCTGCTGCTGTCGCGCTGCCAGAGCACGATTTCTGTTCTCATCCTGAAGCAAAGTTCTTAACCCGAGGTAGTATTTCTGGGTTAGCGGAGTCTGTACCCTGAAGCGTATGTAACCTGAGGTACCACTGTACTTCATAAAAGTAACTGCATGCCTTAATGCACTCCAGACAACCTGTGAAGCTATGAACATGCCTTTATTACTCGACCATATTCTCATGTTGGTATCTGCGAATACATCATGGATTATGAATAGCTGGAATCACTTGTTCATGGTTGGTTTCTAGAAATTGTCGACCAGAGTTATTTGGGACATACAATGAGCTGCTTCGCAAGAAATATTTGCCTAGATATTCATTCAGTTGATCTCAGATCCCAGTAGTCCTAGTATTTGTCTTTCCCCCATAAACAACTAATAGTTGAATTTTATATCAATGAAATTGTGCTAAAGGTCACTGGACCATTTGCAATATGACTGCAGCACTTTTACACGTTTACCCTCAAGCCAGGAAAAAAGCCATGGCTGGGATCCACCCCCACTCACATTCCAATACTTCCATGCATGCCAGAAGTCTATGTTTTATTCCAGTGGCACCCCAGGTATTCTTGCAGGGTGCCACTCTGAATGACTTCCCAATCCAGAAAGGGCTGTCAATGGAAGGAGGGAGCTTAAAAGTTCCTGTGCAGAAACAGAAGTCAGCTGGTGGCAGATGGATCCTGCTCCTCCTCCCAGGCATCTAAAATGTCTGATGACATTGTCTAGCTTAAGATTTAGCAGTATCAAGAATTTACATGCTAGTTTAGAAACAGAGGACGAAAAGGAATAGCCTGCTTACTCCCAATCATGTTGCTGCATCACCTGTACAAAATATGCCTCTATGAGGGCTGCTCAGTTCTCAGTGAATACCACTGTTTAAATTACATGTATGAAAAAGCATTCTCAAAAGTTCATGGAAGTGCAGGCAATTCTTCCATGACAGAGTCATTATTGGAGTCTTCCAAATCTTCATTTTCAGACACTTCTGCTGTACGTTTCACACCCCTCTGTTGTGAAATGGCCATAATATATTTCATGTTATAACAGTTCCAGTCACAACTGTAGAGACAAAGACCATTGGGGGGGTAAATTAGGTAGATTCAAAGCAGTGCATGCAAGAGCTTTCCTATGTTTATAAAAAGTAGCCAATATTCAGACCACTATCAGCAACATACTACTTGCATTGGTTCACACATGCCACACTCATAGCTTAATTTCTCAAGGCAAACCTGAGAATGGCTCCAATGAAAAGTATTATGTTTGAGGCAATATGAAAGTTATGTCTGTGGATTTTAATTGAGGATGCTTCATTGGCACACGCAACTAATTAACCACGATCTTTCTTACTAGCTGCTTCTGCAAGTAAACTCCATGTTGCAAGATGCTCTAAGGCTGAAATAACAAACAGATCTAACATACATGGTGACTCTCTAGCCTGCCAGACTTTCCCCAAGCCCTTTCCCCACCCCAGCTTTCTCCATGCTCTTCTGCTGATCAGTGCAGCCCAGTGAGGAAGCCCCATTTTCATCTCCACAAAGACACACCAGAAGGGTGGAATTAAGACAATGGGAAAGAAGACCTCTTCCTGAACTAATTGGAGCAGGTTAGCTATTGGGGGCTGTTTGTTAAGGGTATGAGATTATGAGTCTGGTATGTACTGTGTGATTGTGCGTGTGTGAATGGGGAATGCATGTGTGCATTCAAGGATGGAGTACACATCTGTCCCTACTAACCAGTAGTATGCAGCCCCCAACTACCTACCCCGCCCCTGAAGGAATTCGGTGTTGGGAATGGGAGGGGTCCTTAAGGCAACAGGAAGAGGTCAGTGAGTGAATGGCAAGGAACTTGACAGAACAAAATCACACAAAGCTAGAAGATCCCAGGTAAAATTATCCCCAATACAATGTGGGATGTTAGGTGGAAGGAAGGGGAAAGGGAATTTTCATTAAGGAATGCTCAATAGTCTAGTCAGAGTCATCTCTTTCTACTGGGAAGAGAAATTATTTGAAAGAGAATGCAACTGAACAAAATACGTACAGTTTGGAAACGTCTTCAAAGTGACGCTGAATGCTCTTCTGAAGGAATTGAATGGTGGGCAGCAGTTTCTCTGACCTGCAAAAGCACACAAAAAACTTAACTCTTGGTTTGTAAAAATCATTCTGTACATTTTAAGAATAAAAAGGGCTAAATTCAAAGAACTGAGACAGCTGTGAATGGTGACTTGCAATGAAACAACTACTACTTGCAGAAGTGGTAAATTATCTCTCTCTCACACACACATACACAATATTGCTACAATTTAAGGTTCTGTCCACTGTGGCAGCTACCTGGCAATTAGGAATGTAATTTTCAGTCCAATCACCTTAAAGGGATAAAATTGGTACAAACACCAATTTTGCTAATTCAAATTCACAGTCTAAAGAATGATATTTCATTTTCTAAAGCTAAGCAGATCTGGGCCCAACCATTTCTGATGGGAAACCATTCTAAATTTCTTAGATAAGGGCAGGATACCAGTATGTCTTATTCTCCCTCTTCCCACACCCTTATCCCCAAGGTCACTAACCTTGTTTTTAACTTGCATCCATGTAACATAAGCAACTTCTGAGTCCAGCTTAGATAGAATTCCAAATGACGAGATGTCTCAAAGGAAGAGGCTAAAAATTCTAGCATTTTTTCTATATACACTTCTGGAAGCATTGAGGAGATTACTTCAACTGTGGTTTAAAAAATAATAAGTTATTAGTTTAAATCACATGTGCAAAATCTTAAGCTAAAAAAACCCAGTATATTCTATATGATTCATCACTAAGCTTTCCAGTTCCAAGTTTTTTTTTAATTAAAAAAAGATATCTCCAGGCAAAGGAAATCCAAATCAATAAGCTGCCATACTGCACAATGCTATTCTTTCCCTATTTCCCCCTCTTTCTAGATTCAGGTAGGTAGCCGTGTTGATCTGACGCAATCGAAATATATATATATAAATAAAAAAATTGTCCAGTAGCACCCTACGAGACTAAGAACAAACTTAGTTGGTCTCTAAGGTGCTACTGCACGCGCACACACCCACCCACCCACACTATATATATATATATATATATATATATATTCTCTCCCCCTCTTTCTGTTCCTGTAATGGTCACTACTTGCATTCTTGCACATATGTCAAGCACCTGAGATCATTTGGGACTTCGTATACTTTCCCTTCTCCCTAATATATAGGCAAACCAAGTATTGGAGACGTCTTAGAACTTCAGGAAATCTAGCTTTCTGCAACCACCACATTAGACTGGCAACAGAATTCCAGCTTACTTTCATTGTATGGAACAGTTTCTAGGACCTCCTGAATCAGTTTCTTCTCATTCAATCGAAAAGACATGACAATCGCCTTGGTGTACTCCTTCTGAACCAGTACTTTACGAATACTGCTAGGGGTGATGTCAATTTCTAGGTCATATGGATCAAAGACCAGACTAGAGTCCAAAGAATAGATAAGAAGACCTTCTGTGGTTGTTGCTGCCCAGCTTCGTCCTACAAGAGAAATATTGCTTGTGCTAGTTAAAATTGTTCATGTCTGGAAGGAGGAATATTGGAAAATTATATTAAAGACAGCTTTTATAAACCATGATCTTGAAGAATAAACCTACGTGTACAAACAACTTTATTCTTTAACTGTACTGGCTGGCATAAAACATGTATTTTCCACTAGTCAAATCAAAGTTCAAATAAGTGACAAATATCTAGTAATTATGATTAGTTATGCTGTTCTAGGGGTGAACTAAGACAGCCATCTCATTCCAAAGCAAGTAATGGTGGGAACTGTAGTTTAATTCAATTCCCAGTTCCTTTAACAAACTACAGCTTCCACGACACTTTGGGGGAAGCCCTGTGCTTTAAATGTGTCGTGTGACTCTACCCTGCCCCTGTCACTGCAGATCCTTGTTTCTTGAAGTTTCCTTCACTACTCCTTCCTGCTGCAAATGAAAGGCAGAGGTCTGACTGGTTGCCTCTCAATGCTGATGGCAAGAGATGGAGGCACAAAACAGCATGTGAGGAGTGTTAGGGAAAACACTCAAGGCAGAGGCATAGCATGGGGAGGGCCAGGGGCGCATGATTTTGAGGGAGCACAAGCACACAGGGATCCCCACATGTTTCATATGGGCATCAATTTTGTGTGGATACCTATTTGGACATTTGGAAGGCTTCTTAACGTATGTTTAATTACTTACTAATGGTGGTCTATCTTTAGTATTATTTGTATATGCCAGTTATCATTATCCCTCTTTCTCTTCTTTTATTTCCTCTTTTTCCTTGTTCTTCTCATTAAATTCGCAAACAAAAAAAAAATATTAATAGCAATTTTTAAAAAGACAGCCCCTTCCATTTCTTTTAAACCACCACAACCTGATCCTAAAAGCAGCAGCACACCACTCCCAGCTCCCTTCTAAAAGCACCCACCGGTAGGAGAGAAGCGGAGGCAGGTCACTCTTATTTCTGGTTTAAAGGAGCGAGAACTCATGTCACCTGAAACAAAGGAAAAGACAAATTTAATTAACTTTGCATGTATCAACCATGAGAATCCATGTTAATTCCATTTAGTTAGCCATCAGTACAATATTTCTATAAAGGTTTAAAACTGTTTGCCAGAGTAAAACGTTTAAACAACATAGTGAAAACTACATTTTCGGCTCTATCCAACACTGAAAGCTTCACACAACATATAGTGGTACCTCGGGTTAAGTACTTAATTCGTTCTGAAGATCCGTACTTAACCTGAAGCTGTTCTTAACCTGAAGCACCACTTTAGCTAATGGGGCCTCCTGCTGCTGCCGTGCCGCTGGAGCACAATTTCTGTTCTCATACTGAAGCAAAGTTCTTAACCTGAAGCACTATTTCTGGGTTAGCGGAGTCTGTAACCTGAAGCGTATGTAACCTGAAGCGTATGTAACCCGAGGTACCACTGTACCTCCCTGCATGCAATGGAACTTCCTCTCACGTACCCCACCAGTCCCGCCGACACACTCAAGTTTTTGGAGGGCTGGGGAACCCTTGGAGCAGAAAAAGAGAGGCAATGAAAGTCCTGTTGCACAAGTGGAACTCTGCTTGCGCAGTGTTGGATACAACCCATTTCCTTCCCTATCATCACTGTCACTGAACAGATTGTTGCAGTAATGTCTAGGAATCTGCCTATCCTTCTGATTGCAGCGTTGGATGGGGCTGATGGGAGCGGAAACAGATTAAGACAGGTAAACTGCAAGAGAACACAGGAAAGAGGCAACAGGGACAACTTCACAAAACAGGGATGGATGTGAAAATGCTGGTGGCGACCACAGTGCTGGAGGTACTGAATCACTGCCCTAGAACCATCACAGAATGTGAAACTGATGGCTGCATCGACCTCAGCATTTTGAAATCTTAAATTCCAAGCGCCCATTCTCACACAATGGGTTTCACTCTTCAGGAGATGTCAAAAGAAGACAAAGTGCTATTAGCTGGACTCCCAGCTTAAAAAAAAGGTTTGATCACCGTTTTAGGAAGTAAAAGTGAGAAAGCATAAACAAAAGGCTTGCTTTGCATGTTCTCACCCTTTCCATTCCTCCCCGACGCTAGCTCACAGAGTACCTGGCACACATGAAACAGCAGATAAGCTGAAAATTGTGAAATGGAAACAGATACCTCTTTTAACTCCCGGAAGAGGGATTGCAACATTATCATCATCCCCAGTTCCTTCATCTATTAATGCCATGCTACCAAATTCAGTCATCTTCCTGCGATCCAAGTACTCCTGTAAAATTGAAAAACAACAACAACATTGCAAAGCTTATATTCTTCAGGTAGAAGGCACATGAATTTAGGTAAACTATTTGGAATTTCTATAATGTTTCAGAATATTTAAAGGGCTACAGCATTTGCTCAATCTCTATCCCTCCAAATCGAAGATGTGCCCATGCTTTCTGGATAAAAGTCACGCACTAGAAAGACAACATTGGTTCATACCAGAAATAGATTGGAATGTCATAACAAAATACTTTGGAGCACAGATTTGGATCACTTGGTGCAAAGACTGGATTCATTGACGAATTACAACTCAGGTTGCCACAGGGAAGCAGAAGCACATACATACTTCAGTTTAATAGTGTCATATAGATCATACCCAAACATATACAACAAATAAGGGGGGGGGAATCAATTACTAACCTCCATTGCATCCAAAGACAAGTTGCAAGATATTTCAAATTTCTTAATGAGCATCTGTTCCTTGACATGATAAATGCAAACAAACTTTGACTGCCCTCCTGCTAGAATACACTGCCCATCAGCTGAGTAACACAGAGTAGTAAAAGATCTGGGGAGGAAAACAAAGACATGTTAGATTTATGTTATAAGTCAGTCCCTTCCACCAAGAGAGATATTCTGGTTATGCTGCAGATAGATGTCTGTTGTGCTAAGAAATTAGGTCCTCATTTCTCTACCCAACCATTCCAACCATCGCCATCTTAAAATCATTTTTTTATGAACTAAAGAGACTCAACACATAATAGAAGGTCAGGATTGAAATAAACAATGTTGTGACAGCCTGAATACCATGGGGTTATTAATTATAGTAGAGCCTTCTATTTTATTAGTGGGAGATTAAAAAAAAGAGAAAATACTCATATCGCCTGACATATCCATCACTGTTTAAAAACCTACCTGCAATAAGTTCTTTCTTTGCAAAAATTATCTGAATAAGTTATCTGAATACAGTCCTTCAAAACATATGCCTGCCATTATCTTACTGTCTTTGCCTGCTAACATGGTAAGAGGGGTGCTGAATGAGCTCTAACAAATTGCAAGGTTACCTTTCACACAGCAACAAGTAAAACCTAAGACTCTGACTACAAGTCTGACTACAAGCTCATAGCTGATGGGAGCATTAAGTCAGATGACCACATCTTAAGAAGTTATCAAAACCAGATACTAATACAATCACATATGCACACCTTTATCTGCAGTAAGGAGACACATTTAATTTACAAAAAGTCAATAGGATGCGCAAGAGAGCTTTCAAAGGCAGCAAGCAATGCACAAGCTTCCTACTTCTCTATTAAAACTAGTCTAATAAAACTCAAGTTCACCAGATACACAGGTAGTTAATTCCAACAACTATATTAAGTTTCCCTAATTCAAAGGAAGAGAGCTAATCCTTCCTAGAATACGGTCACAAATGGGTTAGATGACACTGGAGATCCCTCCCAACCCTGTGATCAAATAGTCAACCTACTTATGTAACAAGCAAATACAAAGAGAACCTATCCAGTTGACACTGACACAAAACCCCACACATATGTGATAAAAAAGAATGTAAGTTTCACCACCACCCCTCCTCTCCATCCCTGACCTTATACTGTACTCAACACTAATGTCTCATACTGTAGAAAAGACTTTACAACCTGAAAAAAGAGACAAGGCATGTACTTCTGTAAACAAAAAATAATAATATTTTTTTAAAAAAGGCTACCTACTTCCCCTTAGCGGATTGTTTGGCGGTTATTTTGTCCAGCTCTTTTCTGCCCATCTGAAGGTCATGTCGCCCCACAATTGATCCAGTCTGCACAGCATTTTCATGGTCCCAGAAAGTGATCTGTCCATCCAAGGAAGCAACTGCAAGTTCATTGCCATCCGGACGAAAAGCAACAGCGAGCACTGGAGAAGGTAAGGGAGCAAAACCAAAGTCACGCCTTCCTGTATGTACATTTCAGCCACATTGCCCTCAGTTGTTAAAAACACACACACAGATAAACTCAATGAAACCAGATTCAGAATTTCCAGAAATCACACATGAACACACACGCTCAACACATAACATATCCATCGTCACAAAGACTATATATAATGCTGTGCTGTATAAAGTCGTGCTGAAACATAACCATTTATCCTGGCATTTTTTTCATTTTCATTTTTTTCATTTCTGAACCTTTTGCAGTTTACATTTTACAGCAGGTACTGCTGACACCTGCTGTACTGGGTTGGTTGGTTTTTAATGCAAATGTATGTGTATTGCCAAGCTTTTATGCAATGGAGATTCAATGACTGCATTTACTCATTTTAATATGAATCTTATAATGCTTGTTCATTGACTGTTTCTCATCTGATCCTTCAGCTTGTTATTATAGTATTTATTGCAGTTTATGGTGCGCTGCATGCTTTGCAACCCACCCTGGGACTGGGCAACAAAGAAGGGAGAGACAGAATTGCTTCAAGTAAATACAAGTAAACACAGATGTACTACCTGACGAATTAAGTTCCAGTTGTGAGGAAAAAGCTGCATTATATGCAAGCTTTCTTCCCAGAACCTAGGACCAATTGAAGCTTTAACCAGCCACCCAACATCACACGGAGAACATAGCTGCCTGCATTTGCACAAGAGATTTCCAAGGGACTCACCATCCGAGTTCAGTGCCAGTGCTTCCTTGGTCCTCCAGCTATCCAGCATATCCCACAACCTGACTGTCTTATCCCAAGAGGCACTTGCTAGGACACACTTGACGGGATTAAAACACAGGCTACTGATGGGGCCTTCATGACCAGCTAAGACCTAATGGAGAAAAGCCAATTTGATTTCTTTTATACATGTTGGTTTACACAGGATCTTATACAGGGAAAACAATAATCCACAGATGAAACTATATGCATACAAAATGCAAAAGTTGCACATTAGAGATTTCATTACCGGGTTGCAATTCCCAACATTTACAGTTACTATAGTATATGACTTTTGGGCCACATTTAAAATCGGCAAAGCACATGACCAGATCCTTCTAATGCGCCACCAAATCAGAGCAAGGATCCAGGATCACAAGCACTAGGACTTTCAATACAGCAACACTAGAACAATCACTGTATCGCCATCACAGCTGTGGATCAGCATTGCGAGACATGACTATTAGGCAGCAGATATCATTGCCAGATTCAGCACGGCAGCACACACAGAACAGCTAACATACATGGGATACATCCTTATAATGAATGATCATAATGGGAGTGAAAATGATAGGCAGACCTCTCCACTTGCTCTACAAAGGATTCTGTTGAAGCTATGAAGACACAGGTCACCAAGTGGGCCAAGCTGTGCCGATCAATAGGGTTAGATGTTAGAAGCTGAATTTATATGCAAAAACTGAACATTAGCTAGTAAGATAAATTAAAGATGTGCCTATTTTTAATCATGCTCAACTCACTCAAGTTCAATGATTCTTTTAAATCCTGCAAATATATACGGTCTCTGCTCTAAGGATGGAGTCAGCTTCAATTAAAAGCAGTTTCAAAAGGGGTTGAGACAACCAAAACAAAATGCCTCTTACATCTAAGAGTCGCCCACTCTGCACTGACCACACAAATACTTCAAAGGAGTCCTGAGAACCAGCTGAAACAATCTCACCACTGGAGTCCACAGCCAAGCAAGAGAATTGTGTTGGTCGTGGGGAAGTGAAGGTGCGGAAATTGCGGTATCTGTTTAAAACATGCAGAAACATGATTTAAGGAAAAACTTTGGTGCCTGTATACTATTCTAGTTCAAAGTCCCTCAGTGATATCACAAAAAGTGATGAAATATCCCAAGTGAACAACTGATTAGCTTTAAAAAAATATATTTATACAGCCAAAGCCTAGGCTTCTCAATGGAGAAGGCTAGGCTTTGGTTGTTTCTGAAACCGGGCACAATTTTTCTATTGGATACTTTCAAATTATGAAATGCTCACATGACACAATGGCACAAGAGGAGTGTACCGCGTCTAACCAAACAACATTCTAGATATTAATTAGAAATATTCCCTCTAAATTCTCTGGTTTTCCACTCCAAGCTCAGGGAAGAGAGAATTTTGCTAGGGGGGGTAAAAGAATAATTTACCTGTGCAGATCAAAAGCCCGAACTGTCCCATCTAGGGAAGCACTCAGAATGACATATCCTGAAGTGGTAAATGTTACGGCAGATATACTGCTTGTATGTTCTGTAAAAGTTACAAAACAGAAACCACTGCTGGTGTTCCACACCTTCACCTGAAAATAAAACAGAAAATGCTCCAGTAAGCTTCAGAAATATTCCTTTTCTGGGACTGACACAGTATTGAGATTCAAGTCACTGAAAGCACATTCCAGTACACCACACTTAGCAGAGCTAAACCTCCAGGGAAGTTAAGCAAGCCATTCAAAATCACACTTGAAGAAGCCCAAGGACATGATTTTATCATTTTGCCGTCAGTTGGAAACCTCACTGACAACATGATCTGGCCAGACATTACGAGTCGCTACAGCCAACCAAGAACGTGGTCAACTTCCATGTTACACAGCTTTGCTTCTGCTCCAAATATACACTAATGTCTTTTTTCTATAAAAATAATGCAAGCATCACCCATAGCAAACAGGAATGACAACATATCCAAAATAAATTAAGGTTCCTAGCTCCCAGGAACTTTAAGAGCTCCTTTCTTAGTATCTTTATAGTATATGTCCAGAAATTGCAGATTTTAGAGAACTACGAACTCCATGTTCAATAACATGCGGCAGACTTACTTTCCCATCATCTCCACCAGTGACTAAGTACTGCCCATCTGGAGAATATGCAAGAGAAACCATGCTGTTGAAATGGCCTTGCTGCTTTAGCACATAGGACTCGCTCTGCCATTCCCAAACCAGAAGCTGCCCCAGACCTGTAAGTATAATGACAAGTAGTTCAGACTCAAATACAACTATTCAATCTATACATTTTCCTGCAGCACCAATACATAGAATACACCAACACACACAAAGCTATGTCTGTAAATTGCAGTTAATGAGTTCAGAAATACGGTGGGTGTAAGAACTGCACCAATCAAGACTGACCAAACTGGATTCGCATTTCACCGCTCTCAGGGTTCTACTGGATTCTTATTTTTTACACAAGCTTGTGCTTGCCCATATTCACAAGGACAACATGATGCATGAACTGGCAATGCAACACACATTGCCATGACCAAGCCTTATGAGGAATGGTTGAGGGAGCTGGGTATGTTTAGCCTGGAAAAGAGGAGATATGATAGCCACCTTCAAATATTTAAAAGGCTGCCACATGGAAGATGGAGGAAGCTTGTTTTCTCCTGCTCCAGAGGCTAGGGCCCAAACCAATGTATTCAAGTAACAAGGAGATTCTGACTCAACCTGCTATTGTTCGTGATTTCATAACCCAGCTTGATAAAGAAATGGGTCCAACCTCCCTAATTTTGCCTGGATGTGATAACTTTCCAAAGTCTCTAAAGGAGCGATCATATGCACAAGAAGCTGACGCAAAGCCAGCTGGTGTAGGTTAAGAGAGCATGAAGTGAAACCTGATCCAAACACTGTCAAACAGTGGGGCTGCTGCTCTGCCTGAGCATAGCAAGCCTTTCAAGGTGTATTCTATGGCAGGGCATGCAACCAAACTGAATGGGCTCAGGATCCAGCCTAAGTCGGAGAGAGGGCTCTGGTCCTGCCCCTAGCATGACCTTTTTTGGGAACTTACACCAGCTTGGCTTACCAGCTTCACCTCACCTGGCTGAACCTCAACTGAGCAAGGATAAGCAAGTTATGCTACGGTGTCTTCAACAGAGTCAGCATTGGGGACTTAACACCAGCAGAGCTGAAGATTTAAGCTTCTCATCCCAGCAGCCCCCAATTTATATCTAAAGGAATTTCCACAGATGAAGTGTGTCAAAGGGTTCTCTCAACATAACTGATTGTATAAACAGGCCCTCATTCAACTGCGTGTCTTACAGTTACGCACCTGCACACCCAAAAGCAATCCAGTCACCAGTACTGTTGATAGAAATAGATGCGATCCTTTGGTCCGAAATGCTAAGTAGCAAAAAGAAAGAAAGAAACTGCTTAAAGCGAAGCATTTGGGTGCCCATGCTAAAATTTCAGACACATATAAAATAATGCATTATTAAGTCATAAGAACCTGTAGATGAAGAAAGGACACTAATACCAGTATTACTCTGTCCAAGCTTATAAAGCAGAAATTGCTTTTAAAGAAAAAAAAAAAGATTTGTTCTTTCTCTAGAACTACATTTCTCTATAATAAGCAATATCCATACTTACCTTAAAGAATGGATGAGATTGAATTCTGGAAGTTCATGGAGGTGAAAAATTCCAGACGCGAAGCCAGTGACTAGTAGGTGAATTTTCTTGTGGTAAGCTGCAGCTGTCAAGGTGTTAAAATCACCTTCTTTGTTGAAAAAGTATCTGAGAAAACAATTGAAATATGCTACTGACATGCGTTTAATGCAGGGCATATTTACCACTCAATTAATTTCATAATACACCAGCAAAAGACCAATGACATTTTGGACATGAAGTAAAAACAAGTAAAGAAAGGTAGCCATCTATTAAAAATCCAAGCAACATCCAACCCGCCACTTTTTTAAAAAAACAAAAAAAATGCTATAAAAAAGTCAAAGGAAGAAACAATGTTGTGGTTAACACTGGATACCACCAGCAGTGGCTTCCACCTGCCCACGAACTGTCAGGCACAGTGGGGACGCGGCAGCAGAGCAATGCTTGCCCCCCACTGGTTAACCAGTGAATCAGGGGATAGAATTGCTCTGTATGGCATTTTTCTGTTCCACCTCTAACATGTCCACTTCAGATCCTGCCACAGACAGGGGAAGTCTGAGCCTGTTTCTTATTAACTGGATGCTTGTTAAGGCAGTGTGGTCCCCCGCAAGGGAAAGTCTAAGTGCTTTCAGTTGAACATGCTTGGAGATTGTGGTGTGGGAGATCTTCACACTTTAGAAGGTTAGAATGCCATAATCCTAATCAAGAGTCATGCCTGCAGCACATTCATAGTGTGACAATGAGACAGTCTAATGGAACTGTTTTGTTTTCATATACACTGGCTTTGACTACATGACCAAGCTCCTGGTTGCAACATATTCCTCCTTTTCTCTCTGGAAGATCACTTACTTGGCAGCACATGAGTATTTTACTCTCTTTCCCTTCTCTTTTTTCTTATGTGTGCTGGCTTTCCCATGGACCTCTTTGCCCTTCTGTTCTTCCATCAACTCTTCATCTAGGCCTTCTGCCAATTCTGCCTTATCTTCAGTTTGATCTTTTGGGGGTCGAACTTTCAAACCATCTAGTTCTGTATCGCACTGCCAGACACACAAAGCCCCATCTCTGCTGACAGTGTACAACTGGAACACCAAAACATAATGGTTAACATCATTGCACAACTGAAATGAGCCTTAAGCAGATGAGCTAAACAAACATTTGATGTCACTATGCTCAACTGAGAGTCGAAAGGATACTTAGCTCAAAAGACTGCAATTCTCTAAGAATAAAATGTTCTCATGAAACTGTAAAACGGAATCTTGTAAGCTACTTGACTTACAAGGGAAAAAATGACCACAGTTCAGCGAAAAAGCATCTCCCTTGCAACATAGTCATGCAGATCCCCAATTTAATCCCTCATGTCTCCAGATAGAGCTGTGAAAAGCTCCTGCCTAAAAGCCTGGAAACTCACTACCAGTCAGTATAGACAAGACTGAGCCCGATAGATAGATAGATAGATAAATAGTTAGATTCAGTATGAGCCAGCTTCCTGTGTACCTAATTACAAAGACATTATCTTTCAATTTGAACTTATTTGAGAGAAAGCAATCTTGGATGTGAGATGTCTAATAAACTGAATTTTTAGACCAAATATAAAGCCTTGTTGGGATCCTACTTTATTGTTATCTTACGTTTATTGTACACTTTTGAGCTCCGCTGTATACATACATTCTAAATATATACATTCATTAACTGCCAATGTCCAAAATCCATAACAGGCCCTTCTGGACTTAGAAATATGGGAACATAATATATCTGAGGTGCTGATTGCTGGCTTATTTCTGGGCACCCAGGACACCAGTTCTGGGCACTTTTTAAAGAACTGCCACCGCCCCCCAGATAAGCAATCTGCAGAAGACCCCTACAGTATATAAACACCTTGAGGAAAGTAGACTATACACAGCCTTTCATTGACTTGTGCCATATAATTATCCAAAAGCAAAGTACACTAATCATAAAAACCAATGCAATATATATATAAGAGGTACATACATCTAGACTGTTTCCTTCAAAAAAACAGGCAACAATTGCATCCTTATGACCTCCCAATGCATAATAAATCAGATTGGCCCATCGCTCTGCTCCAAACACCCACGTTGACATATCTTTGCTTCCTACTGCAAAACATCTAGAATAAAAGAATCGTAGTTAGAACATCTCAAAAACTACATCATAGTGGATATGCGAACAAGCAGTTTATACTGCTCAATTCTATTGACAGTGAGAGGCCTTTGGAAAGATAGCAAGGAACGAAGAGACAGATTTGGATCCAAAGGTTCACTGCCACTGGAAGGAAATCATGGGATTCCAAACCACAGTTCCCAGGTCCCGCCATCTGAGTGGATAGTCTCTCCAGTTTAAACTGGGAAAAGGCATTTGGTCGATCCCTTACTGCTATTGGCCAAAGTGTGTACATCAATTGAAATAGATCAGTGGACACTTAATGATATTAGAAACTGATTTAAGTAAACTTTTATAGACAGTGAATTTGGAGAAATACATTATATTTATTTGAAAGAGGAGAAAATTAAGGAGTCATTTTTAATATATTTCAACAACCCTTTTTTAAAGAATGGAATGATTGTATGGAATGATGGAAATGATTGCATTACAAATCTTAAGTTGGATTCAGAGATCCATGAGAGGATTTCTGTTCAATAAATGGGATGTTTCCAGGTCTAATTCACAGAAGCGTGGGGAAGGTGATTTTCATTGGTCCTTCTCTGCACATATACACCCCAACTACTCTGGAGGGTTGGGGAACCTCTGGAACAGTGTTAGAAGTGGCAGCAGAGAGCTGTAGGAGGAACAGATTAAAAAAAAGTGTGTCCCTCTTTCTGTTCAGGGAAGCTTGGGCTTGACTGCAACACCTTCTGTGTAGAGAAAGAATATTTCCATTTGCAGACAGGTTCTGCTGGACCCAACCCTCTATGCTTACTTTAATAAAAATTGTTTATTAACTCAGGAGTTAACAAAATCTCTATTAACGAATGAAAAATGTGGACAATGGAGAATCCTGAAACAATAACCTGAACTTTTAGCATTACTGTTAAGGGAATTTATGAGATGAGGCACTGCCTAAATACACTCTCCTAAAAAGAGCAATGCAAGATTTTATTTTATTTTCTTTTCGCAATGCAAGATTTTCAAAATTATCAGCAGATACAATCAACCCAAGTCGCATTGGCTTTCAATGTATTTGCTCATTTTCTATGTTGCCTTGGTAAACTGCATATATTAAAACTTACTTAGAATCATCTGTCCAATCAATGCATGTTGTTTCGTCATATGCACCATAGTAAGTTGTGTCAAGGACAAACGCATTAAATTCTCGCTTTTTTCCTGGGGCATGGTACATCAGAGCAACGTTCTCCTTTGTGACCACAAATTTCCTGTTTAACATAATATGAAAAATGAACTTAACATACATAATTATTCAGCAGAGAAATAAAAATGAACAAGATGACGCCAAGCACATGTATTCAGATAATGCAGTAGAATTGTGCAGGTTTCCAAGGTTTATATATCTACACACATAGATAAACATAAGCGAAAGTCTGTATTTACAGCTAGATAGTTATTTGTAATTATTTTGTCACCAGACACTTTTGTACAAGAAGCATATTGATTTGGGGTGTATAAAGGTGATCCAGTAAAAAAGGTCACGTTCCCAACTCCTATGATAAGCAAAATTCAATTCAACAACAACTGGTACTACTATCACTTATACATACAAAAAAAGAAATAAACACAAAACCAGGAAGTATCTCTTACTTTCCATTTGGGGAAAAACAGACACTGTGTACAGGTTTCTGAAAATGGAACTGATGAATCACAGATTTACTGATCAAGCTGACAAGTAAGGCAGCTCCCTCTGTTGGAAAAAGAACAAATAGATTGAGCATCATTTATATTCAGCCCAATTTCAAACTCAAATTTCTAAATGAAATAAAAGTGTCATGTTATTCAAGGGACTATAATAAAAGCAAACAACATTTTTTGCCTTGATTGTAGAACATTATAAAAGATAGTTATACTTAAAATGAATCTAACCGTAACTTATATTTCTGTTAAAAATTCGTGATACTGACTGAATTCTTTTTTATTATATTAAAAATCTAAAATACCTTCATCAACTAATATAGCAAGATTTCCATCTGGAGAGAGTCCCACGCACGCAACATTGTACTGGGTTGCCAGTGATAATGTTTCAGACTTGTTACTGGAAGAGAAGAGGGTGAAAGAATCAATAAAACGTCCAAACAGTGACAGAACTGTATGCAAAATGCTAATCTGTTATACACCTCTGCCCAATCCAGGAAGTGTGAATTGCACATAGAAATACATTTCTGCACACAATACCATGTTTCTCAAGCCAGATTTCCTTTATGTCATCCCACATGTATGAAGGGGAGTGGGAAATAGCTACATCCTTCCCAGTGTGAATGCAGTGTACTATTCATTAGCCCATTTTATAACTTTGATAATGGAGCACATTCTTTCACTATAGTGGAATAACAGAAGAGACCCAGAAACACACCCAAGTAGCCCTTTTAACAGTCTGTGTTATATGCAGAGGCTCAATACCTCTAGTGGTCATTTACTTTTTGAGAAAGCTCATTTATAAAGGCGATGAAAGAAAATGCATACTTTTTCAAGTCAAAGACGGTAATTCTGTTTCCCACAGGACTAATCAGAGAGTTCCCATCTGGAGTGAAATTCAGGTTTCCATGTCGGTAGACTGTACCCAGCAAGTTGGAGAACTGAAAAGAGAGAGAAGCGAAGTGAATGCAGACTTAACCAGTAGTTGGTCTCTAAGGTGCTACTGGACAATTTTTTAATTGTTTTATATAAATACCTATGAAGTTTCAAATAGTACAAACCAGTGAGGGGATAAATTAAGAGGATATAGTGCAGAAGCAGCCAATGTGGGGCCCTCCAGATGTTGTTGGACTCCCATCAGCCCTTGACAACATGGTCAATGGTCAAGGATCACGAAAGTTGCAGCCCAACATCATCTGGAGATCACAGCATTGTCTACCTGCATAACGGATGGGATGAAAGAAGAGTATTTGACTTGTAGCCAACTCATTCTCCCAACCACAGGGAGGATGTGCACAGATGCGTCTATCTGTCAAGTAGGAGGAAAAGACGGGAGTTTTGCAAGGAAAAAAGGCAGCTAGGGGATAGAAAAGACGGTGCAAATGGAAGTCAACATTAATGTTCAATTTCAACGATTTGTAGCATGCCAAGTACCAGAGTCAGCTAGTTAAGCAACACATAAAGATAGCAAATTTTGTGTGCATTTGCCAGATTATGAGCAAATGCGGATAGTCGGCAGTGGCGGAGGTCGGCAGGAGAATTCCTGGCTTCCAGGAGGATTAAAGCTGGACACGCTACTCGAGCAATTTGGCAAGATAACGATTAAAAGGAGCAACAGGAAGGGAAAAGGAGGACAGGGATCACATACTCTCCAACATTTCTCCAGTGAAAACAGGGACATCCTAAGGAAAAGTGGGACAGTCCGAGGTCAAATCAGAAACCTTATCTAAATCAGGGACGCCCCTGGGAAACAGGGACGCTTGGAAGGTCTGGGATCAAGCGGCCGCCCAGAGGCTGGGCCCTCAAGAAACGGGCAGCGACGGGCTCCTCTTGCCAGACCTAGGGCTGCCCAAGCTCCGAGACCCCCGGCCAGAAAGGACGAAGCCCCCCGCCCTGTAAGCGAACCTTGTAAGCGAACTTCATCCCCGCGCAGATTCCGGCACTCGGCCGGCAAACACATGGGCAGCACGAGTCGGCCGGAAGAGCCGCTTCGTTTTGCTTCCGGGTTCAGAACATTTCCAGGGCGACCTATCTGCTCTCTTTCTCTCGCTCTCTCTGCCGGCTCCTGTTGCGTCACTCAGACAGGGAACCGAAAGCTCCCGGAGACTCGCACTCCGCGTTCCGAGCAACATTCCTCCCCTCCGCTGCCGCCCCAACCCGCGTATAATTTGGGCCGGTGGGGAGCAGCGAGGTGCAGCTCATTTAAAGGCTGCTTTCTTGAGCACTCTTTCTCGAGAGCATGCCTCGAGTCATTATTTATTATGGTTATTTTTATAAAAAAATACGTTCTTTTTTCCATACAAGCAGGAGGGTGCTTGTTTCCTTACGCTTTTATAGCGGCAGGGCAGTGGAAGCAAAACCTGCGTTATGGCTGCAAGCTGTAAAAAGTAAAGTGAGCTTAAAATGCAAAAGCGCCCACGTGGCCAGGTTTACAGTTTTCCATCAGGATTGGCACGCGGTCTTTTGCTTTTATTTCAACATGTCAGGAATGTAGCAGCTGTGCTAAGGATGAGGTAGAGATTGGGAGGGGTGTCGTTTTGTGGCTCACAACTTAATGCACGTGGTCATCCGAAGGGCATAAGCTATTAAATCCGATGTCTAAAATTATCCAGCTGCCCCACTGGCGAGAGAGCCCAGATTTTGACTGCGGTTTTTAGAGCCATCTTGGCTCTAAGACATCTTGCTGGCTGAAGCCGAGCAGCAAATGGCACTTTCTCACCCGCAAGCACGACATCTACTACTGGCGAAATTATTTTGGCATCTGAAACCTTGCCCTTCTCGAAACCCCACGGAGAACCTCAGCTTCCCTGTCAGTAAAAATACAATTTTTTTAAAATAATAAAAAAACTAGCAAATTTCTATCTTTCCGTGACATCCAAAATAAGCTGCTTCACTCTTGCCTATTAGTAAAGCCCGGAGAGGATAGCATCGCACAGTCATTGCATGGGCACCACAGCCTATTACACCCTCTCCCATAAGGAGATGATGTACACACTATTTTAGCCCTTTTTAAACACAAAGGGTAATTTTTAAAATTAATACAGATATAGAAGTGGGTCCTGTGCAGAGTGTCGTAATGACTGATACCTACATACATAATTTTATTTGTATGCCGCCTTTCCATAGCTAAAACCATGCTCAAGTTGGCTTAACATTTAAAAAATGTATACAGTATAACGAAAATAGTAACAAAGAATAAATAAGACACATCAAAAAGTACACAACTAAAGAGAACAGTTTACACATTAAATCATTAATCTAAAAATAAAGATACAAAAAAATAGTATCAGTAACACCAACAACCCCCTGCCCCTGCCTAAATAATACCCCAACCCAATAATGATGAGCTGTGTATCAGATGGAAAACTTTTGTGGATTTCTTGAGAATGGAATCTCAATCTTGGATCAAGTACTGTTTTTAAAAGGGTGCTCTTGGCACAGGTCAGAGGTAGCTAGCAAGATTTAGTTTATGAATTCCAGATTCCTACCACAGTCTGCTTTTCAGTATGAACTAGATCAACCACCTTTATACTGTCACTTTTACTTGTAGTGTACAACTAATTTTATCCAAAGTTAAAATGTAAAACTGGAAGAAAAATTATCTTTAAAGTAAATTAGTCCCCAAATGCTTATTTGGGTTAAAAGTGAATCCCAGGTAAGAAAAGGTTGAAGACTTCTATTTTAAAGAAACTTTCACACCAGTGTGAACTCTACTCCCCTCCCTGCACATTCCACTCTGCAGTACTTTTTCCAACAGTAACCATTCACAGTAGGTGGTGCTTCTGGAGAAAATCTTTCCTAGATCTGGAAGCTGAAGATCCATGTCAGGTGTAGCTCCAGAGAAACCATTCTGATGTACAATACTTCAACAAGCAGGCATTTAGCAGGTGGCTTTCTCCAAAAAGCATTGCCTTTTGAACCAGGATGTGGTAGTGCTGCTTTGATTTGTCACCCAGTTCACAAAAGAGACTCATCATACTGCAACAGTCAACATCATTTAAAGTAGTTGCCAGAATAAGCTGGTGCCAAGTTTCATCTGTAGTGACTCCTTAAACTAGGAACGACAATGTTTGCTTCCCAAAGCTCTGATACATACATAAATGCCACCCCAAATATACCAAGAAACATCAGGAGAATGTGAGAAGATAAAACTTCCTGCTAGGATTAAAAAAACACAGTGAAGCTAAAGTAGCTGCATGTGTTAAGCCTTGTGCACCACCATATAATTATCTTAAGGTATATTAGTACTCTTGCGGCTCAGCCTGGTCCTGCAAAATAAATTAACTGAGAGCCAACAGATGCTACTAATAGAAAAGCTGCCTGAAAATAACTGATCAGCTCAGCTTAGAGCCACTTAATACCTAGAAATCTCAAACCAAGGAACATATAAAGGAAAGCTGAATGTCAGAACTGTAAGCAACTTTTGTTTAAAATATTCCAGATTTTTATTCATTTTCCTACTGGTTGGCTTTTCTGGGGGGTTTCATTGACAGTTTATTCCCAAAGTTTCATGTCACCATTAAAATAAGAAATAAGACTGGGTAATTGTGTTTCTGAATATCCTTTCCCTACAGTTTGCTCTTCTATGTTTATATCCTCTGTGGAGTGTAACAGTCTTACAGAACTACAAGTAGGAAGTGTCACAAATGTCATTGTTGAACTTTAATTTCCATAGTAGGAGTTAATTTTTCCAATCACAAATAAACCTGTGAAATTCACAAAAATTATACTCCTTTAACCCATTTGATAGTATTTACAAGCTTGACAGATATCTATAAATAGCATAATCCTTAATTTTTCAGATACACATATTGCAAATTGATTATTTACATCTTTACCCAGAAACCAATCCCCTCTCCATATACACATGTAGTCTCCTGAAGTAATGATTAGACTATGGTTCTGCTGCATTTTAGTGAAGTCCACCATTTCAACGTAAGCATAAAAATGTTACGGTGCTCTAAAACCAAACCAGAGAAAACACATCAACACTAACTGCTAATAAAATCATTTCTTGTGAAAGACCCAAAATCAAGGTATCAAGTTGTTCACCACATTCGAAATGTACTTTTAACATTCAAGCTGTTGTTCACAAGTATTCAATGTAGAAGGGCCATAACAAGTTTAAATACATTTTATCATTTAGATGCAAAATTGAAATGTGTACATATCAATATTGTGTAGTCTCATTAATTCTTATAACTGAAAGAAGGTACAGAGGCAATTTTGTTGAAAAACGTTTAAGGGGTTGCATACATTTTTCCCTAACTTAATTAAAGTAAATTAAACACAAAGAGACAGTCAGCCAACCTCCCATTGTAACTTCAAGAAAAGAAGTGCCCAAATACAAGTGTATGTTTCTATTTCCAAAAAGAAAACTCAACTTACTTTAACTTTCAAAGCCAAGTACTGGCAAATTCATGAGAAACACGGGGCTTGCTTTTTGCTCCCTCTACAAATAAAACCTCATTTGCTCTTAAGACATGAGAAAAGTAAATCAAGAATTAACAGATACACACAGTGTTGGAACACACATACCACACTTTTTCAGAATTCAAATTTGGTTTGCTACTGCCTCCTGCCTCAAAGATATTAAAAACCCATGGAAAGAACCAAGAATTATCAGTGTTCCTACAAAGCTTGTTCATACAATGAAGGCTGTTCCCCAAGAGGCTGCATATGTTGCAAGAAGAGAATTATTGTGTAAGCCAGTAACAGGAGTGAACAGCAGCTAGGATTGTAGCCACAAGTTTTAAGGAAATGTGGTATGTACAAAAATACACAGTTTGAGAGCTGGAAAAAGTTATATGCACTAGACTTATTTACAAGCTTTGATTTCCACACCAATAAAAACACATTTATTTTGTCCTTGATTCCGGGAGCAAATTATACACAGACATTATATCAGTTAAGTTTAGTTTAGATTTTTTTAAAATAATCATTTGTACAATAAATTTACAACTGAAAGTAATCAGTTGGAATGGTGTAACTGCAGTTTGCTGGACCAGAAGAGGTTCAATAAGTAGGACCTTAAATTTCCTCATAACCAGACTGGAAAAGCAGTCAAGTAATCCTTGGCTTTATTTGCTTCTTCTCAGATTACTTTAGAATAAGGTGCAAATATATATATAGTTATATGGCTCTGTAGTCAATAATAAGTTAACAGTAGTTGGGACAGGAGAAACAAATAAACTTTGGTTTTAAAAATATCAAGTGAAATATTGAATAAAAGCTATATAGTGAGACTCAATATAGTAACCTTAAATAATTTAAATATCAAACTTGGGGGAAAGCTTGTTCAGTGAAACTTTACTTCCAACTTAACCACTTATGTGCCACTTCATTACTTGCTTCCTGGTGTGTGTGTTTCCCCAGTCAGCTTAAGTAATGGCTCTCTATATGGTGTGCATTCAAGAGTTTGAGTGGGCTAATAAGTTTCATATGTATCCCAAGGCACAAAAGAAGTTAAGTCCTCAAGAAAATATATACACATATTTAAAATCCTGTTGATAGCTGTAGGATTAAGAATTACTATACAGAAATTTGGATAGCTATCCTGGTCCAGGAAACCAAACAGTTGTGTGACTAGAAAGGCACACACGTCAGTCATTAACAGCTACACTGCAAGGCTTATTGTATGTCAACCTGAAATTTTCTTTGAACAGAAATTTAATTACACCCCCCGGAAAAAAATAGCAGTTCTGGAAGCTGCCGAAAATAAAGAGAAAACTGCAGTAAGTATCCTTTATTTCACCAGCAGGATGAGAGAGAGAGAGAGAGAGAGAGAGAGAGAGAGAGAGAGAAACCCCAAAATTCATTTTACACAAACACCCTAAAATAGCAATATAAACTAGCTGACACAAGCATCACTGTACATTTAAATTGATACAATTGTCTGATGCTTCCAGGGCCAGTAAGTGTTGAGTTGCCATAGGCCTCGTTAGCGTTAGAATGTTTCAAATGAAGAACAATCAGGTTATGATCCCTTAAAGTGCATTCATTTTCCAGTCTCATGTGCATGTCCATGCACATGTACAGAGAGCTGTCATGTGACATTGACCTCCAGAATGTGATCATCCTTGCTGGGAATGACAAGGATTTGCATGCCAGAGCTGGAGTTGAAGACCTGTCCGGGTGAAAACGATTGCAGCCGAGGCATTGGTAAACCTTTGTGTTCTGCACTGGCTGCTGAATGTATGCTGCCTCTGCTCTTTATGCTGCTGCTGTCAGCTTGATCATCCATATTCTTGTCCACAGAGAGATTATCGTTTTCGATCCAACTATCTGTTTAAAAAACAAAAATGCAAAACTTTATTCCATGTGCACCTACAGTATGAACTAGAATCAATTTAGGGTTCATCACGTAGAAGGAATCAGAGATCCCTGCATGACTTGTTATTTACAGAAACACTTTTTAACGTATGTGCTAAAAAGACTGAAGAGAGCCCAAGGCTGGGCAGCTCATGCCATCAACTCCTGAAAAACTGCCATTGGCCTGAGAGTGCTCACTCGGGGCAGTCCCTTTTCCACCTCTTCACAGGCTACAGACTTGGGTGCCCAGAAGGGGAAGCAAAAAAGGCCAGGACAGGGAGTCCATTCCATCAACTCCTGGAAGGAAAAAAGGTCTGAAACAATTCTGCTGTTTCGCTGTTACATCTTCTGTACCTTGTTTTTGTTTTAGTGATTTACTGAGTGCCCTGGTATAAGGGCAGCATATAAGCACAGTAAATAAAGCATTGCAGCGAATGGGGAAGCCCCAGCACATAAAGATTTCTGTGCACTTACTGGAACTCCCACAAGAGCAAGAAACTGTTAAATCATACTTCAAGTATCTGCCAGTCCCGCGCATAAGAGCACTGAAAGCATTCCAAGGCAATGATTGCACATAAAGTGTGTCATGCCATGCCATCAAGCTACGGGAGAAATGGGACTGCAAACGTTCTCTATCAGCAGCCGTCCCATCAGACGATGGGGGCAGACAGAAAAAAAAGGGGTGGAAGTCCACAGCCTTTCCACTGACTCTGCTCAAAAACCAGCAATATGTGACTCCTCTTTCCCGTTCCAGCTGGTCATGAGAACTATAATTAAGTGTTAGTGCCTGTTTTCCTCATCTCTCCCAATACCTTTTCTTTTTGAATTGTGTGTTTTCAAATATAAGCCTGATACTATCTCATTACTGATATTCTGCAAGCCACCCTGGGAGACCCTTCTTGCTGAAAATCAGGATAAACGTGTCTTTCCAACTTTCTCAGCTGAAAAATTCTAACGCATTTTAAACATTCATGTAAGCACCTAAATAAACTGTTCAAGATTATTTGTGTTTCAGGCCTTCAAACGAAGCATTGAAAGGAATACATTCTTACCTGCATCAAGCTGCATAGAGTGAGCAGAGTAGTGCGGGAGGTATTTAAATAGCCTAACATCAGGAAAAGGGAGGTATCCAGCAAAGAGTGGCATGACTTCCATGTGCACTTTGTGGGTTGCCCGAACTGCAATCGGCATAGATATTACCCCTGAGCTCTTCCCACAGACTGCCCAGTTACTACTATTGTCTACAACTGAAACAAAAGAGAAACCACTATTAAAAGAAAACAGTTACTGAGACCCATTTTTCATTTTGAATACTGTATAAGCCACACTTATGGGGGAACTATATAAAATGTCTGATGTAGTCCTTATACAAGCTTCATGAGATAGTCAGTGATGCCATACAAACAAAATGATTTGATGAAGATACATACACATATTTAAAATCCTGTTGATAGCTGTAAGATTAAGAATTACTATACATTTAATTCAAGATAATTGGAGGGGGTAAATTCTTCGGATATTAGAGCTACATACACTTTGGGTGACCTGAGTGACTAAACCACACAAAATGCAGTCCAATTCGTATGCCTACCTTCATACATTAGCTTTGTTGTGCAGTAACCATCAGATTCTGTCAATGCTTCGTCTTTGTCCACATCTAGGAGGTCTGAAAGGCGGGTGATCGACACCTCCAGTGAGCACAACGAGCCTGTTTTACAATATTCTGCCCCCAATGGGGGGGAAATCTCAGCTTTCACATTATATAATGTCTGGCAGGAGCACAATGATATTCATGGTCATTATATACACAAGGTTAAACATTTCCACAATTAAACTGATTAGGAAAGATAATCTATCAGTAAAAGGAGATTGGCAGAGGAGGAGAAAGTCTGTCTTCTACTTTTCCATAAAAAATAGGACCAAGCCACAAAAGCTAGGGCGAAAGCCTGAAAATCAACTCTGTATCGTAAAAACAAACAAGCCCAAATTGTATTGATGCTAAACAAGTACCAAACATTACATTCAACACGTGATGGCTTCCTAAAATATCATCATGTGGCAACTGCACCATACGGAGGTTGTAACATCTAGAATGGCTTGTCCCATGGGGCACTGCTGTCATGCGGAAATCTCTATGACACCACTAGCCACTATCCAGCAATGGCCCAGAAATGCCACAAGGTTGTGACAATCCACAGATAATCTGCTCTAAGCACTGCAGAAGCAGTAAGAGCTACTTGCCAAGCAGTGATCGAGTGCTCTCAATGTGGCAAGTGCCTGGCACAAACCAACCCTTCGAGTATTCCAGAATTACAATATGGAATTTAAAATTTTTACTCCTGTAAACCATTTTGAGATTGTGTGATAATGGCAAGCAGTATATGAATACTGATAAATAAATAAACATTTGAAAGCCCCACCCCCCACCACCTTTTAATGTGGATTCCTTGAATCTGCCTGCTTCCACTCTGGAAAATCTCCAACCTATCTGATCTAGCTGTCAGCGTGGCAAAAACTTACAAAAAAGTTTTCCAGCTGGAATTCGTAAGTGTACGGCTTCAGAGACAGTGAGTGCTCTTCAGAAGGTGCTGAACAGAAGTTCACTGAAAACTGGCATTGCAAAGATGAGGGAAGTTCTTTTGTCCACTTCAGTTCCCATACAAAGAATACTGCTTGCTTAGTGTAGATATGCTGAAAGAGAGAGTTATGAGTTTGTCAATAGTCACTCTGGTGTTAGCTAACAAAGAACAGAATATACATACTTAAAAAAAATAAAATTCAATAGGGGTGGACAGTGTATTCGTCAACAGCACTGCATGCAGCAACCCCTTCCCTCAAGGCTGAATAGTTTGCTCAGAACCCTGGATCCCTCACATTGGTTTTGCTTAAAACAAATGTCTGGCTCTTGTGGTTGGCTATGACAGCTAACTACACACAAGCAAAACTGTGTCTGTTTCAGCCCTCTTGGCTGATGCTGGGAGAAAGCAAACCACGAGGCTTGGCTTAGTGTTACAGCCAAACCCGAGATTGTGCTTTGCTTTGCTCCCAAATCATTATGTATGGCCAACAGTTGTTCTTGGATTATTGATTGTGGATTGCTGGAACCAAACAAACCATGATCCATGGTCCTGACATATTGCTAAGTCACAGGCTGTGATTTGTTTTCTCCCAGCATGAGCTGGAAGGAGCAAGGAGGAGGGAAGCAGGCATAATTTGGGTTGTGAACAGCAAAACTGGGGTTTACACTGTGAGAATTCTGTGCATGAGTCTCCCTCCATCAATATGGCTGCAACCAACTGCTATTTGGTTTTCCTCTCACAGAACTATCTCCAGCAATTGCTATTCCACAATTTTTTTTGTGTGTAGGACTTGAAACCTGACTCCATTTTCTTTTCTCCTTTTTCTTTTGTATGGTGTTGAATATGACAAACCCCAGCTAACGAAAAATGGAAGAGAAAGTTTCTAACTCCTTCTCCTGGCTGTGCAGGAGCAAAATGTGGAAGCAAAGTAGCATGTGAGCTAGGGAGGAAGCTAGGTTCATTTATGTTTTCCTAACAGTTTAGTGTGGCGTTCAAACACAGTCAATGAGTTCCAATTAGCTGAGGTTCATAATGCTTTTTCTATAAACTTTAGGGGTCGGGGGAGGGGAACAGATGTGAGAAACAGATGTGATGTTTGTATATTCGTAACATGTATGAATGTTGAATTATTTTAATAATAAAAATTTATTTATAAAAAAAGCAAGAAAGAAAGCCTACCTGTTCAGCTTTGGAGTTTAGAGGATCAAGACTTAAATCTGTGCAGACGCCAGAACTTTTAAGACTACTGTCAGATAACTTAAAAGAGATATCTGACATGTTCTGCACGCAAACCTGTATGTATTTCCTAAAAATAAAAAGGAAAACATATTTTTTAATACTGCAAAGAGCCTACTTTGTCATGTATTGTATTGTTAGATCTATCTATCTATCTATCTATCTATCTATCTATCTATCTGCTAAAGGCTTAAATAATAGAGAAAAAGAGCTCTACATATTCATAGCATTGTTTAATCATGCTAAAATTACATTTAAATTAAACAAACCACTATACTCCAAGTCTAGATTATGTTTTTATGTTAGTCTCCCATTGGAAAAGGTGAAATTAAAAAATACTCTACCATATCACTATGTATTTGTACTCTCAAGTAAGCAGGTATGGCATTGATTTATGAAGCACAAAAGGAGGGAGAAAACAGGCCAGGTGTTCAAAACTCCTTGCCCATTCATATTGTTGTAAACTGTAGCTGTAATAAGACATATCTTTATGATGAATTAAGAGAGAGACCTTGAGAAAGTTACCTTTTGCCTGCTGATAACAAGGAATGTTTGGCTGTAAAGGGTATACTGAATGTAAGTGCAATAATGGTGGAGTAAATTGACCATGGACAATCAATGGTTACCTGCGGGCAAGACAGAATAAAGTTATTCAGGTTATTATTGAAATTTTAATTTTTCTAATTTCAAATAGTTGCAATATTTCTTAAGAAGTGTACCCTTTATTGGGAGGGGAAATAAGAACATAAAACAAAATCAGAGTATTTTTTATACATTATTATTTTCTTGTATTTCTACAGTCACTGCACACCAGGCACATTTAATTTGCTTTAGAGCAAGGTAGCGAAAACAGGAATGAAGTTACAAAGAATCACCTTTTTTTCAGGAGGTGCTGTTTTGTGTATTTCAAGAACAAAAAACTGTGGTTAAAATGTGTTTTTGATGTAGCTTTTGTTCACAGAGGAAAATATCTTTACATTTTACAATATTTTACTGCACAGCTTTCTTTTGTGGTCCCAAAGAACACAGCATTCCTCTAATATTCTGGGTGTAATAAATCAATTTACCATCTCAAAGGAAGTAACTATTTTAACAGGGCTATAAAGTATTACATTATTCACGCCAACTTACTTTTTGGTCAATTGTAGCCATACGATTGTAAGACGTCTCCTCTTTGCTTTTTTTCTGAAGCTCTTTGCTAACCAGGTTCTCATTCTCCAGCACACTTACTGAGGTTGATGGTAAATACAAGACTTCGAGTTCAAAGGCAATCACGTGATAAGCAGGAGCCACAGGTAAGCTGATGCTTGTGATTTTCTCAGACGACTGGATCATTAGAGATGCTTCCGATGCCTTTTCTACAATTGCATAAAATATCAATTAAACTATAATTAAGAATAATCACTTCACTCCAAACACATGGTATTCCTCAAAATAAAGTGTGGCATTGCCTCTAAACCAACAAACCACACTGGGTTTTACTGTGTGAGGTAACTTTTGGGGACTCTCAGTAGGGATGAAGAAAAAAGGAAACCACACAAGCCATGGTTTACCTTATACAGTTAACACAAATCATGGCTTGATATTTGTCTGAATTAACCCACTAGGTAACTTTTTGCAGGTGTTATAACATATTCCTCTAATGCCCTTTCTTTGAGACAAACATGATCTCAAGACTTTGGCCACTGTACCAAAGTCATTATGCAACCCAGAGACTTACATGGACAGCACACAACAAGTTTGTTTAGTGGCTTTTCTTAAGCAGTTCTCTATAGCAGCATCCGCAACTTGGTGCTCTTCAGATGTTTTGGACTACAAGTCCTATCCTATCTAGCCATTAGGCCATGCTGGCTGAGGATGATGGGAGCTGCAGTTCAGGAACATTCAGAAGACCAAAGGTTTCCCAGTCCTGCACCACAAGAACTCCACTTGGGCAGAGTTGGATATATGCCAGAAAATTTGAAGAACTTTACCTATTTGGAAGCTCTCATAACAAATTCCCTTTCTTAAACACTGATGTTTACGCCATGGAACAGAAAGCTGCTAATAAAGAAGTGCTTAGAATGGTTTTGATGCACACTTCTGAATCATGGCTATGACTGTCAACAAAAAATTAGTTAGCAGGGAGGGTGCCGATAGAGAAAGTTAATTTATATGGTAACCCTTGGGATAACAACTCTGCTTGGAATTGATAAAAGATTAAACTGCTTCCAAATATATTTTTCCTGCCATATGTTTTCAGACTGCTGTGCAGAGAATCAGAGAACTAAAACATCAGAAGCAGCTATTCTGCATACTACATTGTACCAGGTTTCTTGAGGTTGTGATCAACAAAAGCTTAAACCTATTACGGTAAAACAGATTTAAGAAGTAAATATAAAATTGGAGGCTAAGTTCTTACACCTACAATTACCATGCAGCTCCTATAGCATTTCTATATCCTGGCTGCAGGAAGCCCTCTTTCATCAAAATACTAATATTAGTATAATAATACCGAAACTACATACCCTTTGTGTTTGAGTAAATCACAGCTTTACTCTCTGGATGGTACAAAATTGGCATGGCATCAGCATTACTTAGCTGGAGTGCATCTCCATTCTTTATGGTATAATGGCCAGTAGTCACTGTAAATTTTACCTTCTGAGGAATCCCAGCCAAAAGGCTGTCTGGAAAAAAAATGAAGTAGTGGTGAAGAGAAACAATTAATTCTGCTGTCTCAGAACAACCACAATGGCTACATATGGATGATTACATCTTGGTTTATACACCAAGATTGCTCCTGCTTTGCCCTTCCCTTTGTGCAAGCAAAGGAAACGTGTGCTAGCCATTATGTCCAAACTGAGAATCTGTGGTTGATAGCTAGCCAGAAAGCCAAAATATAAAACCATGGTTGAAACTTGGCTTCCAGATCTTGGCTTGGGTCCATGTGTCCTGTCTACATGCATAGATAGATAGTCAGATAGAGAAAATCTGCAGTGTTATAATAAAAGAAAAATAATAATGTCCTTGCAACAAGGCCTGGGAGCCACGTTCTCTCTCTAACATTCTACAGCTGCTTGGAGCAGCTAGTAACTAAACCACAGCATGCTCAGTTGTGCTGCTGGACCCATGCATATGTTGGTTTGTAAATTGTGGACCAACCCACAAATCGGTATGCTGAACCGTGTATGGCTCTGAGGGGCAGGGGGAAAGGGTAGCTTCACTCCCAGAGGAAACAGGAATCCTTCAGCATCCCTCCTTTTTTGCATATTAATCATCAAAATAATTATGTGAAATGCAAACTTCACTTCCTCTAAGTAGGGAAAACCCTACAGAGAATTTTCAAGTTGGTGGATTCAACTGTGGAATAAGTTCCGCAGCAAGAGCCTTCACAGCTAAGGCTTGTATTTCAGCATCTTCCTTGATTGAGAAGCTCTTCTAAGTAAATGAGAAGTTCAATAGTTTCCTGCATTGGAAACAGCCAAAACAAACTCCCCAAAACTGAGGAAAGCCAGGCAAGACAAGGCACGCGTTCCACAATTTTTCACAACCTAGAATGTACTCAGATATTGCAACAGATATTGTAGGAAGTTATTTGGCAAGAACAGTGGCTCCAGGAGCAAAATCAATTAAAAGTTTCCCTTGGCCTCATTTAAGTTGAACTATGTAATGTACATTTATTTCCAAAGCACCAGGTGCACGAATGTCTAATTACTCAAGATTTATGTAGCTGTTCTGCAAGGCTACGAGCAAACCATTTCCAATGGCAGCTAGCTGACAAACTTTATTAAAAAGCTATCTAGGACTGCCCTTCAATAAAACTATCAAGGCAGTGCAAAAACACATTACACTGAAATTAGATAGTGTATTTCAGAATGTTAAGCATTTGTATATTTGACTCTTTTTGCAAGTTAGATACTGAGAATTTAGTCCTCCAAATTAGTTCATAAGTTGCAGAACATATTTCAAACTGGAAAGTACCTAATTTAGACACGTAGCAAGAGAAATTAACATGCATAGTTTCCAGCAAATTTTACCTACCAGTACATGGCTCCACTTTTAGCTGTGGCTCCTGAGAGTAAACATCATACTGCACTATTGGGTAAATATGAGGAAGGGCAAACTGCATTTTGCCCACTGAAATGCATAACTGCCTGAGTGTGTATGTTCCAGGATCCTTGCCCTATGAGAAAAATAAAAAACAATATTCTTTAGGGATCTCAGTTTTACCAGGTGATCTGACAGAACATTTCAAATTTCTGTAAATCACCTGGAGACATATGTAGAAGCCAGAATAACAATAATAACAATAATAATAATAATAATAATTTGCATACAGGAAAAAATAACATTAACATCTTTTCAACACCAGGTAAAGACCTTACTTTTGCTATTATGCTCTGCTGGGCCTTAAACAGGTCTGCTTTGAGTTAGTTATGATACATGGATTTTCTTGGGCATATGTGTGTTGCTTTTCAAATTGTATTGAAATTCTCATTGATTACTATTATCTCTGTACTTAATTCTTTTATTTAGTTATTTTAAAAAATGTGGTTTTTTTATACTGTGAGTACCTTGAGTCCCCTGGAGACTATTTTCACTAGGAAATATTGAATAAATGGTAATTACTATATTCTTAATATAAACATATACTCATGCAAAACAGGCTACATTGCAATAATAAAAGTTTAGGGCTGCATAGTTGTATGAGCATGTGGCTGTTGGTATATCCAGATTTTATATGTATAGAACGGCAAGCATTTGAATAGCTTGAGGTGTGTTGTTATTAAGTTAATGTCTCCCCTATATAATTGACTGCACCACACGTGGACTCTTGCATAATAAACACACAGTCTTAAAATAGCAGGCTGAAAATCAAATTGGGGTATGCGTGAGAGAAAGAAACCATGTAACTTCAAGGTTATTCAACTGTAGTTTTATTTTTCTACTGGCACCCATTTATACAAAATGGGAGGGGGTTGATTATTTAATAACTTCAAAAATATTGAACTGTGGTTTATTTAAGGATGCTGGTAAGCAGTCTGCTTTGTGGCACAAATTCATATATGTATATTATTTTTTTTTACATCAAAGGTGACATAACTTCTAAAGCAACAATTGTTCTCAGCTATGCTGTTAAGTGATGTTTGCTTGTGGTATTTTCAGAACATCAGCCAACATTTGTGTTTACGGTTGCTGTAGAGCACTCTGTAGAAATACCACTTAAAACGTGTTCATGAACTTTGTGGTAATATATTAATACAGAACTCATTTATTTGCAATTCCTGTCTGCAGCCAGAAGGTGGCTAGCCTGTAATTGAATGGTACTGCTATTCAAATTACTGAAAGGTGTACCACTTGACCTACTACTGCCAAAGGCTATATACATTTTGTCCCTTGGCCAAAAACTTTGGCTTGCTAGCACTGGCCTCTGATACGCGCAGTACATTTAGTCAATCTCGCTTGCAGAGAAGTTCTGAAACAGAAGAAGGGAACAACAAAGACCTGCACTTTGCGCTCCACAATGCTTGAAGAAAGGTTTCTGATACATCATGGACATTGCTTGAGGATAGCGGAGCAGAGATTTCAGCTAATTGCATGCTTTCAAAATAAAGTTGCATGAACTCACAATAAAGCTAAAGAAGCACAATGCTTAAGCATTTCAAACCAGTCGAGTCTATTATGGGAGGCATCTACCCACTTTTAATCCAACTCCAGTTGCTTTGCCATTGTTGCCTACTCTGCTTTGAGCATGAATGGCAGTGGCTTCAGAGCAACCAAGTATACTCTACTACACTGGCTGGGGAAAGCTCATGTAGGCCATACATAGCCTAGTCCTATTTTAGACAAATTGGCTAATATATAGCAAGTGACTGACAAAAAGTGAGCAATCCACTACTCTTTCCTACTAAAAAAGCATGTACCTATGAAATTCAAGACACTGCAGTAATGAAACATTTGAACAGGCCACTGATGTTATTAATTTATTAAAATATTTGCATGCCACTATGTCATTTAAAAATATGTATCAAAGCGGTTTACAGCACTGAAACAAAACCGTGTAATAAAAACCACACAAAACAGTTAAAAAGAGACATCAATTAACCATTGTTTAAGGATGTATTCATAACCGCCTGCATAGTCCTGGTGGGACAGAACAATTTTCAGCAGGTCTTTCAAAGATGGCACAGAAGGTGCCTGCTGAATCTCTATCGGCAGAATATTCCACAGGACTGGGCTCATGACACTAAAGACTTGAATTCTTGTTGCAGTCTAATGAGCCTCACCAACTTGAAGAATGGCCAACATTCCTACAGGTGATCTCGGTGATGGAGCTGGGATATAAAGGTTCAGGTGATCCCTGGACCTAACTTGTTCTGGGCTTTGTAAATTATGATGACAACTTTGAACCAGGCTCAGGAGCAGATGAGCAGCCAGTGCAATGGTTTTAACAACCATGTAACATTTTCTCGACCAGAAGCTCCCATCAGAAATTGGGCTACTGCATTCTACACCAACTGGAACTTCTGAACCAGACCCAAGGCCAGTCATCACATGGTGCGCATTACAGTGTCCAGCCTTGAGGTCAGCAATGCATGGACTACAGTGGTCAGGCTATCTCTGTACAGTACAGTGGTACCTTGGGTTACATACGCTTCAGGTTACAGACTCTGCTAACACAGAAATATTACTTCAGGTTAAGAACTTTGCTTCAGGATGAGAACAGAAATTGCGCGGCGGCAGCAGGAGGCCCCATTAGCTAAAGTGGTGCTTCAGGTTAAGAACAGTTTCAGGTTAAGAATAGATCTCCAGAACGAATTAAGTTCTTAACCCGAGGCACCACTGTATTGACCGTAGCTGGCAAACCGGACAAAGCTGAAGTGCAGGGTTTTTTGTGCTATTAAAAGTGTTAAAGGTACAAACTATTGTATGATCAAGAGACCGCTTATCACTTTAAACATCTTGCAAATTAATTCTCAGCAAGCTTGACTAAAACCATTTTCTGCACACTGTTTTGACAATGAGCACGGTAGATTGAATGTTAATTCCAGCTAAGCAGCTCAAAGTTTTTAAACTTTAGAGAAGTGACAAGAACTGAAAATAATGTGTTAAAAGATATTTGGCTCAGAGTAATCCTGATTTTCTACAGATACATGTCACAGAACCAGCTAGACATCCTGGCACAGCTAGAAGCCTTTCTTCTAAATAAGTCAAGGCCAGCCAGGCGCGAGAGGGGCTAAAAGCAAGAAGTAGCAGAGTGGCAAATTTCAGGCAAGGGAGCAATACCAGGTTACCGCTTGCCTTCCGTAAGAACATACCTGGGTTCTGAAAGTTATGTTATTGACCCCTGGTTCCAGTATTAAGTTGCTACATTTTAAAACGTGGGCACCATCCTCCAGAGTTAGCCCCGTGGGTATTTCCAGAGAAGAGCTGCTCTCCTGCCTTCGCAACAGCATGTGCACATTTTTGCAGATGATGCCTGTTGTGTTCAAGGAATTATCCGAGGGGCTCCTTTCATACATCTCATACAACTCCAACATCGGCAAGCTACTTCTTGATAGAGAGAGACCTACAACCTCATTTGGAAAGCTGATAATACCATTGGAAGTCTTGTGTTTTGTGAGCCACTCAGCTGTCTTCCGGTAGCTATTTTTTTCAATGCTGAAATGGATATTAATAGCAATCTGATCCACTTTCACCGCGATGGGCATCTGATTTGCCAACGTCAGTTCAATAGAGAGTGTTCCACCCACATGGACCACCGCATTAGGAGGGTCAAAATGCAGATTCTTCAGCTGTGCAAAGGAATGCATGGACAGTATAACTTTCTGATCTGCAAACAAACATAAAAGAAAATACATGTGAAACTCTATTGACCATATGAGTGTAATAAAAGCAAAGATACCATTCAGCTAATACCTAGTAACTCTTAAGGAAGAGCATGAACTCTTGGTTTGTGAATCACAGCACAACTTTAGGGGCACAGATTCATAAGCCTCGATGTATCTCCAGACTCAGAGTGGAAACATTTCTGGAGGTTCTGCAATCATGGAATAATAGCATTGCAGACTTGGAAGGGAACCCCAAGAATCACCTAGTCCAACCCCCTGCAATGCAGGGATAATACAAGTCTTTGGGCTCATCAAAAGTACTCTTCGAATTCCAGCTGAAGTATAACACACTAAGTTATACTCGGAATAAATACACTGAAATTAATAGACCTAAGTTGGCCATGCCCATGAATTTCAATTGGTCTACTCTGACTATCACTAATGCTGGATACAGCCCATCACTTTTGCTTAATTGTGTCAAAAAGACCAAATTCCGCAACCTAAACACATTTGGACGATATATTCTGCATAATATGCTATCTATATGCTTTGCATAATTTATTCTAATTGGCCTAATCCTGGGGAGAGACAAATAACTATGTAGAGTACTATGTAAACCCCATCTCCGAACTACTAGAAATCTAATTCAGCCACCCTCTCAGCTTCATTTTTAACACACTTTCAAGTACATCTTCCCTACCATATGGGCTAGAAACTTGTGCAATAAAAATGAAAGCTGAGATTTTCAGGAAACTAAACTCTGCAACCTAATTCTGCAAATGTTACGAGCTCTGTATAATCACACAATACCTAAAGCCACAGCATCCTTTTAGTAAATTTCTGAAGCTATTAATTGAACAAAATAGTAGGCAGAAGAGGGCAGAAGCATGTAATAAAATGAAGGAACTAAAAAAAAAAATAAAAATGGAATCACCTATACAAAATTATTCCTTCAAAAAGGAGCAAGTTGAAATCTTACAAGATGATGAAACTAATCTTGCTTTAAAAGGCATTCAAAACCAAAGCCACTGGCTCAGGTGTGGTGAATCTTTCTCAGACTGAGGGCCACATTCCCTTCAGGGCAATACTCTGGGTAGTGCCCATGGTGGGTAAAGACAGAGGCAAAAGAGCACAGAACAACAAATATAATTTGTACAATAGGCTAGTTTTATACTTTCACACACCATGCTAGCCTCCGGCAAGGCAAGGCAAGGCAAGGGGCACCATCAGAGATCGAATACATATTCCAGCCAGGGAAAAACAAAACCTCAAGGAGGATCCAAGTTAGGTCTGGTGATCTGGGCAGAGTCCTGACAGCCAGATAAAGAGGCCTAAGGTTCCTCACTCTGCCCTAACTTCTTAAGAAAGATAGCCTAGCTGAAGTTTCACAATAAGTGTCTCTTGAAAGTCTTACCTTCACCTTCTGAGGGCTGTTTGGCAAAATTTAGTATTTCTTGGCAATAGTGTTTGCGCTCTTCTTCTGTTAAGTGATCATCAGCAGCTAAAAGACTGCTTGTTTGAAGATAGCTGGCACGAAGTTAAGGAAGTGTGGAGAAAGGAGTATACATACACACACAAATAATATGCCACCTTGATGCAACGACAAATACTTCATTCATGTTACACGGTTTTTTTTAAAAAAAAAATCACATAATCTCCGTACCTAATTCTACATTTAAAAACAAACCTGCTTAGTAATTATTTAATAGTAGTAATTATATCAACGATGAAATCACATCCCCTCTGCCAACTGGCACTCAGGAGTGTTTACTTAAAACTGGGAGGCTCATAAGGATTCCTCAAACTGTGAGGGAACTGTGACCAGTTTGGCTGCCCTTTCCTGAACTCTACAATATCCTTCTTGACTTGAGGTGAAGCAACCAGAATTATTCCTAACATGGAATTTGTATTTTTAGCCACTGGTACACACTGGGTCAACACTTTCACCAAGCTACCAACCACGATCCCAAGTTCTCTTCCCTGGAGAGTCACTGCCAGTTCTGATCCTATTAGCACATATTTGACATTAGCAGTGTAATTTAACATAGCGCTAAGTGGGTTATGTGCAAGCAGAACAAAGATTGCTCACGCAATAGGATTTCCTCCCCTCTAAACCTTATGGAAGTTCACCTAACTCTCCAGAGCAGATTTAGGGAGTGGAGGGAGAGAAGACTGGCTGCGTCAGTGGACCACTTCCAAGGTAGTTACTATCAAGTAGTATATAAGTATTAAGAAATAAATAATAAATAAAAGCGATGCCAGGACCTTTATGGCGGTTATGTGCAAAGCCCAGCAGCTCCAACAGCTAACCTCTGATGAAAAATTGAAACATTGATTATTGGTGCAATCCTTGGGTGACAGTGCTGTGCACCTTCTGCTGTACTACCCACCCTCCCCAACAAAGCACATAGGTACCTAAGACATACCCTTTGCTTTGAAGGATACTTCTCCACTTGTCCCAGGTGTTTCTGGCATTCTGCTAGCTGCTTCCGTGTATGCGTAATAAGCAATGCCCATCCCTCCGCAAGGTAGGTTTTCAATGCTCCTTGAAGGTAGACTTCAGCCTTTTGAGGACTCTTCTTCTTCCTTGGGAAAATGTCACAGACAGGGAGGGGGAAAGCAGTTTACAAATTTTTTTTAATGGAAACCTTTCATCCGCTACAAACATGAACTATAGATTAGGTAACTAATCATTGTACTCTTTTCGGCACCTGCTGAAAACATTCTTGCTTAGGCAAGCCTACCCAGATGCTTAGAAAGCCAAGGTGATTTTAATCAATTTTAGTATTTAAACTTTTATATGTTTTAAAGTATGGCTGTGAATTTTTCTCGATTTTATTTTATCTTTTTGCAAACAGCATTGATTTTTTTTTTTACAATCAAGAGGCATGTAAATTTTATGCTGTAATAATGATAAATATATAGTAATAAAATAACTAATACCCTATTCAATATGCTTAGCATTCATTGTACATGGAATGGATTGTTAGAATACCTTGAAAGCTTTTAAGCTCATAGAGTCCTTGATAATATTAAGCTGTGTGCATATCTTGATAGAATTACAGAGCATTTACCCTTTCCTTGTCTTAGATTCCATATCACTGTACACACACATAAAGGAATGGTGGTTAGGGATCTAATTATTAGGATAGCTAATACAATTTTGAGCACATATTTTTGCTGTTGCAGCATAGAGAAGCTAACTGGTTAACCTAGCCATTTTTTTTTGTTTCCAATTATTTTTTCAGAACATGTGCCTAAAACGTCTCTTAATTTCTAAGTGCATTATTTATTATTTATTTTATTAAATATATTTTCAGCCTGCTCTTTATCCGAAGATCTCAGAGTGATTTATATCTCCATTAAAACCACAGTCAATAAAGCAAGCAGATAAAAGTCCATAAAATCAACATCAAACCCCAGAGATGGTTCTCATTGTAGAGAATGACTAAAATCACTGAAAGGCTCAGGCAAACAGGAAATGTTTTCACTTGGCACAAAAATGTTAACAAGGTCAGTGCCAATCACACTTTGAGGGAGAAGGCATTCCACCATCCAGGAACCACCAATGATGAGGCCGAATCACCTATTACCACATAATGCATCTTTCCTAATAGTGAGACTCTGAGATGGGCCTCCCCTCCAGATCAACGAGCCTGGGCAAGCTGGTAACAGCAGAAGCAATCCTTCACATACTTGGATCCCAAGTCATTTATGACTTTAAATTCAGCCTGGAAAAATATAGCCAGACACTGAAGATCTTTCTGGGTTGGTTTTAATGCGATTCCCCATGGCTCCCCCAGACAATACTCTGGCAGCTGCATTCTGGCACTAATTGGAGTTTCTGGATCATTTGCACAGGCAGCCCCATGTAAACTGTGTTACAGTAGTTCAGATAGTAGGTTAGCTGACCATGAATAACTGCAGTTGAGTTACCTCTATGTGGAAACAGATGTAGCTGACAAAATAGATGGAGTGGGAAAGGGTACTTCAAAACGCAGAATCCATCTCTGTTTCTGTGACAGTGTTGAATCAAAGAACACTTCCAAGTATATACCTGCTACTTCAAAGGGAATGAAACCCTATGCAAATCAGGGAACCTATCTAGTTCCCAGGCCAAATATCTGCCTGCCCACACAGCTTCTGTCTTCTAGATGCAGTCTTACTATAGTGGCCCTCATCCAGCCTGCTGCTGCTGTTTATTGCCCACCCTTCCCCTTACAGCCTCCAGACACCAGCCCAATACCTTCCAGTCTCACCTTATTCCAGCAAGAAGTACTGCTGGATTTGTCAACAGCCTACACTGCTGACACCTTGGTTCCCTGATGTCCTCACCCAGCAGCTTCATATAGATACTGAAGAGCATGAGAGCAAAATAGAACCCTACAGGACCCCACAGCAGGCATGCCAAGTGGGACCTGTACATAGGAGTGGAATAACTGTAACAACGTATCAGACATAATCCAGGAGGACACCAGGGTTAACAGTATGAAAAGCTGAGATCTCAAGGAGAATCAACAAGGATGCACTGCCACAGTCCCTCTCCCTTTCAGATTAAAAGGCAACCATTTAAAGTTTTCCTTACATATAAAATTCTGCCAGATCCTTTCCAACAAGCTTTGCTGAGCGAGATCTTCCAATGTTTTTGTACATTTCAATAGTGGCATGGGAAAGATCCTACATAAGATAAAAGAAAAGAAAAGACATGGGGCTTTAGGACAAGTTATCTTACAACAGTTCTTTGTTCCAAAACTTTATGTTTAATATATTCAGAAGCATATATCCTATGGACTGAGCACAAAGATCTTTTCCAAAGTTCCTTTGGGTTTTTTGTTTTTGTTTTTGCACTGTTGTAAGTTGTTGATTACTTATTGAAAGTTTAGAGGAAATCTGGCAAATATTTTTAAAAGCTAATTACACATACAAGAATTCCACATACAAGTATTTAGATACTGACTTTATAGTCACTCAGCATCAAAATATGCAGGGTAAGAGACTATGTAAAAAGTTATATAAACAAACATTTAACCAGCCTCCAGATATTCAAATATGTTATGCTCGTTATCTTCATCAGCTACGTATTTTTGAAAGTCTATCCGTTTGTTCTCTATAGGTTTGGAAACCTATTGAGATATCACCATTAAACTCGCCATGAGGATTCCCAAGGTGGGATAGTGGTTTTTGTCAACCTTTGGGTGCTGGCTGCCATTTTGAATCAAGACTTCGAAGATCCCTCCCAACACTGTTTATGATTCTATACTATTTCTTAAACTAGTATACCCCTAGGAATAGTATTCTACTGCAAATATTGACTGAAGACTACACCCAATATATTATACACTCAATAATATTTTGTTCTCTTATTTAGAATCTACATGCAGAATATATATGGCATACTTACTAAGTAGTGATTTTCAAAAGCTTCTACGGATGATAAGGCCTCTTTCAGTTTCTTATAAGGAGATTGTGCTGTATTGGCTTCAAAAATAAAATAGGGCAGATGTAAGACTTCCGTTCTCAAAAGGCAACTAAAATGAATACAGGAAGACACCACATTGCACTTTATCCTGTGCTATATTTAAAAGAACCAAGATATTAACATTAGGCGAGTCTGGGGTTTTCTATCTATGATTCAAACTCAAATGTGGGCTTTGATTTGCTCTTATTTCAGCACATCTAGCTGATATATCAAATATTCTGTCAGTGCAAAAAAATTAGTTCAGTTGGTTAGAGCATGGTGCTGAGAACACCAAGATTGCAGGTTCAATTCCTATATGGGATAGCTGTCTATTTCTGCATTGCAGGGGGTTGGACTAGATGATCCTCAGGATCCCTTCCAACTCTACAATTGTATTATTATTTATGTTAACAGGAACACAGTTCTACTCTTTAATTTCAAAGGAAATGGTGATATTTTAAATTTTCACTGCACAGCAAGACTAAAAGTGTCATTTAAAAAACAAACAGCGGCTACACACAGTTATCTGAAGGGATCTATTAGCACATCAAACACATAACGAGAAACTCAAATTACCAGCATCGTTATGTTATTTGACTAGAGTTACAAACTTCCTGTCCACCACTCCAATAAGTATAGCATAAAAGAATTTCTGTGGTATTCAAAAATGGTCCAGATACATGCATTGTGGAGAAGATTAATCCCTTTTCAGTATGAAAATTTCAGTAGCCAACTGTCGCTGAACATGGATAACTTTGGCAAATACTGAAGCAAACAATAGTTGTCCATCAAAAGCATGACTGACATCAAGCGAACTTATTGGGCCTTCACATAGTTTCATAAAACATTTTCTGTAAATACCTGTTTCAGGGCGTTCAGCTCCAAGTCCCGCTAGAAGATCAACTGTTCGATTAAGATCTTCTGAGTTGGGTCCATTTTCTGACACAAGTCCACATAGGTAACCCAGGGACTTCAACTGCAGAAATAAAAAGTTCTGTCACTGTACTTCATGACAAGAGAAATATGAAAACACTGGCTACATTTTTAACTCCCAAGTCACACGGAGAGTCTTGCAACACCTCACAAATTTATTTTGACAATCATAACGCCTCAATAACTGCTAAGTTTCTGTCTTTCCAGCGAATAACATCTATATTTCCGGAAAATAAATGTGAGCAACTGATAAGAGTAGGATACCAGATGAAAGAAACCGTCTTAAACCTGACAGATTCATTTCAAATAATGTTATAAGTCACATGTATGCATCGCCACCCCAACACATCCAAAATCTTACAGGGCACCTGCAAGAGAACTACCATACTGAGTTAGTCTGTTAGCTCTGCATTCTTTCCGAAACAGTAACCAACCAAATGCTTCACATTATTTGTATAATCTGCATAATCATGTAAAATCCCATTCCCCTGTTTGCAACCGCTCATATCCCAACATGGAGTTTATCACATGAAGGATCCAACTGCATCGTGTACATATAGGTCCTACACACATTGGACTGCAGACATGTACACCCCTATGCAAATACAATTGTCCAGTGTACGATGTGGAGAATAGACTGCCATGCTGAGCAGGTGGGCTAATCCCCTCACCCAATGTACACATGAAAAACTACATTTGTATGCACATGCCAGGGTCTTGCGGGGAGAGAGATTTTCAGCTAGACTGATGCAAGAAGTACAAAAGTTCATTATCTGGGAATGTAGCTAGCCAAATATATCCGGGTACAGTGTTTGGTTAAGAAGAAAAATGAGTGCACTGCCCTTACAAATATTTGTCTGATCCGTTAGAAGCAAAACTTCAGTATCATATTGGCCTATCTCCCATTAAACAAAAGTTGTACTGATTGTAACTATGAAACTTTTCCACTGACAGTTCGGCAACATGCATCACTCCCTTTGTTTACCTTTTCAGTGGCGTAACTCCATAAGCCGACTGTGTGGGAGACATTGGCATCAATCTGAGACCGATCACAGCAACCTTCTATTCTCTGCAAAACCTCCAAGCAGCTCAAGAAGACCCAACAGTCCAAAGCGCCAGGAGGAACAGAGACCTAAAGATAAGAACAACAAAGCCACCATTCAGACCCAACATTTATTCTTATAACATTTATTCTTTTTTTTTTGGGGGGGGGGTTGCATGCAACACAAAGCCAGGTCTTGAGGACAATCTATCATCTCCTGCCATACACCACAAACTTCCACACAAACTAGCTAATCGCTTTCCAAAGGAGGCTCAAGTTCTTGCCACCCTAAAAGACCCTTAAGCTCAGAGTTGGGAAGACTTCAGGTTTGCGGGATTTACTTTGGGTTTGTCTTTTTATTAGAACCCCAAAACCCAACAAAAAGAAGTCAGGTGCAAATAGTGTCAGGAGGCAATGTAAAACTATGAGCAGACACTCGGCTGGAATCAGGAATTTATTTTTAGTAACAGAATTGAGCTCACAGTCCTTTCACACACAAAAACTACTCCTGGTTCCCACCTCCACCAACATTTCTCATCGTAATAGACTTTAAATTTAAATAATAATAATAATAAATATATTTTGGTTGTAGCTATCGTTAAACGACCAGGAGTGTGAATCCTTGCTGACATACTTCAAATCACCCAGAAATCTACCCGCAGACCCCAATCTGTCTTTTGCCCACCCCTGTTTTTGGTCACTCTATAATCCAGAGCAAAACAAGGAGCTAGGGAGGGAATTTAAGCATTAAATCACTTGACGGATTAATTTACATAAACTTACTTCAAGGAGCTTTAGCTCTTGCACACAGTTGTGGAGAAGTTCTAGCGCTCGCTGAGATACCTCCCACGGTCTCTGGAGAAAGATCAGCAATGTGCACTGGCGAGAAAAGAGGTAACTGCGCAGGTCTAACAGAGTGGCTTCCTGGTTCTGAATCAGTTCTCTTTTCTCCATGTCTATTGGCTTACGAAGAACCAGCCCATTCCAGCTTCGCACCGGTTGGCAGAAAAAAGTCAGCCAGTTTGCGCCATCTATGCAAAACACAGTGAGAGGTAACGACACCTGCCACATTGAAGCAATGTGAATTAAGCTACACACATCCGTATTAAAGTTTTCTGTTGAATACACTTTTTATTACGGGGAAATAAAAAGTTTACACAATCAAGTGGATTATTTGTAACCCTTGGATTGCTCGAATTTAATTTTGCAAAGCAAAAGTCATCAGATCTCTTCATGGAAATGCTCAATTACACTTCTGATTTAACTACTTACCACCAGCTCCAAAGTTGACAACATACTGGGAGAACAGGGCATCCAGCTCATCATATTGCACAAGGGCATCCTCAAATTGCTGCAGCATTTCAAAGACAAAGGCCAATTCTTCCTTTTAATATATAAAGAAAAATATATGTTAATAGTTAGGGTGCAACAAAATGGAAGCAACAAAACTGTAGCAACAAAAAATGTACAGTACTTGGTATCTCCCCCGTCCCCCACCCTGGCAAAAATAACCGAAGACTACTCTTAGGAAACCAAGGGCCAATTTTTAAGGAAAGTCTTCACTCTTGAAAATGTGTTAATCTTGATGGTACAAAGTGGGTACTGGTTTGCATCTTCAGATCCCTTTCCTATAAGCTCTGTGAAAGGTAGCTAAATTGACTCATGCAAGAAAAATGAAGCACTGAAACAAAAACTTTTGCTCATGATTTTAGCTCTACACAGTTTAAAGGAAACAGTTTAATGCAAACACATTGTTTTATGCAAGCAGTACAAGACCAGTTTTAAAAAGGTTTATTTTTCCATAGACTGCTTTACCATACCTGGACCATAAAATATTCACAAAAACTCCATCCTGGCTCCGTCCTCTTCTCCCTCAAAGTTCTCATGTCATCCTCAAATTTGCCAAGGTTTTTGGTAAAAGACATGAGAAGCAGGGTCCTGAGTTTTGTCAAGAAGGCATTCCAGGACTCCTGAGAGCGGGAAGAGTCTTTCAAGGGGTCAGATAGCACTACACATCTGTAAGGAGGAAAGAATCATAAAATCGTATAATCATATGAGTTGGAGGGGACCCCGAGGATCATCTAGTCCAACTCCCTGCAATACAGGAATATGCAGCTGACCCTTATGGGGGATCGAACCTGCGACCTTGGTGTTATCAGCTGCATGTTCTAACCAAATGAGCTAGATTAATTAATATTTTGGTCAAGAATGGACAAATCAAATGAGATACTAGACTTGCTAGGAGGTTACTTTCTTTTTAGCAAGAATAACAGGAAAAGGGTTTTATCACTTCACACCACCAGAGTCTTAAGGTGCTTTAAAATAATACAAAAAAATCAAAAAAACAAAACAAATGGAAAAGATTAAAAAGTACTCCTCCTAAAACAAAGTGGAGGGGCCGACAAGCGACAACCCTTCTGTAGGGAAGAACCACCCAGTTTCAAGGTTTCAGTATTGAAGGTTTTCACAAGCAAAAACCCAAGACAGATCACTTGTACTGAGGTGTTATAAAGTAAGGAAGTAAAAAAAAAAAAAGGACACAGAGTGCTTAGAAGAGGTTTGGTCAAAAGGAACTCTTCAGAGGTACCTAAATAATATCCGCATGCGGCATGGTATGTGTGTGTGTGTGTACACACAACCTCTGTCCTCCTTCCAAAAATATCCCAATATTAGTAAAATAGGCCAGCCTGTTATCCAATAAGCCAATAAGAGAGCAGGCAGCAAAGGGATAGCCAAAAACAGTGCTGCCTAAGGACACAACTTTAGCAATGGAGAGTGCAAATACGAGCTGCTTTGGTGCATCATTATTTCCTATCTAACTGCAGAAGTGTGAGGAGAAAGACAAGGCTGAGAAAATGGCGAGACCCAAGCAAACCTGGCCTCTATTTGCAGCTCAAAAGGGGCCCTGTTAATATTAGCAATCCTACCCTGACCTGCATAGGAGCATTAGGACAAAAATAAATTTAAACAGCACTGTATTGATATGCTCCATGGTGCAAGGATGCTCACTTGAACAACAGGACTTACCCTCCCACCTTCCCATGCACCATCCCTAAATCTGCTCTGGAGGGTTGGGAATGCGCCAGAACAGGAATCATTGCATTGGCCGAATGTTCTCCTTAGCACTATATTGGATTCCACCCCCCGCTTCCCACTAAAAGGCAGAAGCCTCTTGAGTGGACATTTCTTGCTGGCCCTGCTTTCTTCCAGAGGAGGAATCACAGAATTCATTTCCAACCCCCTGCAATGCAGGAATCTCTTGCCCCATGTGGGGCTCAAACCCATGACCCTGAGATTCTTTAAGAGTCTCGTGCTCTGCCAACTGAGCTAGACTTAAATCTTTGCCACTTTGCTCTGTTCCTGACTGAACAAGAATGCGTATTTTCATTTGGAAAGTTTTGTGAAAGTGGTAAACTGGAAGAAAGCCAACAGACTATTTTTTGTTTCAAAATATTCTGAAATATTTTGTTTCACCAGCCTATTTTGCAACACTCACCGGTTACAAAACCATGTGGTTTCTTCCTATCAAGTGATTTCTAAGAATGGACTCCATGGAACTTCAACTTTGTGACCAATGACTTACAGCCTAAGAAACTATGTGATTTGTCAGAGAGTAACAACAAGAGCTATTTCCACTGCAAGTTAAGTGTATGTTTTAAAGGTAAGGTAAAGGGACCCCTGACCATTAGTTCCAGTCATGGCCAACTCTGGGGTTGCAGCACTCATCTCGCTCTATAGGCCAAGGGAGCCGGTGTACAGCTTCCGGGTCATGTGGCCAGCATGACTGTATGTTTTATCCAAGTGCTAATTGGTCTGAGTTTTAAAGACAGGGTAGAGTACAAATGTGCATATATAAATATAAAAGTGAGCTGCCTCTGCCTTATTTCCACCAATTCCCCACTTCCTCTTGTCCTACATGTCAGGCCTTTCCTGAGTGCCCCCTCAGGGAGCACTGAGGCTGCAGTAGAATAATAGAAGCCATTTTGGCATATAAGCAACATAGGAGTGAATGGATGAATGAATGAATGAAGGAAGGAAGGAACAAACGAACAAACAAACGAATAACAGTGCAGGGAACTTTTTTGAGCGTTCTTGTGCAACTGCAGCACTGAATAATGCCTAGTATGGAATCCTCTCAACTAATGTGGTATGTCCAGGTTTCTAATAAGCCCTTGTATACATATTCACACACTATATCGTTCTACAGCATGTGTTCCAAAAGTTACAAAATAAGTACAAACTAAAGGACTACTTCACATGTATTAGAATCATTCTTAAAATAAGCAAGCAAATTTTAAATCAGATATGTGGAACCTGTGGAGAGCCCAACATTGCTTGATTACAACTTCAATCATCCCCAGCTACTGACTGAGGCTGACAGGAGTTGGAGCCCATGAATACCTGAAGAAGTATCGGATCGCTTGTAGAACAAGGTTATCTTTTACCCTCTCATAACTTACTAGGAAAAATTACAAGGATAAATACTAGATGATATCATTTAGAAGAGACTCAGAGTAATAACAAATATTCTTTCTAAGAGCTGCCACAAAGACACAAAATTTAAGCCATGTTTGACAGTATAACAATCTTAGTTATCTAGGATCCAAATTGTTTTTGTAAGCATGCTGACAAGCACTAGAATTCTATGATGTTGGCAACATGCAAACATAATATCTGAAGCAGTCCCCCAGCATCTCTAATGGCAGGAACAGATTGAGCTCTGAAGCTTCTCTTTCCCACTACTTTTGGATATAACAAGGGTCAACCTTACATTGCTAAGTTATGTTGTGGATTCCAACTCTCACCAGCCCCAAATAGTACACCCAATGGTCAGAATGATGGGAGTGCAGTCCTGCAACATGAAGAGTGCCTAAGATGCCCCACCCTTTTCTCAGATGAAAGACCATCAAAAGTTGTCCAGCTACAAATACAATAAATTAAAATTATTAAGCTCCAGAATTACTAACCTGTCACTCTGCTTGTTACAGAAGTCATTTCTTATTTTATCTACTATAGATGTTCGGGGAAGGATGTTCGTTTTGTTTTTTTTCTTGGCATCACACTCTACCACTACAATTAACCAATCCATAGAGCTGTGAACTTTCAGAACATTCTGCCACTTGGTGATGTCATCTTTTACTGTAGCTTTGTACACTTCTGTGTCCTAAGGATATAAGAGATTAAACACAACATCAGGTTTACTGAAACATACTTGAAATGCTTTTTCCTGGAATGCCAGGGGGTGGGGAGTTCTAAAACTATCAAACTGAATGGGGGCGGGGGGGACTGTAGTATTTTCACTTGACAGATCGCTCTGTAAAAGATTCTTCAACAGTTTATTTTAAATACACACTGTTAACACTAGTTTTGCTAACTAGATGAGGCATTATTCTAGTTGGCACAGAGTTCCCCTTGCCCCTGAGTTTAATAAGTTCACCCACAAACTATAAGAGAATGCAAAGCTAACTACAAATTACCTAGCTGTTAGTTCATGTTTTAAAACACACACCCGTACTTACACAGCATTCTGTCCAATATACATGGAGAAAGGGAAATGTCAGAAGAGCTTTGTTCCCTTCTTTAGGTAGTAGCTCTTCTTTAAATTGTACAAAATTAGATTCCAGATGAATCATCTTAGGAGCACGCCCATAAGATCTGAATAGTATATAGAACATGGATATTACTACACACAGAGCAAAGCTGAGAAAAAGAAAGCATGTAGGGCAAATATATTGGCTATGGTAAGATGGCAATACTCAGTTCAGAAATACAGATGCAGTAGTACAATGTATTTAAAAATTGTGTAAACTTATCTTCTCTTACAAAAAGCAAATCTGAATTTACAGAAGTTTTTAATGGAAGACATTCCATTTTTTGTTTACCATGATTCTTATGAACAGTTAGAATAGGTAAATCCCTCATTTTCAAGTGATTTCTATTTACATTCTTTATTATCTTAACACATATTCTATTCTGAAACAGGAATTATGTTTGCAGCATCCACCCAAAACTTTTAGCCAGAATAGTTATACTTTTAAGACAATGAGACAGAACAAAGTAAAAGGTGTAACAATTAATTGCGAGCTACGTCACAGCTCTGAAAACTTGCAATGTCTATTCCTTCTAAGTTTCTAAACTCATTTCAAGTCTTGTCAAGAGACTGCCAGAGTGCATCACTGCACTGATTCCTTGCCCAATGCATATAATGAAGAAAAGTGGAACTACCTTCTCCATTCCATGGGCTCTCTTGGGAGTTGCTGAGAAAGTGTTGGATACAGAGAACTGAAGAGATTCTGATCACCAGCACCTGAGAAACAAAAATATAAAATTCTGATTATTGTGACTATTATCCATTTAAGTTCTAATTATTAGACATTTTTTACAATATGCCTTAGCTATTGGCAGGTGTTGAACAAGAATCTAAAGGCAACATATATACATTAGGGGTTGTATTCAACATAGTTCTAAGGTGAACGTCCCATCAATGTAAGGATTTCTCCTTGCGTAATAGAACATTATCCCCTTCTCCTCCCACTGTGCCCCCTAAAATCTGTTCTGGGGATCTCCCAACACCTCAGAGCAGATTTGGGGATGCCATTGAGGGCACGGGGAATCCCACTGTGCCAATGCTGATTCCTGCAACACCGCAACTAAGTTCACATAGAAGAAACATCTCAATATTGGATAGGTCACTTCCTAGCTCAGAGAATGGTTCTTACTAGTCAGTTACCTATATCTACAATCTATAATGTCTTTGTCCACCTGTTCCAAACACTCCATTCTATCTCTCTCTTCCACCAGGTTGCCTCCTCTCAGCACACCACAAAACTGAGTTTTTGTGGAGATGTTCAGGGGCTCTTTTACCCCTTAGGACTTTTTCCCTGCATAATTTTTGTACTTGTGTGTAACTCTGAATTATTCCAAGCCTGTACTTCTCTCTTGCACGTAGATGGTGTGATTTTGTCTACAAAAGCCTGAACACAGGAAGATTCAGTATTAATATATGAAGTAAAATCATAATCAGTTGATAACTGATATTTAATTGGCTGCACTAAAGGTTTTCTAAATCCTACCATGCCTATCATTTCAGAACATGCTAGATTTTGGCACAGGAAAAAATTACTGCAGCTTTGAGCTCTAATGGCACAATTTTAATGTTTTTATTATTTAAAAAATATGGGAAAAGTAATGGTAGAAAATGACCAGCTCTGTAATTTTTCAGTAGAAACTGTCCTTCCAACTACATTTTGCAGAGTACTTAAAACTGTAATAGCTTTTAAAACTTTGATTTGGAGGAAATGGATACTGAATAGGAAAACTGTTTCTCATACCACATCATTTATGCTCTCCTTTTCCATCAGACTATGAGTCCAATGAAAATAAAATGCATGTGCAATAATCATCTCACTATTTCTTCAAATAAGTTTCTGTCAGGAGAAACAACGTTTAGTTTACTGTCATCTTTGCAATTATCAAGTAAGAGCCATTGCCAACATGTTAGAAATTCTCCAAATCAGTGTACTTCAGACTCTCTGCCAATAAAAGATTCACGTTATGCCAGAATAATATTCTGCTCTGGCAATCCCTTGGATTTTTAAAAGCCCAGTCCCTTGGATTTTAAAGAGACTAGTCATTGTCCTTCTGCAAATAGTCGAGAATGCTGGGGCGGCCCTGCCACCAGGCCTTTTAAATCAGCTCCTGCACAGGGTGTTTTAAATCTCTTTTAGCTCTTAATTGTTTTACTCTCTGCTACCTGGGTTTTCAGCTACATCATATTTTATTGTTTTCGTTATTAATTTTTAATTTGGCTTATTCCCCGAAGTAAACTGCCCCAAGAATTCTGTTATAAGTACGCCTATAAATAGCGAACAATAATGAAGTCAGCTATTACAATAGTGCTCCAATACTGTAGTCTTTTCACAGGTAGGGGAGAGAAGGAGTAAAATACAGGGTTATGATGAGAAAACAAGGAAGAAAGCACAGAGTGGCTGTGTATCAGTTAAAGGGCAGATAGGATTACAAAGTTATTTTGCAAGGCTGGCAGATTAGGCTTTGGGAGCAGAGGTTCATTAATGCTAAGTAAGGATTAACATAAAAGTTGTGGTCTTCCTGTGATAGTGGGAATGTGCACAAAGAGATATCTGAGTGATCAGTGGGGATGTTCTAAACAAGGAAACCACAAAGCTGGAAAAGCAGGCAGTGGCACTTAGCATTTTGTCAGAAAAGAAGTGTAGCAATGTCACCTAAGGCTGGGTTTGCAAACATCCTCTGTGTGAAACAAACCTCCAAAATTATGCATATAGAATAAGCTACATAATTTATTCTATTGGCAGAGGCCAAGAAGGAGCTATGGGCTGGAAGGTTACAACTACACAACCTGGAGAACTAACTGCACAAACAGTTTTACACTAAATCCAAATGCCGTAGCAAGATGGAAAGCTTAAGAAAGACTAAACATCAGGTTCTGCATGTTTGACAACTGCTCCTACATTTTCTACTAAAAGTCCCATGACAAAAACACAAGTCAAAGATTGACACTTTGACACCACCTTTTGTTTACTTTCGTTTTTCCCCCAGCTAAAATCATCCCCAAGTCATCTTGTAATAAATTAATGCATCTCAAATTTTCAAAAATGCACAATTTCCATTTTGGACTTTCTCACCAGCTAGGTATTTGCAGATAATGGACAAATCTGTCAACTAAGGTTTTAAAATTATGTCCCGGCAATTTCTATGGGAGTCTTTAAAACCATCTCGTTTAAAAAACATTACTATAAAGCATTAGACATATTCCCCAAGTGCAGGGGGACTTTTCCATAGAATAATAAACTGCTGCATGTTCCCAATATGGGTTTGGAGGTCACCATATGACACTTGAGGTCTTATGCAATCAAAGCTAGTTCCCTTTTGCTGTGAAGCAGCAAAGTGCTGGTATACAACCTATCAGTGTAACACACGTATGTGAGTGGTTCCTTACTGGAACACATTACCTCAGGCTTCTCAACATTTCCCTTAGACCCAGTTGCTATGGCCATCACCACTTACTGACAGGAGAGGATGTGAGATGCCCGATTAGTTTCTTACTCTTGCTTTGAGATGGTATCACTCCAGCAACCCTTCCCCTCCTAAACCCACGGCAAACTTTGGCAAATGCCACTTCTCTAGCTGGGCCCACCATCATTATTCCTACCACCATCAATATAGCTCAGTTCAGTAGTAGAGGGTACCGGAAGGAGTGCATGGTATAAATAAATTCACTAGCATTCCCATCTGAATTACACTCATTGAAAGCAGTGTTCGAAATCAGTCCGATACCAGGGGCATTTTGCACCTGGCTTTCAACCACTTTAAACCAAGTGAAGATGCCTGGGCATCAGGAGGTGCATGCCTGGGGACTCTTTTCATACATTAATAACCCATCCTGTAGAATTCTATCAGTTATATTTTATCTGTACAATCAGAATGAATTTCTAAAACTCTTTTTCTGAGCAGCCTGAGCAGCAGTAGTCAGCATTAAGAAAAAAGGCAGGAATAGGCCAATATATATGTGGACTGTTCCTGGATCAAGTGACTTTTCTCCTTTAGGTTCTCAAAATTCTTAACCTAGCCCAAGGTTGCCATCTGAACTGACCCAATGTTAAACTGATAATCAATCACAGTCAGTAAATCATTTGAAGAATACGACTTTATAGAGATGCCTTGCCAAGAAATGGCAACTAGACATTCTGTTTTGGCAACTGTAACCGTGGATTAACCATTTTGGCGCCTAGCTTATATATCCGAGTTTCTAACACTGGTATGCACAACAGGAGCAAAGAACCCTGTGGTGTAGCTGCCTGGCTATTGCAGGGCTGATATGGAGAGAGCAATACAAATCTAGGAATCAACACTCAGCTGCTGCTGCTGCTTCCCCACCTTAATTCCTTCTCCCTCCTTATTTTCAGACATCATGATATATTGCTATAGCTATATTGCTATATATGGGACGCGGGTGGCGCTGTGGGTAAAACCTCAGTGCCTAGGACTTGCTGATCGTATGGTCGGCGGTTCGAATCCCCGCGGCGGGGTGAGCTCCCGTCGTTCGGTCCCAGCTCCTGCCCACCTAGCAGTTCGAAAGCACTCTTAAGTGCAAGTAGATAAATAGGGACCGCTTTATAGCGGGAAGGTAAACGGCGTTTCCATGTGCTGCGCTGGTGCTGGCTCGCCAGCTGCAGCTTCGTCATGCTGGCCACGTGACCCGGAAGTGTCTTCGGACAGCGCTGGCTCCCGGCCTCTTAAGTGAGATGAGCGCACAACCTTAGAGTCGGACACGACTGGCCCGTACGGGCAGGGGTACCTTTACCTTTACCTTTATATTGCTATATAGCTGGTGATATATCATGATGTTGAAATCCTGATATTGCCAAGCCCTGGTGAGAATCAAAATGCTGGCAAGATGGTCTGATCCAGCAGGACTCTTAAAGCTGTTATGATACATCAAGTGTACTTTGCTCACGGTGCATACATTGGGAATTGGCTATAAATGTCAAGAAAACAGACATTTGCCCTACATTTTGATATGAGGACAAGACAATAACGAAACACACAAAGTACTGTTCTGCAAACAGAAAAGTTTATTGCAGAAGGGAATGCAATCCAGAACGGATGCTCCCCATGGAGGAAAGGGAGGCAATTTTCTCCAATTCCCCCTATCAATCCCCCACATTATCTGACATACAGGGGATCCCCAAATCTCCAGAGCAGATTTTCAGGAGGCAAGGAAAAGGAGGAATCAGCAAAAAAATCAGCTCCCTGCCTGCTTCCTCTAGCAGTAGGTTCCTGTAAGCAAATTACATTCACAGGAACTCTGGATGCGGGCCACTATGTGTTAGTCACCGGAGGAGGAGAGGAAGAGAAATCAGCAGTCAAATATATTTACATTTGCAATAGAACAGAAACAAGTAATAATATATAGCAGAGTAGACAACTCCAGATGTTGCTGAACTCCACCTATCAGCCAATGGTCAGCGATAATGGAAGCTGGAGTCCAACAGCACCTGGAGGGCACCACACTGTGCTAGCCGTCTTGTTATAGTTCAGCCAGCAAGCCCAGGAAGCTCTCACCCTAGCAGGGAGCGCTGCAATTGCTGCCGCCACCAGCAAGCCACACATGCACTTCTTTGTTGTGTCTCAGGCTCAGGTGTGCCTGGGTTTGCAAGCCTTCAACACAGCAGGTTTGAAACAGGTACATAGATTAGAAGTTTTGTGGTGATGTGGTAGCTAGGTCATATGTTATTTGAAATTTGGTCATAATCAGGCTTGAGGATCAAGTCCCTAGCCTGTACAACCATGGCACTGAGGCATTCATTAGCTTTGTTGCCCCAGAACTCTCCAAAACATAAACATCATAATCCTTCTGAACACACCAGGCTTTAGTGACCAGATTAAATTAGTATTTGATAGCTCTATACTGATATTTTTAATATGTACTATTTTTGTATTTGGTTCTAATGGGAACTTATTTTATTCTGCTGCTTTTTGTGTTATATGACTGATTTTACCAATGCTTTTTATGAAAACTGTGTTGCTGTTTCATCTTAATGCTCTGTTAAGAAAAATGTCAGTCTGCAGACTAGCTTTAGGTTTCTTGCACTAGTTTTATGGTAAGTTTGTGCTACTAGTGTTTTCAATGATAAGATAAGATTTTCTTAAAGTGACTGTATTATGTTTCAGGGCTGCAAGGTGCTTTAGATGCTCTTTGGCAGAGATGTGATTCATGAATGGATACATAAAACAGTACTGTCTGACCAAAATGCCTGAAACAGAACTGGCTAGAAGTCTAAAAAAGATTTAACATTACTTTTAGGTATTTTCTCTTTATTTGAAAGCATTAAAGGAGGACATACATCATCATTTTCATTCTTGCACATTTGTAAAACTGATCACTGAGCAAGTGATTGTGAAGGCAATGTTGAAACACTGCATGCAAAATATCTATATACATAGAATAATAAAAACGGCACAAACACTAGTTTACAGAAGAACAGACAGGAGCACTCCAAATGCAAAAATAAAAAATAAAAGGACTCAGTATCTATTACATTCCAAGAAATAGCTATTTTCTGTTGATTTCAACTATTGACATTATTGGTAGCAACAGATAAAAATAGAATTTTTAGCATTCCCCTGAAGAATTTCACAGCTCAACCTAAGAAGTATTTCACCTTTTCTGAACAGTCTGCAGAAGTGCAGTACACAGAGGAGAAGCATTCCTCCAGAGTCTCTTCTTATCACCCCTGTATACTTGAGTGTTCTATATTTGGCACTTTATATGTGCAATGTGAAAATCTCAAATGGGAATTTTGGTTTATAGAGGCCGTTTCAATTTCAATGTTAAGTCTATGGTTCCTGGACCAACCTTCTCTCATATAGTAGCTTAACAGCTAATTGTTGTCGCACATCAGATTAATAAGATTAATAAGAGAAATGTATATTCTCAGTTTCTAGGGACAAGATGTATAACTGGAGACAATGGAGAAAAATCTTACACCGAACACGTGGGATACTCACAGGTATTCTTGCACCAAATACATTTCTCATAAGAAGAGCCCTGAAAAGGTGGCACACAGCAAGCCTGCAACTTATGCACATATAACTTGTGTGCATTCAGCTCTATGTGCTTGGAATAATTAAAAGAATTAAAAGGGGGTTGGATGAGAGTGGGTATCTGGGGGGAAAGACTTTGGCAATTATACCTGCCACTGCATCCAATGTGTTTGGACTATACACAGTTTTGGCTTTAGGCATGAATCCCAGAATATAACCCCTGTGTAAGTTGAGGCTTACTGCACTGACAATGTAAAATACCGTAAATAGACTACCAGTAGTGTCATCTGTTATGCAGAGGCAAGCCAGGATATGTGCCTAGCAGCCACTCTCCTACCTCCTCCTGCTTATTGTAACTGGTCCTTTCAGAACAAATGATCTTATAATAAGTGTGATGAAGAAGCAGCACCCCTACATAATAAAAGTGCTGGATGTTCTTCCTCCAGTGTTCTGCACTGCTGGCATGTTCTGCAAGCAGTGCTCTGCTTCTGTTCATGGTATACTATCATTGCACGTGGCTTCTGCCTTTAAATATAAAATTTACCTATTTAGTATCAACTTTACTCCACTGGTGTAGTGAAAGCTGAGGATTGAAATTTTCAATTTAAAAATCCAGAGCACTCGAGGAGAAGCTAGGAACTGCCTATGGGATAACTTGTTCACAATATAGCAAGAGGCTTCTAGCATGAGGCCAACCATTGTTTAAAAGTTTTTATGAATTCCAAAGAAGCAGTCTATTCCTTTTGGATGATTACTGGAAACTTACATCTGTACAATTCGATTTATGTACATGGGAAGAACTGAGCAGGTATTACAAGGCTGGAGAAGCAAGAAAAACAGCAGGAAATACTTGCCTCTGAGCTGCCACACCCTAAATCCCCCGAACTGCTTTTGCCAACCAGTGATCTCTTTTCAGCCTTTCAACTGGATCCAAAACTCAAAATGTCTGAGTTTTCAGATTTACTGTTCCACACAAGCTCACATTCAGTTGGCAAGTGAGTTTCATAGTCTCTTTACACTGTGAAAGTGGGCATGTGAACTTACCAAGCCAATGTTACGTGCTGACAATTAACTTTCATGGAAAGTCGTCAAATCATGCCAAATGTAAAGGAACAACTTGAACAACAGAACAGCATGGATCATCATCCCATTAACATTTAACCAAGCATTCCATTCCAGAGGGAATGTGCAAAATTATTGGATTCTTGTTCATGTCTGCTGAAGATTCCATGAGTTGCCATGCCCATCTCTTGGAGCAGCTGATGTGGTTGACTATTGCTGCTAAGCTTTGTAAGTGATTTCAATTCTGTATTGTTTTATTCAATGTATTGCTGTATACCCTTATGTCGTTAGTCACCCTGTGCTCCTGTTTGGAGGAGGATCATGATACAAAAACAGCATAATAAATTATAAATTAAGAAAGATGCATTTTTAAAAAATATTCTGTTTTACTAGCAGGCGATAAACTGACACAGAGAAAATAACTCAGATAAATTTTCTCATAGGACACAACAAAGTTAATAAGACAAATCCAGCAGACACAGCATGGCTGTAACAGAATCAACATCCTGGGGTGCTCAAAAAGAATCCACTCTATGAGTTTATGTAATCAGAAATCAATGTTTTCGTGTCTGTAATTTTCCAACATCCAATATCTAAACGGGACGCGGGTGGCGCTGTGGGTAAAATCTCAGCACCTAGGGCTTGCCGATTGTCAGGTCGGTGGTTCGAATCCCCGCGGCGGGGTGCGCTCCCGTCGTTCGGTCCCAGCGCCTGCCAACCTAGTAGTTCGAAAGCACCCCCGGGTGCAAATAGATAAATAGGGACCGCTTACCAGCGGGAAGGTAAACAGCGTTCCATGTGCTGTGCTGGCTCGTCAGATGCAGCTTGTCACGCTGGCCACGTGACCCGGAAGTGTCTGTGGACAGCGCTGGCTCCAGGCCTCTTAAGTGAGATGAGCGCACAACCCTAGAGTCTGGCAAGACTGGCCCGAACGGGCAGGGGTACCTTTACCTTTACCTTTAATATCTAAACAGGCCCACTAGGACAAATCTCTGCCTTTGCCAGCTTGCACAACTTGCTGAAAATCTGAGTTTTAAACTTTTGAACAGTACGCTAAGAGTAGATTCTAAGATTTTCTTCCAAGGGAGTGTTTTTGGAAAGACTCTCATGAGCAAACCCACAGGGAAGTAAAAGGCCACATAGATTTTTCCAGCAAAGACTCACATGCAAGAAACAGCATTCCAGAAGCACTCCCAGTGAGAAAACATTACACTAGGTTCACACCAAACCGAAGAATTCAAATAGGCTAAAAATAATGTTGAGCTCGTGCAATTTAGTAGTAGCATCTAGGAATTTGAAATATTTCTTCTGAATGTGTACTCAAAAATTACTACTATAGTGGGTGGTAAATGAGCCTACCTACATTTAAAGCCAGCACTGTGCCTCTTTGTTTGGTCCTAACTTTCATTCATTTCAAAGCTGCCACATTTTAAGTTTCAGCCGCAGCTCTTCCAGTTCAGATACAGGACAGTGTTTGGTAGAACTGTTCATGACCCCATTGCTATCGTATAACCCCTTGACTGGAATTTCAACAGGGTTTCGTTTATTTCTACTTTACCTTCACTGCTAATCTGAGCTCGTACAATAAATTAACTTTCTGGACACCAATGGTTCAACTATTTAGTGAATGGCACGTAGCTTTGAACATAATTAAGAGATGAACCAATGGCGCAAAACCCCAAACAGAGCTAAAGTTTCTTCTCCTGGCTCTATTTAGCACATGCAACTCCCACTTTGTGTGTGTTCAAGGCACGTGCGACTGCTGATGTGCACACCGTTTTCAGTCCTGGGAGTGGGTGGAGGCGGAACGTACATGCACTATAACCCAGAATGCAACACCCATGAAAACGAGGATGCAATAATCTGATTACTTGTGTCTTCCCTCCCCATTTTTTTTTTTTTTACGTTACAATATATAAGGTTGCGCATCTTCAAGCCCAGACTATACAGTGGTACCTCGGGTTAAGTACTTAATTCGTTCCGGAGGTCCCTTCTTAACCTGAAACTGTTCTTAACCTGAAGCACCACTTTAGCTAATGGGGCCTCCCGCTGTCGCCACGCCGCCAGAGCACGATTTCTGTTTTCATCCTGAAGCAAAGTTCTTAACCCGAGGTACTATTTCTGGGTTAGCGGAGTCTGTAACCTGAAGCGTATGTAACCTGAAGTGTATGTAACCCGACGTACCACTGTATTGCTGTTTAACCTTAAGATTAAATAACAGAAATACATTCCTTCAGTTACCAGCTGGAATACAGCACACATGTCACTCTCTAGTGGCTTTCAAGCATTTTTGCTTCAGGTAACATTTTCCATGCCAAAAAGTCTGCCAGACTGCCACACAACCCCTACACCAGGACAGCAGTCTCCTAGTGCAAGGGAAGAATTCCTGGCAAGGGCACTCGACAATTCTCTCCAAACTTCAGAGAACATGAGTTTCCAAGGAACACAATATCTTATGGGACCAAACATGCCCCAGTCCTCACTGAAATTTAATACACACACCTGAATGACTTATAACTCATAAACCTACAACAGAAGCAAACTGAAAAAAACACTAGACTTAGACCCAGGGAAAACATACATCAGCCAATCTGTGGAGTTGACTGAACACTTTTGTACTTTCAAATTACCCACAACAACCCTAGAAAATATTTGCATTCCTATTTAATTATATTTCCACCTTCTCAAATTGTTGTTTCTCCCATTTGTGCATAAACATGAGTTACAGTTGTATTCCACTTCTCAATAAGTTTCATTCTCAGAAACTAACTGCATTCAGACACAATGCTGGCCACTGTTAACAAATTAACTAATGCACACAGCTCAAGCATTTCTCCTTTCCTTGAACAGAGAAACAAATCACAGAATGGCTGGCTTAGTGTTTTGTCCAAACCAACACTTGTGGTTTATTTCTCTTGATCTGAAGCCAAGGTTTGTTCTTAGCTTCCCAATTGTGGTTTATTTGAGAGAAACAAACCACAAGTGCTGGTTGAGACTGGGCTGGTCACTGTGTGTATCTTAACTAAGTGTGGAGCAAGATAACACCAACATGCTGCCACCACACACACACAATCTAATCTGCCTAACTTCAACTAGTGTCAGCCCATCAAATTTATTTGCTAAGAACTATACAAAAACACAAACTATACCCATGCATGTTTTAGCATAGGTGGCTTTGCCTTACATGCAAATGAAACCACTGACTCTTGACTATGAATGTTCACAAACAGTCACCAATGCTTATTTTCTTTTTTATTGCAAAATTAACATAGTTGCTCTTCTGGAATTTGTCGCTGTACACACTGTATTTGGAATTCACAATAACTAAACTGTTATCACTCAGAATTCACCAGAACATGCCACACTGTAGCAAACATATTTACAGAGTTCAGCATGCAACAGAAAAACATTAACTCCACTTACACAGCCGAACTAATGTTCTGATGGATCTAAACGGTTTTTGGTTACCAATTTTAGAACTTTTCAAATAATAAAATGCTACAAATGCAGAACTTCTTTCTATAAAAATTTTTATCCAAGGTGTTTGGTTTTATCAAACTAGCTGAAAGAGAACTGCAGTATTTCTAACTTACATTTCTCAGTTTAAACAATGGGATAGCATGGACACAATCTAGAGCATGATATTAAAACAAGACAAATTTAGTTTAGCTCTTGCCGTAGGTACTCAGGAAAAAATATCACAGCATTGCACTTCCAACATGTATTTGTAATTAAGACAGATTACTTATAGTGAGGAACTTCACAAACCAAATAATATTAATATTCTCAACAGATTAACAGTGCAACCTAGTCCTTGAGTTATACTGCCTACATGACAATGGAATTAATATGAAATCTCTTGTGCTGGCATTACTCCAAGTTACACCACCACTGTAAAGTTGTGATAGCATAAATGACATTCTGTGTTAGAAACTCAGTTATATAAGCTAAGTGCCAAATGGCACCTTGAACCTAGGTTACGGTCGCCACAACTGAATGTCTATTTGCCAGGGGGGTTGGATGACCCTCGCAGTCTCTTCCAACGCTACAATTTTATGATCTAAACTACATTGCTTGACTGTAGCTTGCTCTTACAAACAATTCACCTGTTCAAGTATGCAAGAAGGAGAAACACACACAGTGGAAATGGAAATGATATTACCTACAGGCTAAGGCAGAGGTTTTTTAACTATGGTTTGTGAGTTCCATTTGGGTGGTCTGTGGAAAGTCAGCAGCACATTCAAATATATCTGTAGTCAGCCCTGCACTTACTTTCCTTGATGTGATTACGGAGGACTGTGTACGAATCAGCTGGATTGATAGAGATGTCAGTTGCCAACCTGGCATCTAGATACCTCCATGTAGTCGCAATTGGACCTACTCCAGTAGCAAAACATGCCTGGCAAACTTCGAACACTGGTGACATTACAATACTGTTAAGTCAGCACAGATTATGTGTCATAGTATAACAGGTAATGAAGACATACTGGAGGAGGATCAGAGTGGTGGCCAGCTTAATCCTGAAGCTGAGGCACTGTTCCTGCATCCTCGTCTAGCATAGTTAGACCTACAAAGCTAGTATAAATAAAAACATTCTCACTGGAGTGAATGGAGAGCCACATTATACTATCCTCTCTCACAATGTGAGTACTGTATAGGATACTCTTGGAATGGTCTATAGCCACAAGCAATAAATATTTAAATGCTAGAGTAAACAAAGGTATACATCCCAACCTATTAAGATGAGTGGCATGGGCTATGTCTATGGATTTCAGAACTGTTAGCATACAAGAGGCTAAGGGGAACTTGGTGATGGGAACAGTGGTGTAAGGACACTATACAAAGAAAGTACTTTAGACAAAATAACAAACAGCCAAGGCTGACACCCAAGCATCCAGGAAAGAGCAAATGGATAACACTTATGATCTCAGACCTCTTACAGTTACTCCACTTCAGAACAAAAACAAACACTCACCAAAAACTCCAAGTTGCAACTAGAATTCCAAGGCAAAGCATGCTCCCAGGTAAGAAACAGACTGCCAAAACCCTAGCCACAGACCTTCAGTTCCCAGTCACCCCAAGGAATGCAGAGAATTCCTATTGCCACAGATCACTTACTAATCCCCTTGCAATTGGGGTATACTAGTTGAAGAATCCCTGTCCTGTCTTAATCAACACAGCTCTGGCTCTCATTTGCATCTGCTGGTCCCAGGGAAGCAGTATAAGGTGTCTGGAAGTGTGATGGATGAGAGCAAGCTGTGATTAGACAGAGAAACTGTGGGAATATAAATCTTCTGATCTAGGTGAAGTACAGGCAACTCCCCATTTGAACGGGAGATGCGTTCCAAGTGAATGCACAAGTCAGCCGTTGCGTTTATGTCTGTTCTGCCCCCGCCCCCTTCCGGGGTCGAAAGCAGCACACACATCAGCAGTCTCATGCAAAATGGTCATTGCCTAAACATAACTAATCATGGATGGTATTGCACTCCTCCTGAAGGCCAAACATACAGCTTGGGAGTTCCTCTCAAATTCTATATTATCTATGGCAGTGCAGGTTGCATTGTTCCTAGAACAGCCTTTACTTGTTTCGTCTGATTTGGCAGTTGCACCTCTTCTACTAAAGTGGTTATTCCCTTTAAAGCCTAAATGGTTTGAGACCAGATTGTTTGAAGGACTACATATACAACCTCTAAAACTGGCCACAGAGCCCTTTATTGCAGACCCACAGTCAAGATTAAACTTCACTGCTATGAAACACCACCTCATGGAATGAACCAACCCCTATTTGCCAGCTTCTTCAGCCTCTTTTAAATGGGCCATAAATACCTTTTTTATTTCAGTCTGCCTTCCACTGTTGATGTTGGTCCAAAGTTTTAAAACTGTTACTGCTCTGTGTTTTACTTTTGCTGACAGGTTCAAAGTTCACATCCCCTTCCCCCTTCAGTCTTATCTGAATATAATAACTATGGCAATTTGGAAAGATGAAAACTCTGGATGGAGTTATATTTGAGTGCCCCTCTCTTGCCAACAATTGACTTTCTTATAAAATGAATCATAAACTCTGGTGCCAAGAGTTAAAGCATGATGAGATTTGAGAAGTATCCTGCTGGTCCAGGAAGTTACCCAAGTTCTGAAGCTGCGTTCTTCTACGCTTATGTAAAAAGTACTTATAGCACAATCCTGTGCTCACTTAATTGGGAGTAAGCCCTATTAGACTCAATGTTCAATTAAAATCTCAAATTAAATGAGACTTATGAAAAATATTTTCAGAACCAAAGAACAAAGTGGTTAATACTTACTTCACAGAAAGCAGTGAAGTCTGATTTTCAATGTAATCGTATGCATGTTTACTCAGAAGTAAGTCCCAGTGACTTCAACAGAGCTTACATCTACGTAAGTGTGCATAAGATTGCAGCCTCCAACTATCAGTTTTACCATCATTAGTATACACCAGAAATGTGAAACAAGCAACATTTTTAAAAGTGCTAAAATATATATTTATTAAAAGGTGATCTGCAATACAGTGGAGTGTAGATTAGCAAGTATCTGACAGAAACATAGATGATGAACCTTATATCCATACTCAAGAAAACAATGCTTGCATGACATCATAAGAAATTAAAACTGACAGTTCAATCCACAATCCAAATAAACTTAAGAATGATCTGAGAGCTGGTGAAGTGAGCAGGGACATCCCTAAGATTACATGTTTCTAAGCCATACATTTCCCAGTTGGCATCAGGCACATGAATATAAAGACACACAATCTTCAATATGGGCACAATAATATCCTTACTTACCTTTCAGGGTCATTGCACAAAATGTTGAAATAGCACATATGTAGTGTTTTGAACACCCTAGAATGTTTTATAAATGCTGATTTTATATATGCAAATTTATTTTGTACATGCACATACAGTGGTACCTCGGGTTACATACACTTCAGGTTACATACGCTTCAGGTTACAGACTCCGCTAACCCAGAAATAGTACCTCGGGTTAAGAACTTTGCTTCAGGATGAGAACAGAAATCGTGCTCCAGCAGCGTGGCGGCAGCAGGAGGCCCCATTAGCTAAAGTGGTGCTTCAGGTTAAGAACAATTTCAGGTTAAGAACGGACCTGCAGAACAAATTAAGTACTTAACCTGAGGTACCACTGTAATGCTAATGTATCTATAATAAATAACTAGATTGCTCTCTGCTAATAATTATATATTTATGTCAACTTCAACTGAACTAAAAAGATAAAGGGACCCCTGACCATTAGGTCCAGTCGTGACCGACTCTGGGGTTGATCACCTTTAATCTACTTTTCCCATAACAATCTGGTTCGAGTCTGGGTTAGATAATCTGGGGTTTGTATTCAACTAAGTTTTATTCAGAGTAGAACCACTGAAATTATTTAACATGACTAAGTTAGGCCATTCATTTCAGTGGGGTTACTCTGAATAAACTTAGCTGAAGCCCCCCTGTAGATGTTAATTGTTCAGTTGTTTTATGGAATTGTTGTTTTTTTAAAGGAAAAAAAAACACACCATGTTTTTAGTACTGCAAAACATCTGGGTTAAGAAAGACATCACAGTACTTAAAAAAAAAAAAAAAAAACTTCTGCATGATCTTAAACACATCTACCAGAAAGTCAGTCACTTACTGGCCCATACCCAAATAGATCAGTACTCCTCCCAATACACCCTGCACACATTATCACCACTCTTCATAAGCAATATACAACTTAACTGCATATACCCTCAAACACATCATGTGAAGGAGAATACTGCTATCTTCTCTTTATATTTGCAAAACTGAGGCTGAAGAACTGTGGCTTGATCAAAGGCTGCATCACATGTCCACACAGCCATGCTTTCATTGTTGTTTACTCTGATGCATGTCCCCAAAGACACAAGCCTATTAACATCTCCTTACAACAATTTAACTTTGGGGTTGTTGTTTTTTAAATCAGGCTGAAAGGAAACAGCAGAAATTTTCTTTAACATACAATTTACATTGTTTATAGTATTTATTGCTACTTCTTTAACTATGCCACAGAGCAACCTAGTTAATTAGACACTTTAGACAGCTTCAAGCATTTCGCAGGGCCCCACCTAATTCATTAGGAGAGCAAGGACAATTAAGCCACTGGCTAATATGTAACAGAAGACTATATACGAAATGTTTGTAGCTCCAAGCTCTCCACACCAAAAACTAAGACACACTACTTGCACCTGAAGTTTGAAAACCCAGCTTAATCACAGACACAGCAACTTGGGTTTACTCCCCTTTTTCTCTCCTTACATTTGGGAGAATGGGGAAGGGAGAACAACCACCCAGTGCAAGGTGTGAAAGAAGCATAAAAATGCACGAGGGGTACCTGCACATCCATCCTGTCAACCGTCTGCACATACATTAAAACATGTGCAAACACCGCACATCCCAGATCATATCGGGGATTGGGGGAGGGTGGCCTGTCTCTTGGCTATCCAGTCCACATACGCTAAAGTTTCCCATGGCCAGCAGGACCTCGGGTGCTCGAAGGTCTTCCAGACACACGTGCAATCTCAGAACACATGGGGGGAGGAGGGGTGTTGGGTTTTTTTTTGGGGGGGTTAAAGGATTTCCCTCTCCCAACTGCCGGCGTTTGCAGGAGGTCTTCCAGAAGCGGAGTTAAGAGAAAGGGCCCGCCAGAGGCGAAACCCACCGAGCCCAGCAGGGAAGCATCAGTCCTCCCTCCCGGGGGTTTCGCTGTGGGGGGCGGCCCCCCGCCCGCCTGCCTGCCTTCCCCTCCTCGACTCCCGGGTCACTCACAGGTGACGATGGGCTTGTTCTCCATGGTGTAGATGACCGGCGGCGCCTCCACCTCCTCGTCGTCCTCCGCCAACACGCCTTCGCCGGCTGCTGCTGCTGCTGCTGCTGCTGCTGCTGCTGCCGCCGCCGCCGCCGGGGCGGGTTCCATGGGCGGGCAGGGCGCTCAGCCCCGGCTCCGGCTCCCCCGCCCGCGCCGCGCCATGGACCCACCGCCGCTACCGCCACACCTTCCTGGCGCGCCCTCTCCCGCCGCTGCTGCTGCTGCTCTTCCTCCTCGCCGCCGCCGCCTCAAAAGGGGGGCGCCCTCCTTCTGCCCCTCCCCCCTCCCAAACCCCCAACTGGGCCCCCCCTCGCGCGCAGCCCCCACGGATGGAAGGCAAGTGCCAGGCTCATCCGCTTCCTGTATCGCCGGGACCCAGCATGACCGCTTCCGGCGGAGGAAGGAGCGGGGCGTTAAAGGGGAGGCTCGAGGTGGCGCGGCTGGCCTCCGAGAGGAATCGGAAGCTTTAAAGGGGAGGACAGAACAAGGCGGAAGAAGGAAGTGGCGGGTCGGGGGAGAAGCAGGCAGCGCTCTGAAGAGGGGCGGGGGGACGGGACGAGCAGGGCTGTCCCGAGAAGAAAAAGTTGCCACTGGCCGGGTTTATTTGCGCAGTCGTTTCCCCCAGTTAATATAAATGTGAACATAGGGCGTAGTGGCACAACAATAAAAGAAAGTATTAAAACATCATTATTATTATTATTATTATTATTATTATTATTATTATTATTATTATTCTATTCCATCGCCATGACCATTTACTTAGATTTAACTGTTCTTGTAATATCACACAAAACAAAGTGAGTTGCATGTACATCACTCTTTACTGCTTTGTTGCTGCCGCCTTGCACATCTCTTCTTGACCTTCCAGATCCAGAAGACGGGGCCAGGCTCCTCCCTCCATCGACCTGTCAGCTGGCATCAGCCTGCAGCAAAGGGAGAAAGAGAAGGGATGCAGAGCCGCTCAGTTTGTGCTCCTAAAAGGCTATGAACTTAAGGTGCCTCCTGTCCTGGAGCTATTCTGTCCCAATTGGTCTTTTGAACTTGTAACTAAGAACATTAGCCAGCGTCCATGTATTTTCTCTTTCCACCCCGGTCCATTTTGCTTTTGTGCCATGCCCTTCTAGATGAAGCTCAAGGGCATGGACTGCCTCTTCTTTAGTGATTTGTAAGCTGTTCTGGGAGCCTCGTTTGAAGAACAGGATTAAAATTAAAATTCAGAACCTGCAATTTATAGTACATATTAGTTCGTTCATATAGACAAGAGGAACGTGTCTTCTGGCTCAGATGCATACTCTTAAGTGTTTGGGACAAAAAATGTTTCCCTGTATTCATTCATCGGCTGCAGTTCATAGAATTGTAGAATCCTATGCAATGCAGGAATCTCAGTTAAAGGATCCATGACAGATGGCTGTCCAGCCACTGCTTTAAAACCTTAAAGGAAGGAGAGAGAGTCCACCACCTTCTGAGGGAGTTAAAGGGTTGCCTGTGAGTTATCCAAAGATCCATTTGGCTGCTTCACTGAGTTCAACATATATGATTACAGTAAAGTTACCAGATTTTTTTCAGTGAATCCAGGGACACTTTTCAACTTCAATGGATCTTGTATGAGGACTGATTTGTAAATCCAGGGACTGTCCCCGAGAAACGGGGACGTCTGGTAACCTTAGATTACAGCTGAGACCTAAAGATAGAGTGCTTGGATTTAAGTAAGTTCCAGCATCCATGCTGCAATCCTATGCATAATTAATTACCTGGAAAAAAGGTCCATTGAATTTTCTCAGAAGTAAATACTGTATATATGTGTAGGATGAGACTGGGTGATTATATTCAAGCACTCGGATCCAGTTGTTTTGCAGAACAAACTAAAGGCTACTGTTCTTTAAAAACTTATCCTCCTGTAGCTGCTGAACTAAACGAGATACTTTCAGAGTTTGTGTAAATATGCTGTTGATTGCTGCCCAATTTAGCAAGTAGTATGGCAGTGCTTATGACTTGTAAGATCATAGCTCTGCTTAGTGTATGTTACCACTTCAAATAATCTTATTGGAGCTGTGCCTGATTAATTCAGAGCTGCTTCTATAAGAGGCATTTGAGAGTGTCTCTAGCAAACACGAGTAAATCAAAACAGAATAAACACACTACAGTTTCATTTTACTTCAAAGCACTAAGCATAATTACAAATATAATTTTATCACTTAACACGCTGAAAGCAATTTTTCAATTACAGGACAGTTTGTGAATGGACAATTGGGAAGGTAGTCTACTATTATATGTTACATTGATAGTGTTATATAAATAATGACTCGCTATGCAATTCTATTTACTGCTTTGTGTATGTAAACAATAATTTGCTTACATTGTGCATCATTCTTATTATGCTTAATAAATATATTTGCTTGAAGTTTATTGACCATAAGGTAAAACATTCCATTATGCAAAATGAGAATTCAAATAGAATACTTAGAATCATTCAGATGTGGGGACAGAAAGATCACAGGGTATCTACCACCAGCAAGATTAAAGCATAGCAGATGGTCATCAGTCCAAGAAAAAGCAACTAAATGCACCAATTTATAGCATCTTTTATAAGTTACAACAGCAAATAAAGACTAGACCAAGGCCTTTTCAGCACTGGCCCAGGCCTGGTGGAACGCTCTGTCGCGGGAGACCAGGACCCTGTGGGATTTGACATCTTTCCACAGGGCCTGCAAGACAGAGCTGTTCCATCAGGCCTTTGGTCTGGACTCAGTCTGACCTCCCCTCTTCTTTTTTTGATGGAACCCCTTATGTGGGATCCTGCATATAAATTTTCCCTCGGCCCTTTTGCTGGCCCATGTAGGACCAGCATAGATAGCTGGCCCTGGTGAATATTTGATGTTTCCTTCCCTTAAGGTCTTGATTTATGGGCCGCCAGTAAAACGAGGCTCCATCTTAAGCTGTATTTTAAGCAGTATTTTAATTAATTTGGGTTTTTGGGGGTTTTTAGCTGTATTTTAAATTTGGTGTTAGCCGCCCTGAGTCCAGTCTTGGCTGAGGAGGGTGGGGTATAAATAAAAATAACATAAAAATAAAAAATATTATTATTATTATTCTATGGGTTACATATTGTGCTTTGATTGCATAACAAGTATCAAACCTTAACAAAGTCTAGGAATTCATTAAGGGCTCTAAGAGAACCAACTCATCTGAGCCATTACATAATGGGTAGTTTAATAAATAATGTACAATATTCTCTATCTAGCGTTTGTATATTTTAAAGGAGGGTTGTAATTTTTCTTGATTTTACTGTTTTATCTTTTGTAAATTGCTTTGAGGGTGGGTGGGTGTTTTTACTATCAAAAGGTGTATAAATTTCATGAAATAATTAAAATAAACATCCTATTATGTTCAGAGGAGAGTGTGATGAGAGAGGGGGGAAAGATTGCATTGTCTGGATGAGTTTATAAATTTTTTTTTTTTTGGCATAGTGAACTGTAAGGCAACAAGGCCACATAGAAAACAATTAGAACTCATTTTGACGTTATGCTGCAAGAACTTCTCCAAAAGTTAAGTCAATCTCTTCTGGATAATCATGTCAGATATGCTAAGACATTTATAGGACAGGCATAATATACAAAATAGCCTTTTCATTTATTGCCCCTGTTGAAAACATTGGCCTGTTTAGGCAACCTGGTGTCAGGCATATGACTTGGATGGCATAAGTAGCATATTGTGGAAAGAGACTTTAATAAAAGGGAACCATGAAGCAGTGCAGCAGTGTCACAAGGAAAGCACAAGAGTGTTCTTAAGAACTAATTCTGGGTAACTTCCAAAGAGGTCAAATCAGCTTCACTTCATGTTTCAGCATCATATCAAATATGAGCAACTACCTCCCCCACACAAAGGTCTTACATTGTTTCTCAAAGAAGAAATGTAATTTGGGGGAGTGCTAGTTCCTGGGAACTTGGTGGACGCTGCTAAAACCATCGATAAGGGTTTTAAGCAAGAGCATGCAAGACCTGATATAAAAGGAAATGTATACACCCTCCACAAGTAAGTATGCAGGTAAAATTTGTTTTTAAAAAGCTGAAAAGTAAACAGAATATTGTTATAGGATGGGGGGCAGTCTGGATGTGCTCTGGGTGTGTCTTCAGCGCTCTCTGTGGCACTTGCTTCCTCCATCTCTTGCTTGTTCTTCTCCCATTATTGAGGCTTCTACTCCTTCTGTCTGCTACCCATTTGCAGACTCCTAAATAGTCAAAGTCTCTTCCTTCTCCACAACTGACTTCCAATCTTTATGTCTTCCAGCTGCCCTTGATCTCCTTAGCCACCCCATCTGAGTACTCTGCAGCTGAGCTTCTGGGTCATTCTCAACCATTTGTAGAGGCTGAACAGGCAAAACTCTCACCTTCTTATGTGTGAACTTAAGAGTCTTCATAAGCTCACATCGGAGGTCGCCATTTCCCCCTTCAAGGCTCCCCGTAATCTGATGGCATGACCTATTCAGTCTCTGGTTCTGCAGCTCCATTTGCTGCTCAGTAATGCTTCTGCTGTTCAAGACTGCTTTTAAGCTATTCCATCATCTGTGTTTGGTGCTCTGCTTGCTGCTGCATCTTCAATGCTTTTAAGCTGCTGGAACATCAAGTTGATCTGTTCCAGGCGTATTGCTGTTTCTCTCACCTTAGCTCAGGCACAGCTTGCTCACAATTCCTGTTCCAAGAAACACAATCCTACTTCTAACATCAGTATTACACGTACGTCAGTCTCTGAGCAGTGGGAGACTTCAGAGGTTGTCGGCCGGGGCCATCCCACCCATGAGGTCAGGGCTGTTCCATCCATGAGGTGGATTGAGGTAGCCACCTTGGCTGGTGGAAGCCCAAAAACTGCCCCCTCATGGGTGCCTTGCCTGCCCTGCCGCCACCGCCACCACCACTGGTGGAGAAGTGGTGCCCGAAACAGAAACAGCTCATTGAAATTTTATGAAATCTCACCAAGATTGCATGAGATTTCAGTGAACTCTTGAGAGAACTTGCTGGGTATAGCCACACAACCAAATAAGGGAGGCCACAGAGACACTGAAGTGTGGCATGTTTCTATTTCACCTCAGGTGGTGAAATGGAACAGAACATGCCGCCCTGGTGCCAGCACACCACAGGTTGGGTTTCCTTAGAATGAAGGTGACTTGGTGGGAGTCAAAAGACTGGTTAAATAGCTATGATACATTGGGTGAGAGATATAGGGCATAATATAGAACTGAGTAAATGAGAGAAATTGTGGGGTGGGCAGGAAGATCTGCCCCTTCTTCTGGAAGCACCACTAGTTAGTAGTTTCTGTGGCAACACACCTGTACTTGGCAAACCCTTTAGCCATGCAGAGATGCTTAAAAGACTTTGCTAAGGCATTAACCCAGGAAAGAACCTGGTTTGACCACTTCAGCAGTTCCTTCTACAGCCAGGGGTAGTGGCAAAGCATGAGCTTGTAGACCAGGCTCCAAATCC